TGAGTTGTATTGCTGGTATTCGAGCGGCACGAGGGAAACATTAAGGACTTCTTCGTACCTAATAGCGAGGCAAATTACAGCTGATTGAGACGGGGATGGCATGGGCCCAATTTGATATTAAAGGCAAGCAGAGTCAATCTAACAGCGCTTGGCAACTCGTGCGTGCGTTGATACCTAGTATGAGTCTTCGGACACGGTCGAAATTTCAAGAGGCAAAGTGCAGCTTTTAGAGGACATGGGTCGGAAACAAATACATACATTCCGACCATTTCCGTTCACTGTGACGAAGACCATAGACTTATTCATATGAAGCTCTGGTGCCTGTGTAGTTTTCCGTCCTCACCACGGTCAAATGCTCATTTCCACTCTTCCCCACCCGCCAGTCACATCAGGTCATGCAAAGCACACCTTCATCCCCCTCACCACCAGCATTACTCTCCTATCTTTAATAATCTACAACGCCGTCCTCCCCTTCCCTCCACCTCCCCACTCTTCCCGCTCACTGACTAACCGGCAGCCCTTTCAGCGCCTTCCCAGCAGGACAAACCACATCCCCCTTCTCCTTCACCCCCGCCATTCGCTGATCAAGAACGCAGGAACTATACGCGTCCGTCGCATGGCCTATTTCCCGTTAGCCCCCTTCCTCTCCCTTCTTCTCCCTTCCGGCGGGGGTTAGGGGGAGGGGGAAGAAAAACTCACATTTCTTTACAATCCCCTCCGTCCGCGCCAAATCATCGCACGCGCCCGATCCCAGCGCGGCGTACTCGGGACAGCAGATGGTGTTGTAGCCCGTCGCGGGAGGCGCGCTGATAGGGGGAGATTTTTGGGCTGTTCCTTTTGCTGGGGGGGTCGTGAGATATTGGAGCGTTCGGGGAGGGGTGGGGGGAGGCCGGTTGTTAGTGTTGTGGTGAGGAGGAGGAGGAGCAGGGGGAGGGGAGAGAGGGTGGAGATGTGCATTGTGGGTTGGTAGGTGAGGGTGTTTTGGCGAGGTTTGTGATTGGGAGGGTGGGGAAGAGAGGAGATAGGGAAGAGAATGCCTGAAATTTATAAGAGGATGGAGAGGTCTTTGAATATTCTTTTTGTACAGAATCAAGGTTTATCGTACCTGCTTTCGATACTGGAAGGTGTTTTGGATGGCGGAATGAGCGTTTGAGTACGACGTCACGGACGTACTATCTTGAGACTGTAAACACAGGCGCGTTTCATGGAAGCGAGGCTCAAGGCTAGCGCTTGGGTATGAAACTGTACACGGAATTCTCAAAACAGCTTCGATTCAATTTAATGGGGAGGTGAAGCGGACGCCTGGGTTTGTGAGGGACGGGAGGTTAATATAAATTCTATGCCTCGAGGCCAGAGTTCAGCGCTCTAGTCCGGATGATAGAAGATGTTTTATTTTCCAAATGCGGTTAAAGCGGTTGGCGATGAACAGGATCTCGTATACCATAGACATTGGGGCGTTTCACGTGGAGGAGCCTCAATGTCCAGTCCGTCGAGAGCTTATGGAAGAGGCCAAGGACAGGATTTGCAGGGTAGCACTCAATTAGATGTCCTGAATTAAATGGCGTATTTGAGCCCATTGAGAGGGTTCCCGGGTCATTGATATGACGGACGTTATAGAAGCCTAACATACAGATGCCATGTTCCCCTTACACCTCTCACTGACCACTACCTTCGCTTCAAAGGCTAGATCACTGACGAGCGTTGCAATGGGAAAGTACCATTCACCACCTTGGTACCGTAGATAACCTCTATGACCTCCCAATCGCCACCATCATGGTTCGATGTAGGTATACCTCACGGGGGCGAATATCCTGGCGCATACATTACTTCGCCGGCACAGGCTGGATCTGGCATTGGTTCCCAGCGAAGAGAGATTTGGTATAAGGCACATTTGGAGTACGCCGCACTTGCAATACCTAAAGCAAGCCATTCATGTTAGAATGACTTTATAGTCAAGAAGGCTTTGACACTTACATTTAGCTTTCGCAGCATTGAAATTTGTGACTTGCTCGGGGCTCGCGTTGGGTTGGCACTGCGTAATGCCGTTGCAGCATCTGGCGACATATCCAGGCTTGTGCCATTCTGTCAAGTGCTGGGCACTAGGGTCCGGTTCTTGACTGGGTTGAGGGAGGGCGATGGCGGTAGCGCTGGAGATGGACAGGAGTGCAATCGCGAGCTGAGAGGTAAGTGTGAGGAGCTTCATTGCTGTAAAAGCTTGAGAGAATTGTACACCTTTCTGTGGGCAAGTCAGAGCTTCGAATATACTGCTGGCGAGAGGTGTAAATTTGGAGTTAATGGAGGCAAGTGCACCCGCCTTTCATATATAAAGACGTTCATAATCTTTAACCTCCTCCACTTAGCGAGCAGTCTCGCCTCCCACTCAAAGCTGTAACGTCGCATTTCCTCATCTGACCTAGTGCTGGCTATTCCTGAGCCGTCTGACTGGTTAATGCGATCATGCGTAGGCCCATGTCTTCAAACATTGATGGTAAAAGACCCCGAAACACTCTTATAGCCGCCACGGGACAACGACTACCCTAACTATGGATATCAAACTGCATACTTGGCAGGTGCAGGTCATTCGGAGCTTCAAATCCAGCAGGCAAGGAGGCTTGTATCGAAAATCAGGTCCCTGATCAGCCTTCTAAGTACATTGAATATCCATATGCCAGGTGCAGGAATAATGATGGGTCTTTTATGAACGGGCATCAATGCAGTCGTGGTAGAGGTCAAGCCGCGCGCGTGGCAGGAACCGCCGTATAGCGTCGGTGGCCGTAGCGTTCGTCGACGAAGTTGGAAGGGATTTTGCCGTGGAATTCCTTTTTGGATTTCTCATGAGCTAAGAGTTTGAGTGAGACAAGTTTCAACTCCCAGACGTTTCGGAGTAAATTGCCCAGGATTGGGACGGCATGACAGTCACCCATTCCGTTGCGGCTGAATACAACCTTATGGTGCAAACCTTCCTTTTACCCTACGATAGCTTCAGGATTCCATATTTATTACGGCTTTATCCTTAGTATAGACAGCTGACACCGGCAAAGGCAGAGCACTGGCCTCTTCGGCAGCGGAATTGTTAGAAACACCCCCTCGTCAATTTCTGGACTTTCCGAGAAGATTTATGGTGATCCTCCAGTACCGTTTTAGCCAAGATCCCTTCTGTCATGGAGCTCCGACCGTCTTTAATAATGCTCAAGCCTAGCAGCCATATAGAAATGTGATCTCATTAACAGTCCGCCAGCTCGCAGCCTCGAGACACAAGATGAAGATTCGGTTCCCACACCATTGGCTCTCAAAGAAACTGACGCTTGACATCGTGAGGATCTTCTGAGTCTGCATTTTCCTCGCAAGTGATGCGTGTAAGGTTTTCAAGCCACAACTAAGAATAGATCCTGCTGGTTGAACCTCACAAAGGAACCACCCGCTCTCGACCTCTCTTTTCCCGCCTCCAGCCCAGAGGAAGCGCGTTGCACCCCATGACGCTTCAACGACGTTTCTTGCCGTAGAGCTTCTTCATACATGTAATGAAATCTTGCCGAGTGGCGATGTTTAGGGTTAGACACCAGTATTACATGACCTTAAGACACCAGCCATTGGGGTACTCCCCCTGGGCAGTCTCCTTCCCAGGGATGGATGATGCCTCGTATTAGATTTGTGACAATCACCTCGGACTGTCACAGAATAAAGTCTGGCAATGCAACCATCTCAGCTCTCCAAAGTTTATTTGCAGCCATTACCTGTAGCAACATATCTAGCTTGCGCGCAGATTCGGTGGCCCTATTAAACGGAGCTCATTTAGCAAGGGCCAGGAGAATGGCTAAACTTCCAGCAAGAAGGAACGAGTATATTCCAAGACTCGAGGCTTGCACAGTAAATTGCAAGCGCTATGCATGTCTATCACCTGAGCTGAGACTCGGTAAATGAAGATACTGGCCGACACCGTAACAATGAATTGAATATGATGAGCCCCTTCTAGAAAGCACCCTTTGATGGGCCTATGAAGTCGCTCGGCTTCACTTTGATCAAATGACAACAAGATGCCAGGAGCTCGTCTGCCAAGTCCTGTTCAGGGGCGGAAAAGGGGTGACTCAAAGGAGAACACGCGACTCCATACGCGTTTCCTCTCGTCATACGGTTCATCCTTCTACCCACAGACTCTCATGACGGCATCAGTGTCCCTTTCCCCTCGTTGCCATTAGCGATCGAATCATCTAGCTTCTTTGATCACGGACTACTGCGCCGTCATGGTCGCACTCGGTTGTTTCAGAAACACACCATTGTCTGTGCCACATAGCGCTAGCAAACCTAGCCCCAGGGCGTCCTCCTATCGATATCTTATTGTCGCTAGAACGAACACTCCCCACGATGAAGGCTACAGTTTATCTGAGGTAGAAGGGAAGGAAGGAGGTAGTCCAAGACCTCAAGATATTTTCTTGCAACGCGGTCCTAGCGATCGACTGGTCATGGAAGTCCACGAGGGCCTCCGATGGTGGGCCACATTTGCGGCCAAGAATGACCTATAGAACGGCTGGATGTGATATTGACCATCAGAAAACTCAATCCGCAGCCCCACGGTCACCATGCTCGTCATATCTACGTGCGTAAACCACTTTGTGGCCCCATGGACAGGAACGTGCCGCATAGAGCCCAGTGTTCTAAGGCACCGGTACGCACCGCTTGGTATTGGCACCATTGGGACCACAACGAGTTTGTTTGACGGTAGGTCATTGGCTGGAGAGCCGTAAGAAAGCCCTCATGCCCGATCGTCACGAGAAGAGTTATGCTTCTAGTGCCAGAATGTCGCCTTTCGAACACGGGCGATGACTAGCTTGCGATCTGCCACCTCTTTGCAATCGTACTTGGTGAGTGAGGATATTCAAGATGCGTTCTATATTTTTGTTTCATTACGATATGTCATGACCATCGCCACAACTCAGGCGTATGTTTCTTGAAAACTCTTTCATTGATCGAGATCCTTTCTCAAGGCTCTCACACGCACCACAATGCAACTCTACTTCTTGATATTACTCTGGGCTTCGAGCAGTATAGACTTGACGGAGGCAAAGCCAGTGAGCGGAGGTGCTCATCGCATTGCAGGTAAAAGTCAACAAGGACCAGCAGCCAAAGTCCAGGCTGGCATCTGGCGGAGACAAGACACAGATTCGACTGAAACACCAACACCGTCAAACTCGTCCGTAGTAGATGCCGTCAAAGCTGTCGCGAGTGCCGTTCCTTCTACATCTGTAGTCAACTCACAATTCGCCGCCGATGTGTGTGGCTCACCACGAAATGGGCAAGTCGCCTCCGTGACCCGGACTAAAGATACATGGAACAAGTATGATATGAGCAATTACGTTCTTAACACGTAAGTCACTACCCATTCCCCCACAATCTTGTATCTGGGATTCCGTACTCATATCCCAACCCAGCGTCAACAAATACCAATCCAGCAACTGGAACGGCGCCACGGACATTCAAACCGTCTTCCTAACAGAAGCTGGCAACGAAGGCGTCGGCAAATGCGACGAGATCACCAATCCTCGCTGCACCGAAACAGGCGCTGACTACGGCCTCTGCACCCAGCACCCCGACGCACACTTCGCCTGGTTCGCCATCATAAATTTCGCGAACTACCTGAACAAGATCCACGAAACGCTGCAGAACAACCTCGGGCTTCTCACCGCCCTGGCTTCCGACACCGTCAAGCAATTCTACACCACACGTGCCAATCCGCAGAAGTTGATCGTGCCATTTTCTATTACCGGAGGGATCTTTGCAATCTTGTCGCTGATATTCCCGCCAGCGGGCTTGATTGCGGGCGGGGCGTCCATCATCAATGGAGTTATCACTCAGGCGGCGCTGGATAGGCCGGATCCGTTGGATCAGTGGCAGGCTGTGCTGAGCGTGATTGGGAATCTGTTCAAGCAGGTTGAGACGGTGCTGGAGACGTATTTCAATAACAATCTGCATAAGTTGCCGCCGGACGGGCTGCCGCAGGTCCTTGCGACTGGGGATTTTGCAGACACGCCGCAAGTGGGCGCGTTCAATCAGGGTGTTGAAGCCGCCTTTGCGACGGTGTCGATTAATGCGCTGTGGCTCTTGGATAAGGGTGGGTATCTCCTATCCTTCAACCCCTTAGATTTCCTCATTCTCGAACTCTGTCACACACCCACTTCACATGTACTGAATTACCTTCCCTGTAGTCCTCATAATCAAAGTTTCCGATGCAGCCTACAGCCAAGGCGCCGGCGCCGCCTGCGCGGCCTACCCAACACAAAGCGTTTGCGTCAACGGGGTCGCCAACATCTTCGTGCGGTGGCAGTTGACGCCCGGCATCAATACCGTTGGCACCGCCAACGCAAACAGTTCGTAGTCTTTTCTCTCGCTTCTCTCAGCCCTTCTTCCCTTGCCTCACCAATATCCTCGCCAACTTAACCCCCTCATCTACCTGGTTCCATCTCGGCCATCCCCCTGTGGTTTTCAAAAGTTCCTCCACCCAGCGATCGCGCTAACTCACTACGCGCATCAGGTCCAGGCGGCGGCGCACAACGTCCCTCTATCTCCCCGGCCTACGAGCGCGGTCCCTCATTCGATGAAAGCGCTTGGAACGTCTTCGGCGCGTACGCTTTGGGGACAGCCGGCGATGGTAATTACTTTCCCTCCTTCCTTCTCACATCCCCGTCTTCCCCTTCCATTCCCCCTTTCCCATTCCGCTACCCAGCTCCCCCCTTCACTCCCCCCTTCCTCCCCCTCTCACCCGTCCTACGACTCAACATACCCCACCCTCCCCCAATCAACTGCACTAACACCCGTTCCTCCCCCCAGGAACAGCAAACGCCAACCACCTTACCGACTACGGCCTCGACCTCGGCAAGATCCTCACCTCGGCAGAAGACACGCAAGCAAAACACGGGTTCCTCTACAAAGACCAAAATAAAGACACGCTCGACACCCTGCGCAACAATCCCACCGATCTCTCCCCAGAAAGCTTGACGGCGTGGAACCTGCCTATTTGTGACATCGATGCTGCGTTGAAGGCTAAGGGGAAAAGTATGTTGAAGAAGCCGCCGACGCCGCAGAATGATGGAGTTCCTGAGGTGAATTTATCTTTATTTCTTTTTTTTTTTTGGGAAGGGATGAGGAAAGGGGAAAGAGGATGGGGGTAGGGGTTTGTTTCTGTATAAGAATGAGTGAGGCTGACGCGACATTGTGGTATAGGGCCAGACAAACCCGGTTGCGACGTGGGCGGTAGGGGTTTGTAGTACCATTGATGGATGGCCGACGAGTGAGTATAATTGGGATACGGGCACGGAGACGGGGAGGTGGAGTGAAGGGATTTTGGATCGGTGGGCTTGGCAGTAGGTGGAGAGGGGGTTGGGGGTAGTGGGAGGCGGATAGGGTGCGAGGGTAGTGGTAAGAATGGATGATGTGATGAGGCTTGGTAGTGGGTTTGGTGAAATTCTTTGACAAATATGCCCACGAGGGGCTTTCTTTCCTTCAGAGGCCTTCTCAATTGTCTGCAAAAATTTTCGTCTCTGATGCTAACGCGGTCGCGTTCTTCAGGCTTATGCCGCTGCTCAGGCGGAATACGGGACGGGAAAGGTTGCGTCCGTAGGAATAATACATTTGCGCCCCTGCTCAGGGGGGACGCGAGGTCCTCTCCTTAGCGTGGCGGAGCTTCATTCTCGAGCTTAGTCAATTGGGGGGACGCGATGGTTTTTTGCTTGCCCCGATTGAAGGCTAGCCGGCGTTCTTATTCAAAAACTCTTCGTCACTCGTCAGTACTGGCGTTGTCGGGGATGCTGTATTGCCCCTTGAGGGGGAATTTGATGCATTTCCCTACGCCCGCATCGAAGGCTCATGATTGTGGCAATCCAAAGACGCGTCACTTGAGCGTTGAACAGTTTCTGATTGTGTTATCATGTTGACTCAGAAGATCTCCATGTAAGGCCCCTCCGACACCGTGACTTCCGATCGTACCGATATCGACATCTCTGGATCATTTGACGCTTTCCTCGGATGCTCTGAAATACTCTGCAAATGTCCTGATATACTGCTTGGATCCTGCGAAATGGTTCCTTGCTTGTTAGAAAGTCGTCTACTGCTCCATGATGATACGCTTGACCATTTGTGGCTGAGACTGGGCCACTTCTCACTGGATGAGATGTTTTTCCATATCGGGCTTAAGCGACTCGGGCTTCTCGACGATTTCTCACACCCTGAACAGTGCCCTTGTCGCGAAGTGCATTTATGGCCTCTTGTAATCAAGCTGAATAGAGGGCGCATCGTTACGAGGCAGGCGCATATGATGCCGATGCAGTTCTCGACCATCGCCCATATTCCCGGGTCTACATCCACCCCTAGGCGAGGTTAGTGAGACTCAGCGAGAGAAGTGCAAAATACTTGCAAGTCGCGTCTAGCAGCTTCAACTTGTGCACGGTCGTGACCCGCCATATGCTGCCAGCGCAAATGCTGGATCACTTTGTCAGTGTCTAGGTATCGTAGTTGGTCTCAGCAGTACTTACAAGCCACCAAGAGCGAAGAGGAAAATGACTTGGAGCCTCCATTTCAACTTCATCTGCAATCTCCAAACCAGCGGAATGGGCAGACACAGAGTGATGACATCGACCACACAATTGATGATACCGACTATCATTGCGGCAAGGCCGAGGTCTATACAATTGCCAGTGATTGTAAAGTTCCAGGCAGCATTAATCGGACGGCATTGAAATATCACAGTCAGAAGGGCGGTAATTATGTACATCCAAACGAATACACCCAAGGCTAATAGTGTGGCATTGAAGTAGCGGATGTTTCCAAATATTCGGCGATAGAGGAAAAAAACGGACATCTTCAGGACCGCACAACCGACAAGGTACAAGATCTCGGAGGTGATGACGAGTTTGGCGAATAATGATGGGTGTTTGAGAAGGACAATGTGGCGGCCAAAGCCAATGGTGACTCCGTGGACGAGGAGCATGCCCTGGGCGATGGCCAAGGCTAATGCAGCAATGATGAGCCAATCGTCTGCTTGTACTTTTGCCTTTATGATTCTTCGGGAGACCAGTCGCAGGATCACAGCTATGATGGCCAACGCGACGTTGGTGATGACTGCGGCGAGGATTTCTTTGCGCCGGTCATCTTTGATGTGATTGTATTCCTTGACGATTTCGCCAAGAGTCAAAGTCGGCATCTTCTATTAATATGATATCCTATGCAGGATTCGTTCTGTTAGCACATCTCTGGTGGTTCCCTAATCCCAATGTCCCAGACTCTGGATCTGTAGAGTGCAGAGGAGGCTCTTGTCAAGAGATGAGAGCAGAGCAGAAAGCGAGATCGCATTATTTCGTCACTTAGGCCGCAAAAAGACCGAGATCCGGCAATAGGGCAAGAGAAGGTTGAGGACGTGAAACAGAGACGGGCCATGTGTGCATAGGTATGCAGATAGAACATCCTGGTTCATGTAGGCTCTTTGCACCATCGACAAATAAGAGTCCAGCTTTGCATCTTTTCGGCCAAGCGCTCCAATGAGCAGTCACCGTCAGGCAGACCCAAAGGCCGCGGTGCACACAATGCCGACGACGGTATCAGAGTATCTGCACAGGACGGCTCGAGTACCCCACATGTTTTGTACCGATATAGACCGAACGGTCGTGATCGTGACTAATCTGTATACAACGGCACTTTCGTAGGGCTGGGGCAGAGACCTGTCCTGACCTCTAAGGCTGGCAGGACTGTGTAATATCGTGGTTGCCACCGTCATTGACTTGAATTGTTGCACTCAACGGCAGCGGTACACAGCAACCTGGGTATTCTGGGTGCGATGTGCATTGGCAACGAGATGGAGAGGCCTAATGTGACCAGGAAATCTCAGCGCTGACGTCATTTGAAGATGCCAAGACATTTGGAAATCATCAACACAGTGAGTGAATGAGCGAGCAACACTCGTTAGCGATAATGGCGGTGTACCACCTCTCCAGGCGGGAGCGCAAGCTTGAAGTCGAGCAGCCCCATTATTCAGGAGATATAACCATCTGTCGAACCACAATACTATCAGAATGTCTCTCACTCTCGCCTCGACAGTGAAGCTGAACAACGGCTTGGACCTCCCGCTGCTCGCCCTTGGTGTCTACGAGTCACCAACTTGTGAGCAAGCTTGCGTTATCGCCCTCGAAGTTGGCTATGTCTCTATTGACACCGCCATCTTTTATGGGAATGAGAGGGATGTTGGGGCAAGGGCGAAAGAACCCTGACATCTAAGAAGGCATGCTAACATGAATGTAGTCCGCCCTTCTGACGTTCCCTTTACCTCGCTCCTTCTTCTACATCACGTCCAAAGTATGGCATGACATGCACAGCCGTGAGCTGACCCGTCAAGCGGTGGAGAAGTCTCGCTACGCTCTGCAGCTCGACTACATCGACCTCTACCTCGTCCACAGTCCCCTCGCCGGCGCCAGCGGCCGTCACGAAGCGTGGCTTGCTCTCCAAGATGCCGTCAAAGAAGGCAAAGTCAAGTCCATCGGGGTCAGCAACTTTAGCCCTGCCCACATTGAGCAGCTTCTCAAGAGTGAGGGCGTCTACATTCAGCCAGCTGTCAATCAAATCGAGATGCACCCATGGAATCAGCAGAAAGAGATCGTGGCATATTGCAAGAAAGAGGGGATCGTAGTACAAGCGCACACCCCGCTTACACAGGGCAAAAAACTGGGAGACCCCATGATTTGCGGGATCGCGAAGAAACATGGGAAGACTGCTGCTCAGGTGGTATTGAGATGGCTACTGCAGCAAGACGTGGTCGCGATACCGAAGTCTGAGAATCCGGGGAGGATCAAGGAAAATGCCGATATTCACGATTTCACATTGGATCAGAAGGATCTAGATCTGATTGCTACACTGGATCAAGGCCAGAATGGCAGTGTCACAATCTGGAACCCTTGGACGATTGAGTGAATGTGTGTACTAAACCGGCCTCTATCCCCAACATCGGCAGCAAAATTGACCCGAATTTTGCTCAAAGAGTCTCAAGCTAGCCTCAAGCATCAGGACTACGCAGGTACCCAGGTCCAATGTCGCTTGTTGCATGTGCACTGATGTCTTTTAGGTAAATTGAGGCATTGTGCTCGAGCCTATGTTTTTCAGTCAACCCCAAAATGCGTATCTCAAGCATTCTTCAACCTCGATTAAACAGGCGTGATCAGGATGCGAAACTGCAAATTCAAGCTTCATTCAACAGGCTGTGACTAGCATCAAGCTAACAAAGAAGTATACTTAGCATTACCATGACAGTACTTATTATGCATGCAAGTTTGAAGAGTCTGCAGCACAAGCCATACGATCACTGGGCCATGCCAATACATGACAGATGGAGTCACGGTCAGCGGATGCACTGTTCCGAAATACATTGTTGATTCTTGCGAAGTTTTGTGTATGTGAGACGCTCCGATGAATAGTCGCGGCGTAGCCTTGGTTTCAGTTGCAAGGCTTTCTCAAAATGCCACCAATTGTCCAATCGCAACACCAACGAACATCCTGCCAAGAGGTATGCGACAAGGTCTGCCCCACAGTCTCTGTTGGATGATGAAGAAAATTGACGTCCTTTTTCATAATTGTGGCGACCATCTTTTCGCATTTCGGTCGGCGCTGGCACTCTCTCCCTCATTTTGGTCCCTTTTGAAGACAGTATCATCTATTCTACCACGTCCTCAAGTCCTCATTTCTTGCACTGCTCGATTAGAAGCGACCTGTCACCTCGACACCTCGCCGTCCATCAATTCATACTCATATCTCCAAAACCCTAGTGTTCCCATGCTCATGCGCCAACCACTCCTCCTCCTGTCACCCTTTCGCCTCCTCCCTCTCCTACTCGTCTCCCTCTTCCCCTTCACCACTCCCTTCTCCATCACCCTCAACACAGCCGACCACTGCGCTGGCACACCAGGTGGACACTTCTCGCATTCCCGCCCCGCGCCTCCAAATCCAGCAATATGCCAGACATCGTACCAGACAATCCCCGCCAACAACACAGTCGATGGGAACGGTGGGCTGTTTAACGCCATGATTATGCCTGAGGGCGCAGACACGGCGGATATGGCGATCGCGTTTTATGGACAGCAGGATTGCGAGACGTTGGTCGCTGTGGGGAACGTGGATACGGTACGTGGGTTTGTTTTCTTGGGGGTGTACGGGGTTAGGGAAAGAAGGAGAAAAGACTAACTCACTGTGGTGGGGTCGTAGTGCCTAGGACTCGGCCACTGGTCCTCCTACAAAGTCCTCACGCTCGAAGAGGCAGATGATCAGCTGACCAACCTCGACGGTGCTGAGTTGCAAAGCCTTTCTGTCAATGCCACCGTTACGGCGAGTTCGGGGCAGGGACTTTCGAGTGAGACGGCTTCTGCGACGGGAACCACGACCGCGGCGACGACGATGACGACGAGTGCGCCAATGATGAGAAGAGAGAGAAGAGAGAGAACCGAGAGGAAGACCAAGAGAGAAGTAGAGGATAGAGAGGCTAGAGAGAAAGATGGCAAGACCAAAAAAAAGCGTGGCAGAATCAGTCATGGAGATACGATGGAATTTAATGGCCGCCAATATCGCTATCATCAGCTTTCTGCGAGGACGTGGCGAGGCGTACCCATCGAGCGCTGGGACGCTGGTCTGCATAAACGCAACACGCAGCCGCTGCCTCATCACCGCTCTCGCCCCCTAAGTCACGAGCAACAACACCAGCAGCGTAGTAGCTTTCCCAGCCGTGACGCTGACATCGCTCTTTTGTCGCCAGATTCAGCAACCTCAGCGCCCGAAACGTCAGGGTTGAGGAAGAGAGCAGGCATAGATGCAACGAAATGCAATCTCGTCCGCTCCTGCGCGCTCAAGACCCCGAGCTCAGCGAACTTCTTGATCCGTGACGTCGGAGATGACTTGATGACGTCGATCGCGACGCATAGCGCTGATGGGAACGATTGGACCTTTTTGGAGCACCCCTTTGTCGTCGAGATCATGAACACGGAGGGGGGAAGTGAGGGCTACGTGTACGCGCAGACGGAGAATCATTCTGATGTCAAGGACTGCGCTACTGCGGATGGTGCTATGGTGAAGAGACAGGACTCCACCACCACGACTGCGGTGAATGGCACCCAACCCCAATCGCAGAAATCAACAACCACCACCACTGTCAGCGGTGATGGCAACCACGAAAGACAAATCCTAACCTCCGCACTAATCGAAGGCGTAGGCGGGAGTGAAGTCAGCGATCTAAGAGTCGATTTGAAGATTAATAGTCTGGGCACGGATGGAGCGACTAATAGCTTGTTTGTGAGTACGCGGAGCGCGGGCACGGGGGAGAAGGAGGGGGTTATACATGTGGCTTGTATTGGGGTTGAGGTGTTCTTTTAGGTGAGAGAAGGGCAATGGGGAGGGCGAAGGAGTCGTGGAAAGGAGGGGGAGGAGAGGAGGGAGGAGAGGAGGGAACGGAGGAGGGGAATGTCAAATTTCTGGCTGCAATACCTGGGCTGCAGATGCTGAAAATGGATTTTGGTGTCCAGACTTCTCAGCTGTGTGGCAGTTATACCCACATCCTCGAATCGTACCTTCGGCGAGTGAGCGTACATCAGGATTTCAGGATAGCAGCATGAAGGAAGTAGAGCGCGTGAGTCGCGCGTCGTCTAAAAACAATTTAGCTTCAGGGCTGGAATAGACATTCTTGCCGTTGTCTTCAGCATTTGCAATCGTCTCGACGCTTCGGATCATCTAGGTTTCTATTGATGTCCCGGCGTGATGATAAGCCACCTTCAGTGTGTCACTCAAAAGTACCAGCTGAAGAGACACCGCTGGTCGTCGTTCCCCTCTTCCTGGCGAGCGAATTCGAGTCTCCCTACAACGTAGCCATTTCGCACAACCACAACCCACTCTACCGTCCTCTCCAGCGAGAAATGCCATAAATCGCTCACCAAGACTTCGGAGATCTTGCACCTGCAGCCGCAAAAGCTCGATGTCGTCCCGCTAAGACAGCGTGCCGTGACCGTGCCACACGGAAGGCTGAAACATCACCAGAGCCGCTGTCTAACGCGTTTCACTGGGACATCGTCGAAATCTTATCTGAGAGTAGTGGAAAGGTACAGGAAAGCTTGAAAGATATCCCACCATGTTGAAGGCCGGGTGCCATACATGGGCATCTTGGGGTATTCGCTGCTGTAAAGCATTCGGTATACAATACGAAGGCTTCGCAAGGATACGAGGCCCGTCGAATTCTTTGTGAGGTGGCAGTTCGGCCTTACTGAGGTGAGGGGACAGTGGAACTTCGTCCATGACATCATTTTCTCGGGCCTTGTGGCCTCGGGAGCTTCCTGAAAGCTTCTCTTTCGCATGTTCGTCATGTGGTTCATGGCACAGTGATATCCGAGCCTCTATCTCATAAACGGAACAGTTGTGGCCCCAGGACCAGCCTTGATACTCGTTTCAAGGTCACAAGCCCGGTGGTCGACACATCAAACGGCGTGGTCCGGCCGTAGGAAGTGAGCTTGACAATGGACCGTCCCAGGCCAGATGCAGGCATCGAGGCTTCTTATTGGCTCTACGCCGCATCGTCGACGACATAGGGTCGCATGAAAAATATCTCAACTGTGATTGTCATCTGTGACTGAGTTCGGCCATGATCGAACTACGGCGTGGACGTTCATCTTGCCGTCCTTGATGTGGAAAACTTAGATACACTTGTATGGGGTCCGAAATAGTCCATGATGCCATCATTCGAAAGATGTACAAAATGGCCGGTCTCGCCGGTAGAAGAATTTGCGTCGAAACTTGATCGCAAGTTAACATACACCCAATTCGACTTCTTTAGTACTCACTCACCATGCATACTCTTTCGGCCTTCCTTTCTCTATTCCTCTGCGCCTTTCCAGTCAACTGCATCCCTGCCGCTTTACCAGAAACCGTAGGTGCAGACGGCGACTGCTCCCCACCAGACATCACAGTCGCGAGTGTGGAGAAAGTGAAGCAAGGGCCATATCTCGTCACTGGTGCCAGAGCAGATGCGAACCCTCATGGCGGTAAGCACACGCTGACTGGTGCTGCTCAAGCAACACGAAGCTGATAGACCATAGGATCTGCATCATTCAACAAACAATACAGTGTATCAACAACCATCACAGGAACGGTCGGCCTTGATCTCGAAGGGTATGCTCACCTCCATGTTGCCTCCTTCCACAGGCCTCCCTAATCCATTTCATTGCGTCCACCCATTATGTTTCAGCCAACTGACCTCCACCCCCGCAGTGACCGCACAATCTCCAAAATCCTCACCCTGGGCCTCGGTCTCAATCCACAGTTCTCAATCGCCAAAACGACCGGCACAGCCGTCAGCGCCATCTCCGCCTGCCCAGCCAACGACATGTACAACTTCACCATAACCTGGGGTCTCCAATACTACCAATATTCCTGGCACGTGACGGGCACCAAGACCTACTATGGCTATGATCCCTTGCAGAGGTGCGCTGATTCAGATGTAATTTCGCATAGGAATGGAGGCACGATCCCGTACGATGAGTATTATCCCGCCAAACAGGATGGAGCGCAGGATGGGAGTGATAGTGAGGTGGAGTTTCAGTGCTGTGTTGATAGTAGGAGTTATCCGTATCCGGATAACCCAGTTTGTCCTGATGCTACTTGATGGGAGGAGAGTGGTGAGATGGACCCACACGATGGAATCCCATGAAGAAATGAAGTACGGGGGTTGGTGGCCTAAGGAGGCTACTTTAGTATGAGGATATGAGGAACCTGAAATCATATCCCACTTTTATGACCAATCTAGTCTCGTGAAATTCTAGTCACTGAAAGTGCAGCTCGCTGATCTTGTCTATGATCACATGACGTACGTAGTGCAATTGATGCTATGGAAAAGTGTTGAATGAGATACACGCCTGTTGATAGTGATGATATTGCTGGTTGTCTCCATCAACAGAGCCCCTGCTAGTGGCCCAGCTTTAAGGAGGGTTAGTGCTGACCGAAGGGACAGAAAAAGTCGCGCAGCGGGCTAAACTTTTTGTAGTCTAGCGCGCCCTAGAGGCAATCGATCAAGCGAGTCCGTGCAATGCAATTCTACGACAGCTACGCTCGATACCCTCAAAACTCCCAAGTTTTACGCGTGATCCCGATACACTGCTAGGACGATATTGATTTCGCCTTAGGTCTCCACGATGGACTTGACACGCGTAGCTCGGTGCACACAAGACCGAATGCGGCCAAGGAATGCAGGATCAAACAGCGAACTCAATCCAGCGCAGACCTCTGGTTTCAAGAGCAGAAGAACTACAAACGTGTGAGGGTTGAAGCAAGTCAAAAATATGCTACAAGGTCAAGAGAGAAAGACAGAAACTGAATGCGTTGTTGCTGAGGTGCCTTAGCGCGCATTCATACCCAGAAAGTTCTACGAATGGAGCTATCATGAAAGCCTCCGTCACCGATACTGCCACATCAGCAGAACACGCCTTCCCTCCTCAATCTTCAACCCACTGATCATTGTCCTCCCGATCGAAGTCTTCGGCCGAGAAATGCTCAGGAGGGGTAACATCTTGCTGATCGAAGACTTCAGTCGGGAGATCCTCAGGAGGGCTAACGTCCTGCTGATTGAGGACTTTGGTCGGGAGATCCTCAGGAGGGCTAACATCCTGTTGCACAAGCGGCTTACCATAGGCACCATAAGTCGCCCCCCACACAGCCCGCGGATCATCATAGTCCCAAACTTTCCTCTTCCGTTTTTCAAAATGCATCGTCCTCCTCCACCCACCCTTCTCATACCCCAGCAAGCTCCTAAAAGGAAAGAGGATTCGATCCCTCCAATGCGCCGTTGACGACCTATACCCCCACGCAATCAACTGGTAGACATTGTCGATATCATAGGTTGCTCTGATCTGATCATGATCCGTTCCAACTTCGATGAACATGCCGCCTTCGGCCATATCCATGTCACGAGTGGCTCTATTCCAATTCATCTGGAATTCCTGTTTCTCCAGCACCGCGACGCTGAGCGTGCCGCGAACCTCGCCTGGATGGTGGTTGCGGCAGTAAAAAACATCCTCGATCTCAATCGCGTCCTCATGCCTCACCATGCCTCTTGGAACGGCTTCATTGGGGTTTTGGTCGGGGTGGCCGAGACGCAGCACACCTTTGCCTTCGCAGCGTTTATTCCAGAGATCCTCTTCAGGCCAGCCTTTAGGAGCTGTCCGAGGGAGTTTGAGATTGCCTGGCTCGTACATGTGCAGGAATGTACGGTCGTTCGTCACGTGGTACGGGTAGGTGGTGTCGAATTTCCAAAATGTGACTTGCCCTGGAGGCTCGGGCAGCATGAGCCAGAAGTAGGCGTGGAGGAGATGATACATTGAGGATAGGCTGAAGAGGAGAATGGAGATAATGACGAAGAGGGCAAATCGCCGCCAGGTAGGCTTGATGAAACGCCTGATATTACGCCACCAGCGTACTAGTACATTGCCATCATGAGGGTTGTTCGGCGGCCCGCCTCCAGCATGTTGTCCTGCTGTTGGACCTCCTGCTGGACCTCCCGGCGGACCTACTGGATTAATTGGTGGTGGAACTGGTGGTGGAACTGGTGGTGGGATGGGCGGTGCAACTGGTAGTGCAACAATTGGTGGTGCACCTGGTGGTGCACCTGGTGGCGCAACAACTGGCGCAACAACTGCTGGTGGAACTGCTGGTGCAAGGGGCTGTGCAACTGGTGGTGGTGGATTCGTTTGGTAATTCGGATCCATCTGAATGCCTGCATTTCCATTCCATCAGCCTGTGATATCACCACAAATTCCGACCCAAAATCTCCTTTACGAAAAGAGAATTCCTACCACCACTTTCCATGCCCTCGAATATCGCGACGAGATCTGCCTTCAAAGTAGCTCCTCCGAGAATTCCGTTATTCGCTATTATTGCGTTCCTCAAATTTGGAGCCGTCCAATTCGTCCTATCTGCCTGCAGTGCAGCTCTTCGAAGCACTCGTCTTTGAAAATTCGGATGATTGGGAGGAATCGCTGGAACCGTTGCTGCAAGAGTCGCCGGTGTAGGTGCAGCAGCAGCAGTCCTACCACCTCGTCTGGCCTGTTTGGGGGCCATGCGTCATTCTCAGCAGCAAGCTCTGTCGCAATCACTTCACTTTCTTTAGAGGAAAGAAAGTTGGTGGATGCCCGTTGCGTGTCTTATGAAAAATTTTCTGGGGGGGGTAGGATTGCTGCCGCATGCGGCCACACGCGTTGAATGAGGATTTTTCTTTGTTCATGACTGCAGGTACAACAAAGCGGCATATGCGCTTTCAGATCAACAGAGGGGGTTTTGCGGAGGTACTATGAGTTCTACCTGCCTGGCTTTGTTCGCTTTTGTGGATGGTGGAGGGGAACTGCCCATGGCCAAATCCGGTGTGCTTTGTGTGGAAAGAAGGCGATGGGATGGCTATGTGCGGATTCTGGATCGTGCGATGGTCTTTTGGCATGGGGACTGGCACGCGGCATTTGTAAGTTCGCAGACTGGGTCTCTTCTATCTGGGAATGCTGATATTCAGGTTGATGACCCTGTCAAACGCACCATGGCAATCAAGATCCAAGGTCGCAGGTCCTCATACTGGAGGCCTCTCTGGTATGAGATATATCAGTATGTACTTCACTCCTTGCTCCACTCAACTTCAGCTCCACTCAGACCATTCTTTTTGTTGTGGTATTGAACATGAATTTTCAGCGATCCTTTTCTGCCAACGCATTTCTTGAAGGACTCCCAATTTCCTGAGTCCATTATTGACCAAGACTCTAGCAGCTTGCGCATGTCTTCTTGAGTGTACGTATAGCCGACGCTGTACATTTGCTTCTTGACGTCCGCTTCCTCCCAACAATCCAATGCAAAGATCTCGTCAAGCTCATAGATCCAATTTTCGAGCACTGGATTGACCTTCCGTAGACGATCAAGACAGGCAAACAATACCGGCGCCACCTTCGTGGCCTCGCGTAAGTTCTGATCATCCTCGCTCAGATCGCTCTCGTGGGTGAGATCCAGGTCAACTAATTGGCGAGCTAGGTGCAAGCAGGCCATTGGTCCTTTTTGTTGCAGTATAGCAGGCGTATTCTCATCATCTTCGTCAGGGAATCCATAAAAGCCGACGTGAAGGAATGTGGCCTTAATCATGTCAATTACAGCCGCTATGAGGGGTTTTTGAACGGCCGTAGCCTTCCTAAGCCTCGCTTTCTCCGTCCACTCTAGCGCACGCTCATAGGCGGCAGAACTGCGATCTTCGCGTCGTGCCCTCTCAACAGCTTCTTCGAGGTATAGGCAGATGCACGCCTTGATACAATCTGCCACCAACCAAGACGAACCCGTGCCAAGATATATCAGTCTCTGGAGCTCATCATTGACCTCTGTGGTTTTGACTTTCTCCACCAGCTGTTTTTCCTTTCGCTCAAATACTCGGCCCATTGCTGGTGCGATACCTTGGCGGTTGAACACAGCATCTTCGATGTCATTGTCCACATTATTGAATCGATCTTTGTTGCAAGAATATGGCAGGCCTCGACACTAAGAAAAATCCAAGTCAGCCTGGTCGGGAATTCTCTGGCTTCGAATTTCTCCCCATTCCTGCGATGCCACAGGAAGAGATTGTTCAATGTTGGAAGGGCCACTTACTTCAGGGCAGAGTCTAGTCGACGCGCCGTTGCCATGAAACCACTTTGCAATGCATTTTGCCCCAAATGTATGACCACACTAGATTTTACATTAGTACGGATATTCGGGTCGACCATGCTGCATCCTATGTACATGGAGAGTCATCGGTCCTTCATACTGAGCCTCGTTCACAGAGCCTGAGCAGTAGATTTGACAGCAAATACTACATTTGATACTGTTGATCCCAGGAAGAAATTTACTAGCGTTGTCTCGATAGTCCGACATTGTTTGCTGAATGAGCCGAAGCCGTTCCGAAAATCGGCGGTAGAGAAGGTCGACGACCGCTTGATCGAAAGTTGATGCTATGTCAGAGGAGTGTTTAGGCTATGGACGAATTCAAGTACTCTACCATGACCGTGTCAAAGGCCATATGCAGTCAATGAATCTTACACACGGAGAAGATCACGCGTCTGCTACAACACCTAACACCAACAGTGTTTTACACGGTTCAGGACCTGGAAAACGCTTTCGAGTCGATTGGAACAGAAGTCCCACGGCGATGTGGAGGGGCTAACGCAAAAGGAAGAACAACGAAAATGGTTAGTGACTGATCCTTCGCAGCCATGTTTCTCAGGCTTGATCTCTTGATGAAAAATATCTCGGATACCGCTATGATACATCGTCAATACTTCTCCCTCTTGGTACCTGTTCATGGACTTTCATTTGGGACTTTGCCGTGTGGTGGGCCACCCTATATGCTGTTCCAACTGACGTGTCCATATTCACTCTGTTGTCCATTCGATTTCCGCTCGCCTCGAACCATCTCCTTCCGTATGGTATTGCACAGTCATCATCAATTTTTGCTTTCTTGAAGAATAGTCCTTGAAAGAGGTCCACTTATCCGTGTCGGTTATCGCCCAACTCTTTAGAAGCTGACGGATGTCCTCTTTTGTATAGGTGTAGCCGACACAGTATACTTCTTTGTCAATCTTTTGACAGTTTGACTGATCCTTTTCGAACAAGGAATCAATGTTAATATGCCAGGGATCGACGACTAGGTCTGCTTGCTGGAGCCAATTCAGACATGCTAGTAATCTTGGTGTCGCTTGCGTGGTCTTCTTCACCTCCTCGCTCATCTCGCATTTCTCCAGTCTGTTAGAACCATAGAACTCAGTCAGATGCCGAGCGAGATGCAAGCGAGTACTGGGTGACAATATCCGCAGAAAGTTCAGCCCATCCTCATTATTGCTGTTATCGCAGTTTCCTACGGCGAGGAAGCGAGCTTTAATCATGTCGACCATATTTGCTTTAAGAGAATTCCTGATAAAAGTTGCTGTCTCGACGCTTTGCTCTTGCACCCACAGCAACGCAGCCTTATAGCAAGTAAAGCCGCGGCCTTCATCTTCTGTTCTCTTGATAGCCTCCTCCAGGTAGAGATGCAAACAAGTTATGATGCAATCCATCCCAAGCCAGGCTGAGGCAGAGGAGGTGAATCCCAACAGGCTTTTGAAATTGTCGTTCTGACGCTCAAGTTCGAGTTGCCGCTCCTTGATATGGCACAATTTGGTCATTGCTGAGCTTACAGATCCGGAGCAGAACACGGCTCTTTCTATGTCGCTATCAAAGCAATAGTCTCGAACTTTACTGCGATATGGCAAGCTTCGACACTGCAGAGCTTAAAATCAGTCGCATGATCATGACTCGTTGACGGGCTCTGCCCGCGTGTGGCATCAGCGCTATCATTGAATGAAAAAAAAGTCCAAAGTGAATGGACGCACTTACCGTGGGACAGTGCTTGAGCACTGTGTCTTGACCGACAAGCCATGTTGATATGCACTTCGAGCCAAACGTATGCCCGCACTGAGAGTCAGGATTAGCATTTTCTCAGATTGGGGAAAATATATATATATAATACATGAAGAGTAAGTGGGACTTCATATTGTGCGTCATCCGTATCGCCAGAACAGTAATCTAGACTACAGATGTTGCACTTGATGTCTTCGATACCTGGAAGAAATTTTGTAGGGTTTTCCTTATTCACTGGCATGGTTTGCTCAATGAATGAAGGGACGCTGCAGAGGAGAGGTGCCAGTCAATACCGTCGATTCCTCGATCGATAAGTGACGTGTGCGACTAGTCCGACAATTCAAAGTCGTGGTTTTGTTTGATCAGCCTCCAAGACACGACCGAGTCATACGATGGGTATCAATGAACAAAGAGGTCTTTGAAATTCCTGGGCAAAGTGCAAGCTATTGTGGTCTTCACTAGTGTTGGGCGTCTGGATCAGAAGTTAAAGGTGGTCGGAAAAGTGAAAGATGAAGAGGCCACATGAGTTCGAAGTGTCGCCATTTAGCATCACATACCACAATTCTAGCCTTCCGCCCCAGTATCCGCCAATACAACATGTATCGAAAATGACTCAAATGAATGGATCAGCCTATTACTACGCCACGATGTCTATCTCAATACAGGGTTGTGGCTCCGTACGCCACAAATCTTCTGAGATGAAACCGACGCGCCCCATTGGCTGAAATCCGCGCTTCTATTCTTTTGATATTCTCATGGCTTCAGACTTCTTTCCTCTCCACACATGTTCTTTGCTACTGGGACTGTTGAAAAAGAGCTGGTACGATATGCTACAATGGAAGTATCTCAATGGCTGAAACTCTCGCTCTTGTGCTCTTTTGCGACTTCTCCTCACTCCAGACTTCTTTCCTCTTTACACAAGCCATTTGCTACTAAGACTCTTGATTACAGCTTTCACCTCCCAACGTACTTTTCTTTTGCTAATAGAATTGTTCCTTGCAGCTTTCACCTCCCAACTTACCTTCCTTTTGCTACTGAAGTTGTTGACTGCAGCTTCCCCCTCCCAATTCCCTATACCAAAGACTTGCAAGACCATGGAGCAGGCGACTGAATGCTTCATCTGCCAGGAGCCCTTTGATACAGGCTCACAGCCTGAGACAAGAGTAATTCTGGGCAAGTGCGGACATCAATTCGGGTCTGTCTGTCTTGCAAAATGGCTCCACGTCCCTGGTCGGGAGCATGGCTGCCCCATATGTCGCGAGCAGCTATTCAAGGCTCGTAGTCCTCCAACCCCGCCACAGTTGGAGGTACCGTTGGAGGAAACGTTGGGGGATATACAGCCCCCGCTGATGTACTTTGAAGGCAATCACTTCGCTACGCCTCAAGGACATGCCCTCCGACAATCGCGGGCAGCCCGAATTGCAGAGCTGGAACGCGAACACGCCGAGCTTCGTGTTTTGGCACCCGAAGACTTCGCCTCGGACGATGATTCCGATATTCCGGACCTGGTTTCAATCGCGCCTTCCACTACCGGGGCAGATGACGGAAGTGCAGCCGACCTTGCAGAAGACCGCCAACCCCAGCAACCACTTGCAGATGCGGTGAACACACTAGTAGACCAGATGCAAGTAGCTGAGGGGAGTTCGAGTCAAACACGACCGGGGGTAGATGGCTTCAACGAGGGCGGTTCGGGCACCACAACCACCACGCCTACCACATCTCGACCACAAGCTGGGTTGGTGCAACGCCTTCGTGAGACGCAGCAACGTCGTCAGGCAGGAATTGCTTCTGCAGTGCCTCCACCACTCCCCCTGAATCCCTCTGCCACCAGCTTTGAGCCCTCGGCTCCCTCTCCTCACGGTCGGCAGCGCCAGACCCCTGATCTCGATATGTATCGCTTGTCGGAAGAATCATCTCGGCGTCTCGATGACACCCTTCGACACCCACCACACCGCCCGCAATGGTTTTTTGTTCGGCTTGGTGGGTTGGGCGAGAGTCTCCCCGGTGGTCATCCTGCTGCGCCCCATTCTATGGAGTACCCGCATGAGAGGGCGCGTAGGCTCGCGGAAGCCGAAATCAGAGCTGCGTTTTTCGGACCCTGACGTGGAGGAGGGTCCCATTCCGGAGATTTCAGAGGGTAGCCAGGACTGGTTGGGGATACATGAGGGATTGGATGTCGATGCTAGAAAAATACGCGACGCAAGCGGGATGAATGTATAGGTGAATGTGGACTCGAGGAGTTTTCTTGGATGATGATCACGATTGTAATACGGCGTGTGAGGAGATACTGTACACTAGCACATCAGTTTATATCTTGTGTTGAATTAAATGAGTCTCGTGCTCTCAGCTGTTCCCCGAGATGTTGATAGTGTGAATTGTATAACATGCGCGCTGCCGGATCAGGTGTGTCGTGCCCAATTTCGCCACCATGACACAGGCAAACACGTCATGGCATCGAGGCTGTACAACACGTCTACTTCACTTTCTTACACATGCGAACATTGACGTCACTTGTGAAAGTGCCTCGTACATAAGATTCTTCGTTCCTCGTCCGTCTTCTCATTCTCTTGCACTTCGCTCAAGAGCTTGTGAGATGGATGCCGCAGGCGCAAATGAGGACGAATGTCCCATCTGTTGCGAAACTTTCGATACAGGAAGTGAACGAGAGATCCCAATAACCCTGAGAAGCTGTGGGCATACTTTTGGTTCGGTTTGCATTGCGAAATGGCTGCATGTGCCGGGGCGAATTAATGGGTGTCCTATGTGGTGAGTGACCTTGTTGATGCAAGACCCTTTATCATCTGCCTGTCTCCGAGCATTTATGCTGGCGCTACTAATCGTTTCCTGCGTAGTCGCAACAAACTCTTCAAGCCGACGGATATCAACCGCAACAGCATCGACATGCTCAGCACACATCTTGGCATTACCCGTGCAGGAGTTGAAGAGTATTTGAGACTCAATGTACAGGAGAGACTGGATCGATGGCGGACATTTTCTACCGAACATTTCCCCCAGTCTCCCACCCCCGGTAATCCAACACATATACCCGGACTTAGTACAATACCACGTCACATCCCACGTCGCGAGCGACCGTACGTAGAAGTCCACCGAGATCTGTCCGAAACAGAGCGCTCCCAGCAGGACGCCGTCAGACGCCTAGACATCGCAAGATATGGACTACGACAACTTATCTACCCACCGCGACGCGGCGACGGAACTCGAGACATGCTAGGACAAGATGTTGTCATGAAGGCAATCACGCTCTCTCAAGATCTGAGGGAACTCAGGGATACCATTCAGCCATCGACGCAGACCCAATATGGGACTGACAATGAGTATCCACGTATGACGCGACATTGGTTTGAAGAGCAGCAGAGGAGGGAGCGAACTCGTGCACGGCAGGGAGGAGAGACGTCAAGAGCACAAACGAATGGCCGTACAAGACGGGGGGCGGTTTCCAATCCGGTGAACTTGACACTAAATTCGTCCTCAGGAGGCATTAATCAGACAACAAATGGCTCTTCACAGGCGGCAACACCAATATTCACGAGGCCGACTAACACCCTTTTCCCTCCTCGCCAAGGAGGAGATGGCTCTTCGCCAGCAGCGATACCAGGATCGGCGGCAACAGCTGGGGCTTTTTTCCCTACACTCACAAGCCATGGAGGCGTGGAGTCAGAAGGATGGCCAGGGTCTAGATTACGACGAACTCCTCCACCTGAGCTGGATCGGATAAGTACAGAGCCAAATTGGACTTCAGCCCGTTTGAGATCCTCAAGAGAGATCCCTCCAATGCAGGCGGATCAGACAGCCGTGGAGATGACAACGCCTGAGGATCGTCTACGGGAACTTAATGCGATCACAGAGTCTTGGAACCGACCAGTTCCCATTCCCGGAAGAGAGGCGGATCTGATAATGCCCGAGGCGTCGTTCTTGAGCGATATGTATCCACCTACGCGGCATTATACCCCGTTCCAAGGACCTAGCGTTCATAACGCGTCGGCTGGTCCGAATGATCTCATTGATTTTAACAATTGATCGCAATTGCAGCTCAGATATGCGGGCATCTGGTGGAGGAATTGATTTCAAAACGGCTTGCTTGCGAGTTCTGATCCTTGCAATCGGACGACGGAAATTGAAGATTCGTGGATCTTGACATCGCGTGCAACTTCAAACGGGCACAAGGAATCGAAGAGTGCGAAATTTATCCAAAAGAGGCAGACGTGAGCCTGCAATACTCGAGTGCATCTAATATCATTAGCCTAGAAATTCCCCTCAGCTCTTAATCAAACCAAGTCTCATTGAATTAAACCTCTTCTGACCTTCAAGTATCTGCAGTATCTTCTCTAATCCCATGCTTACATAATGCCCTCAAAGAATCTTTGTCGTACAATCTCTCGGTGTCAGGAAAGTGTCACTCTTGCCACATCGGGTAGTAAACAAAGGAGGGGTAATACTTTATTCCGCGTGGTACAAACACTTGTAGTCCTCAACACCTGTGGTCCGTTCATCTCTCCTTCAACCCTCTCAGTTTCTTCCTCCTCTCCTCCGCGCAAGACATCCACCTTGCAAAAATGTCAGATCAAGAAACGACCTCGCATCCAAAGGCAGATGCAGGCCCAGACTGCCAAATCTGCAACGAGCCGTTTGATTCAGGCCGTGAACCTGAGACGCCTGTTACTCTCACTGTAAGCTTTCCTCTTAATTTCTTCTTCATTTCGGAATGCTTCCCCTGGGAGAAGCGTGACAGAGCTCTCCAAGACGAAGACGCTGTACCATGGTATTGCGCGCACGCTGACCAGCTTCTGTAGTGCGGCCATACCTTCGGCTCCGTTTGCATCGCTCGCTGGCTCCATGTTCCAAATCGCCGTAATGGGTGTCCTATGTGCCGCAATAGGTTCTTCAAACAGACACCGCGAACAGACCGACTTGACAACGTGGCCCGCGAGATCGAAAGAATAGAAGAGCCGCTCCGGATGATAGAGCAAAGAGGAGCGCAAGCGCAAACTGATGCCATGCATCGCGCGGCAATGCGCATGTACGAGGCAGAGAGAGATGAATTGAGAGCTCGCACTCTTCAAGCAGGCCCAGATCCCGATATTGAGTATGCATCGCACCGTGGGCATCGTGAATTTGATACTGATATTCTTAGTGAGGGGACCGATGGAGCAGGGCAATTTCGGAGACGACGTGGCGCGATCGCCGGATTTGAACACTTGTCATCGCGAAATGCAAGGGTCAACCCAAGTCCACCACGTACAGCCACATTGAATGCGGTGCGTAGCGAAGATGAAGGTGAACCAGGCTTCGCCCATCGTCCTGCAGTTAGTTCTCAACGAAGTCTTACTGAGGAGAGATGACGATTGAGCACCCTAACTCGCGCGATAACAAGCTCCGCGCCGCGTTTTCGAACTTTAGAGGACAGCCCAAGGCAAGCAGCAAATCGTGGACCACCTGTATCACTAAGCTTTGATAGGTTCAGCCGGGGAGTGGAACAAGCAATGCCATCACGTGGACTGGGAACACAAAGCACTTCGCCGGCTTACGAGGAGCTACTAGGCAGAGCATATCCTACTTTGCGTGCGGGCGGTCAACGCAACGCTACGATGGAGGAGGGGGTGGACCAGAAATGCAAGCCACTTCGCGGGCTTACGCGGACCTACTAAGCGGAGCATATCCTGCCTTGCGTGCGGGCGATCCACGCAGCGCTTTGATGGACGAAATAGATAATGAGCGACGGATCTCGGTACAGACCCAAGATATTCGTGGACATGTAGCGAGTCTTGAGGCCGAGGTGGATCGTCTGAATGGGACAGTCTCAGAGCTTTCGTCAAGGCTTGCTCCTGCGACAATACACGAAGAGGGTGATGAGGAAGGAGGAAGCGAAGGGAGTGTTGCGAGTCTGATGTGGGAGAACGGGGAGGAGATGGGAGGAAACGAGGGGAGTGTTGCGAGTCTAATGTGGGAGAACGGGGAGGAGATGGGAGGAAACGAGGGGAGTGTTGCGAGTCTAATGTGGGAGAACGGGGAGGAGATGGGAGGAAACGAGGGGAGTGTTGCGAGTCTAATGTGGGAAAATGGGGAGGAGAGGGGTTGAAGCAGAGTATTGCAAGGCGTGATACCAAAGTGAACATGTGTATGCAATTGTGGTTGGCCTATTGGCCCTATTAGAGATATGCTATGTACAATTTGAGTGCAATTTTGAGATTCTGCCCGTCGAACAGGGTCCATGTTTGGCATTGCTAGCAGCTAAGGTCTTCGTCACTGTCAAGGCGGACAGAATGAAGCCCCACAAACATGCCCATCTCAAGCATAGAGTAGGCAGCGCCAGCGTCGGAATTCATAACCAGAATGTCATTGAAAAGCAAAGGGCACTCCTTGCAAACAATTGTTCTCGCATCCAAATGCACCAACTCCATCGTTATCAAGGCATGCAAATATCTTCCAAGTTCAGCACCGGTATCCCGACGCTCAGGGGTTTGGTGGAATTGGATAAGGTGTCAACTCTCTGGCATCCTTCTTTTTGTCTTGCTGAAACCTTATTGAAAGTCGGTCATGCTCTGGAACATCGAAGAGCGCATCGTACGCCTCTTCAATCTTAGTGAGACGAGAGTAGAAGGCATGGTAAGTTGACGTGAACAAGTCGTCGGGAGAAGCAAGGCTGGCTCCAGCTCCACTCGGCAGGAACATACCGAAGAAGGGCGATCCGTTGACCCCATCTTTATAATTGGCCATCGTGGGATCCTTACAAGCTTCTGGGTTTGGAAGCTTCTCTTTCAGGCAGGCATCGAGTAATCGGTCAACTTCCTCCTTGGAACAACGCCCGAGATGTCCACACTGTACGATGAAGTCGAAGACGTCGGCGAGGTTGGTTGCAGATCGCACAATCATGACCGCAAGCCAGACGACAGGACCATTGAAATGCATCCAGGTGACGAGCGGGTCATCGAACTCGATATAATCCGAACCCGGGTGCATCAAGGGTTTCAGACCCTCGAAACTAAACAAAGCCCCGCCGACATGGGCAACAAGATCGGGCAAATTGAACAGGTGTTGCACGGGTTCTTCCAAAGATGCGAGTCTACAAAATTGGTGCAGACAAAGCTGCATGAAGACTTGGAACACCTTGGATTGGTGGCGGCCACGCCACATCAGGCCGCGCATGAGGTCGGGAATGACTACGGGCGAGCATCGGGCGATGTTCGAACCAAGGCTTGCAAAGTGGCCTTCGTCGTATCCACTCCAGTCGAGAGAGAATGCTTCCGCTTTGGAACGGAGCACGTCGTAAGCAATTGAGAAGCCGGCTGATCCAGTTGATTCAGGGGTGGCATAATGTGTCAGATAGCTCTGATCGAGCTCAGTGCGGCGCCGTGCAGCAGTGCTCATGATCAGGAGATGCGGTTTATCGCCAAATGGCTGATTTGTTGATCGTTGGGCTACCCTGACGTCAGGGGACGTCCTTTGCTTCTGCTTCTTGTCTTCACGAGAAGCCTTCTTAGCATTACCCCTGGCAGAAGATTTCTGCATCGTGAGCTGAAAATGGCTCGTTTATTGGTGAGTGTAAGCAAAAGTGGTTGAAATTGTTGAGAAGTGTAGGTAGAAAGGCTTGAATGTAGGCAAAGGGAAATTTCGGAAGGTTGCTGTTGAGCAAGTATGTGAATGGAATGGTTGAACGGAAGAAAGTGGGAGGAGCAACGGGTCTTTATATAGACAAAGATCAGAAAAAATGGGTCTTGGCAGACAGTAGCGGGAGTCATTAGTGGGTCACAAGAGGCATGTGAGTGGAATTGTGGTGGCTGCAACGCCACCGGATCTATAAACCTAGAGGCAGCTGACGATAGGGAAATGTTCAATTCGGACCCACAGATAGTCATGCGGCTTGAGCGCCACCGGCTGAACCGATCCAGCGAAAGGAGATAACAGTCATCATTTGCGGTATCAAATATATATATATCAGTAGAAGCGACCTATCTGGCGTCAATTGGTGGAGACTATCATGCTCATTGTGCAAACATGCTGCTAGAACCCTAAGAGGAGAAAACAACAATGACCCAAGGCTCCAGACAACAAACTTCGAGATACGATGTAATCGGATCACAAACTACGCAGAATATGGACTCTGATGATGAAGTCTTCTACTTGACCTGTGATGGTCGAGGCGACAGAAAAGGCACAGATTGCCGTTGCCGCGACTGCCGCGGCGCCGGTAAAACCGAATAACCCCAATCAACGTAACTACTACGGAGACTACAAAGATTGCAATGATTCGAGACTGATGTACTCTCATAGAGACTGATGTCGGGCTTGTAACGGAAGAGCTCGGCTTTAGGCAGAGCGCAACACTGTAATCCTTGCGACGACCGCTCTGGTAATGAAGCCACTCAGGAGCAGATATCAGAACCAAAGCTTTCTCCGCCTCTTGATCCTGGACGATCATGACACGAACACAATCACAAGAAGCTTAAAAGAGTGGGATCTTTGGAACATTAAGTATCTGAAAGCATCTCGCCACCATCACTCTCCCCAAGCGACCCCATCAGCCGCCGCTGCACCTTCCAAAACTGTCCAGTCTGCCAAACCAAAGTCTCGCCATACTCTTCCTCCAGTTCTCTCTTGCTGTCTCGATATCTCATGAACGCCGTATCCCAGACTTGCTGCCAAGCCACTTCTAACCTCTCAAGCAGCGCGAGTTTCTCTCGAATACCAAACACAGGGGGATCGAGGTCGAGTGCTGCACGCAAGATAGCGATCTCGCTCTGACATTCTTGGACTTTGGCATCGACCTCTTCAAATTGTGCAAAGCGGCGCTTTACGAGGAGGCGGCTACCGTTGTGGACGTGGCGGTCGAGGACGGTCTGGCAGGCGCAGTGGGTGTGTTCGTCCCTGGTGTGTGATGTATCAGTGGTGATGCGGTGAAGAGTGGGGAACAATTCTCAAATGAGATCTTACATGAGGCTAAAGCGAGCGAGAGATGATATTTCATGCCTACTCCAGATTTAAACACTTGTGGATGGAAGACGTGGTCGAAAGAGGGAGTTCTCCAAAGTCTTCTTGACTTGGTGCTCCCATTTGGAAACACTGACACTATCTAGTATCACATTATGAGTGTGCTTTGGGACGACACGTGTTGCGATATGGGTTGTGACACCGCATGCGAGAATCACAGGGTCAAATCCTCTCGCATACCACTGGCTCCGTCTCTGCGGAGCCGGGTTGGACAAGTTTGTATTCCGTAGAACGTTGAGGTCCCACAAGTCTGGAAGCCTCGCATACCCCGAGTATAAACTCGCCTGGTCTTCTATCTTCTTGTTCATTGTAACAATCTCTCCTGCATACATCAAGAAAGTGAAGCCTTTTGTCAATACTACTTTCCGTACGAGGACCACCATCCAAAGCCAACAGAAAGCTTGTTCAACACAATGCCTCAATCTTGCGGAACGTTGAACCCGTTCGAGAAAATCTTTCCCGCAGACCCTCACAAGTTCTGCGACTGCAAAGACGATGCCGAACGCGAGCGCCACAACGAGCTCCGTAACAACCTGTTCAGCCTTCTTGATGAGAAAAAACGAAATGAAGCTAGAGCGAAGGAAAATCGGCGCGAGCTCCGCGCCTTCAATGCAGCACCCAAAGGCCGTCCCGACTTTCTGCAACACGCTGAACGACGCCGAAAATTAGAGGCCGAAGCCAACGACATAGAAAAAGAACGCCTTAAGATAGGGAGACTACATCGTATTACGAAAGATGACCTATGGCAGAAGTACAATGATCGACATTTATATAAAGATTGGGGTATCCAGGTGTATCGGCCAAACCGATCGAGGACGGTGGTTCAGGATGAGGGTTAGGCATGTCAGGGAGAGTGTTGAAGATCCGGCTAAATAGCTGATTATTCGTGCACTGAGTACAATGAGGCGAAAGATGACGGATCCCATCTTGTTTCAGCGCTCGATCTCGACAGGCAATGGTTGGACTTGGTTTAAGGGAAAATTAATGTCGTACAGACTAACTCATCGCCCGATTTTCATAAAGCTCTTGTATTGTAATCTCCCCTCCCCTTCTCCAAATAATCTTCCGTTCAAATCATCATCAAAAAATCAACCTACGATCAAAAGAGCCTCTAAAACTACAAAGTCACTTTCAGCAACAACATCACCAACACCAAATGCCTCACTCAAGCAACCCCCTAATCTCGATCCCAAAAACACCGTCTCCCAAGACCCAAACCCCAACCCCGACCCCAAAGACACACCCCCACACCCACTGCACCCGCCAAACCACCTCCACCTCCTCGCGCCAACAGCACGACGCCTTCCGCGAAGCCGCAAACCACGCAAAAGCGAAGCTCAAGGACGCTAAAGCGCGGAAAGACAATTGTCAGACTGAGGTTGCCATGCTCAGAATGCATGCGCAGATGGATGTCGTTGGGAGGATCAGGACGGAGGCGGAGTTAAAGCTGGCGGAAGATAGGATTGTGGAGGAAGGAAGGAGGGGCGTTGAGGAGGCGGAACGGGAGTATGCGGAGGTTTTGAGGAGGTTGGGGGAGGTTGGAGGGGGAGTGGGGGAAGAGGTGTTGTGAGAGTGATGGGGAGGGGGATGGGGATGGGGAGGGGGATGGAGGGAGAGGGGAGGGATTTGAGCGAGCGTAGGGGCGTAGGGGCGGAGGTGAGGGATTTAATGGGTGGGGGTGGATGGATCAGGGCCGGCGAAGTGGAGGGTTGTCATCAAGTTTCTCTTTCCGGGGCGCTGTCTTTCAATGATGGGACGAAGTAGGGCAGAGACGAAGTTTGCACAATTGCTCGTGAACGCCTGATCTTGCACCGAGGTTCTTAGACCAGCCATTTATGGATGCCTGTAGCACGAGAAATGGAAGTCGTACGATTGCAACCCTTCAGGTCGATGGGGAATCGGCGCTGTACGGTCCCGCATGCATGTAGTCTTGGATCATGAGCGATGTGGATAGTATGTGGATGTCCTTGGCCGGGGTCACAGGGCGCATATCTGATGTCTTATAGCTCCATCCACAAAGTATATGAGGGCAGAGCGGGATAGTGATGCTCAAGTGGACAGTACATGCTTCAAGTGAGGGAGAAGGAGCCACACGTGAGCAGCTATGAGGGTGAAAATGTGCGAAGATGATGATGGGCTGGTATATCATGTACCGATGACTCTTTTAGAGGATGAGCCGGTGGAATGAGGACGTGATTTGGTTTGTTCGGTTTGAGAGCTTGGATCTATGAGCTCTGATTCTGGAATGATCAGCTGTTGGTGCTTGTGTTACATGTCGACGACAGTGGCAGTAGGATAATATTTCGTCGTGACCGTAAAACCACAAAAGTGATGCACCGTCTAGCTAGCAACACCAATTCACTTTGTCCAATAGACGGTCTAGGGTTTCTTGAAGGAGTCTTCGTAAAGATGGTGCCTGGTACTCGAGGTCGATTAAACGTTCGTCCTGATATCTTGTTGCCTTATTAAAAAGCCTTCCACTCACGCCGCCCACATGACTCCATGCTCTTTCAATATATCTTCTGCTCTTTCGGCCTTATCTGAGAGACGTTCAATGGTTGTATGTTGCCTTGAGTACTGTATAGCACTGAGTTCGTGGGCAAGCTGTTCCCTGTGAGCAGGTGAGTCCATGCGGAGGGATGAAGTTACCAAGCTTCGATTCACATACACATCACCGCATTCTGCATCATGATAGCAGTCGCTCGAGGGAAGCCAGTCCTCATGCCGCACTCTTTCCAGTGATCCCATGTCACTGGTTGCGATTCATTAGGGTAGATATCAGAGAGGAACATGTCGAGTACATTCGCCATCTCTGCTTTGGCGGCGTAATCAGTGGTGACTGTGTATGCAAGACTCAGGAACATATTCATTGATAGACCACCCAGAGGTCGATATGCCAGCAATGTCTTTGCAAGGTCCAGAATTTCCAACGAGATGTCGTTGTTTTCGGCCTGCAGCAGCGTAGTGTTCCCATCCATGGCGAGTGTGATGAGTGTCTTGTTCAGAACTTGGTTGATGGAAAGCCCAAAAGCGAGCATTCGCGCATGATGGCAATGTTTCGCACGATTGATTTTTGAACCGTTGATCTCGGTGTTGGTGGAGGGTGAAGCGGTGTTGTACCACCGTTGGCGAAGTCTTTCCAAGACGGAATAAAATTTTATTTGAACATCAATGATTCTTGACCGTAAACTTATGATTTCTTCATTCGAAACATATGAGTCTGCGAATGCGGTGCGAGCGTCTGCTAAGATGTTTGGAACTTGCGACAGGCAGACCATCAGATCACAATCGACGCTGACGCAGTGTGGTGGTCTAATCTCCATCAAACATTGCCATTGTTCAGAGGTGAGTTGGATGCTTTCGTCCACGAGCCCCTCTATGATCTGAGGACATTAGCTGGACAAAGCATGGACGATCGTGATGAATATTTGTCTGAGAACTTACTAGTGGACCGCGTAGCGTGACGAGAACCTGTCGCTCGAATTCGTTCTTCGGTCGCCAAAGATTCCCCTTTTCGATGATCTGCCTGACGCCTCGGAAGTGGCTCATTGAAGGCGTCATATCGCGTAGGAAGAACTAGAGCATCCACATCAGCGTCCGGGCTCGAAGATTCATGGGTGCCTACAGACTTGGCAGATGGACAGCAGCATAATAGCGCACAACGCCTCTGACGTGTAGGCTTGGGCTGGATCACTCAAGCTTCCTGCAAGTGTCTTCAAAGCGCGGGAGTACCTGGACAGGGTCAAGGTGCTCGGCACCGGTTGGCCAGCACAGTAGTCTGTATGGGCGGCAAGCAGAACAAGAGCAGCGGCATCCAGAGCCTGATGGTTTCCTAAGCGCCTTGGAATCTCCTTCAGAAAGGGCCCGAAGTTCATGACTAGTTGGTATTTGATGTCTTCGGCAGCAATAGCCTTGTTGACGAACGCTTGTGTCAATCTATCTAAGCTATTCGAGGGCTCTCTTGCAAGGGCTACGATCCATGTCGCGGGATCTGGCTTGTACTCTGCGTCGTCCTTGCCGTCTGGAAGGGCTGAGCCAGGATATCGTTGCTGCAGCCTAGGCCCTTCGTCTCGAAAATAGAAACGCTGTTGGCCGTGCCCTACGCATGTCAAGTTGTTCTTGACACAATAAGTGCAGCGACCGAGCGCCACGTCGCACTGGTTCCTATCATATGAGCGTCGCACTTGTTGATGCAGGCTATCGGAACTTCGTACCTTTTTCTTTCTTCGACGACAGGCATCGCAGCCTTTACCACTTGGAACACCAACCATCGCAAGGTATTACTCGTACAATATTACTCGTATGTTATCGCTGGATAGCTCCAAGTTCATAGACTCCTTATATAAGATTCGATACACCGCTGCTTGCCTCTTGCCAGGAGGTGGGAGTCATGCAATTGTTGGAAAGGCATTCTGCAACCCTCGTGACCTGCAATCCCTAATCAAGTTATCATTGGACGACACAAGCGCACAGGCATCTGATAAGATATCTCTGCATGTTGTCTGTCAAGCGAGCCAATTGTAAGCGGAACACCGAGGAGCGCTGAATGAAGCCCGTTATGGCTAGTTGCTTTTAGCTGCAGGAGGCTCACTCATCCAGCCTAAGTCAAGCCAGGGTCCACTTCGGACTCGCTCATGCGGACTGCTTTCTGTATTTATCGAATCTCTCCGACAGCCGGCTTGGAAAGCTGCAGTAGGATTCACACTAGTGACCGCAGTGGTGATTCATCTCGTGAGATACGTAGGTATTACGAGGATAAGTCGATCTACACCGAATATATGGAGCAATTGTTGTCAGCTTTCGAATCTCGTTAAAATCGTTTTTCAGATCCTTCGCAACAGAGCTGATTCAGAAAGTCAATGTCCGCACTCTGGCATGGAAGTCATGCAAGTCATGATTGATATCTCGAGTTCATACGAACTCTCTGAATCGACAAGTCTGCTGCTTGACAAATATGGTGCAGACTTCCTCTTGATTGTACTAGAAAGACAGAAGGCTTTGTCTTGGATCAAGCCTAACATTTTGGTCAGACCGAATGGCTCGTCATTTAGCAATGCAAAGATTGTCTGATACAAACCCACATACCGATATATATGCCATGGTCTTCACTACTTCAAGAATCGTTAGAGCTGGAATAAACAGAAGCAGTAATGATAGCATGACGTAATTTCCACAGTTGGGAGCTCAGTGGTCAACTGCCTCGCCATTGACCATGCGACATACCTACAGGTCGTAAAGGATAGCTTCGAAGCAATTTTGAATGACATTGATTGAAGATTCGAGTGTTACTGCATCAAGTGTCCTTGCGACTAATCCGGTTAGCCTCCGTTTCGCCATGCTCTTCACTTAGATTTATTACGACCCTTTGAGGGGTCTCAAAAGCTCTGACTTACACCAACATATATTTTACACTATGTTATGGCCTACTTCCAGCACGAGATGAAGTTTCAGTACCGCTGTTGTGTGATGCTCGGTATTAAGAATTTTGTCGGACGCGTATGCCAATAGAGCGAGCGCCGATACTGGTGAGACTGGCGGTGCTCATTTGATCTGGAAACATTACAGTAAGTGCAAGCTTCATGCGTAGACCTTTCCCTATATCATTTTAGACGTCGTAATCTGGATATCCAGCCTTGGTAAGCAAGAATGCTCGAAGATCACCATGGAGCTGATAGTGAACCCCACAGTCTGGCACCTCATGAACCAGAGTCGCAAACGTTACAGACTTTTCAAATCTCGAAATATGTACTGCGTTAATATCAATATGCTGACCTTGACCTAGGAGCTTTCATCAGGGTTTCAGCGGCGTTTAATCTTCTTTCAATCCTCCTTCGAGCAGGACACTTTACGCTTTCTAAGCGAGAACGAGGAGATCATGGCGCAGAATGTGCTCACTACAGAGGAATTTCTCTCAGGTATCGACAGTGTCATCTGCAGTATCTGCCGTGGTAGATACTTGACAGGTGCCCACGGAGAAGCCAAACATGAACCGCCCCTGACACTCCATGTGAGCTGTATCCTGTGCCTGCCAATTGCAGTATGTCATAAAGGATGGGAAAGCTAATTAGAACTTAGTGTGGTCACACATTTGGCGCAAAATGCCTTTCGAAATGGGTGAGCGGCACAGGCAATGGAAATTCCTGCCCGACCTGGTAAGACCATATCTGAAATTAACCTTACCCACATGGATCTGACCTGGAGACTTATCTTAGCCGAGGGCTGACCTACAAGAAGAAGAAAGAAAAACGACTCTGGGATAGAGATATCGAAGCCGTCGTGATAGCTTACAGCGATATGTCCCGAGGAGCACAGTGGAAGCCCAAGGATAAGATGTTGAAGCTAATCGAACATAAACGGGTCGTCTGGGCGCTCGTCCGTGCTTTCTCGGGAGAAAAGCAAATGCTTAGTAGGAGAGCAATGAAGGCTTGTATATGCCAATGTATCTGGCTGTACTTGTTAAATGAGATGCGCATATACGTGCAGGAGGATCGCGATGTCACCGCGCACACGGCATTACTTGAGGAATTAGGTGACATCACAAAGGAGCAATCAGAACAGCTTACAAAACAGCTTTCTCAGGACGCCAGTGACATGATCAAGGGCATCATTCTACGTACCTCAGCACTTCAGATACCGGCTGCAGACCGTCTGAGGTTAGCACGCAGGCTGATCGACAACCCCAAACCCAACAGCACGACTGATTTCAAGCGTCCTGAGAATCAAAATCTCCATATTGCCGGTCAATCTGTGCCGAGACTTCTAGCCTTTCTTGGAAAATGCAAAGGCTCAGAGTTCATCTCAGACAGATGGGATATCGACCTGAATGTCTTAATCGAAGCGGACACCCAAGTCTCCGAATCCTGGATCTTGGACAAGGGCCAAAATTTCGGTCAGACATATGGCAATGCAGAAATGACCGGCATGCTGGCGTCTTGGGGGTTGTCCGAGCCTGCAATCTGGAATGCCGATGAAGATTCCGAGGCAGATAGCGTACTAATGATGACCATGACAAAAAGCTCGGATGAAACGTATCAAAGGGGTAAAGGCGGGCTTTCCTATGGAGGAGATGTTAAGGGGGTCTATGATGCATCGGTGCATAAAGCCAAGAAGGAACCTGAAGCGTTGAAGGTATGAGGCCTGCTGAACAGCTGAAGGCTTGACCTCGATAATGGACAGTCGTCCATGACTAGTAGGAGAGTCATGACATACCCCTTCTGTCTGCTTTTGCAACTCTGTGCGCTTGTGAGTCCAGCGAATCGCTTCCAGAACAGAATAACCTCTTTGTTCCTTGACGAATGATACTTCGCTTTCACCACCATTATGTGACCGTGAAAGGGTGAAAGAAACACATCAACAATGTATTCACAAAAGATGCTAGAACAAAGACAACAAAGAAGCTGTGTTATCGTTATCCAGTGGGCACAGTAAAAGCCCTCGCGATCTCCGAGGATACAGGAAGACGATACTTCCACACCATCTTTTTAACTGAGGACCGAGACTGCAACAGTAGGCGCTGAGCGCATCACCAGTGAATATCCGCATCAGAAAAATCACCGTCACCAACCAACAAACCCCCCAAAACTCCCACCATGGACGCCTCCGATCTCTCGGACTCTAGCTTCCTAATCCCCATCGCCCTCGTCCTGATCGCAGGCTCCCTCGCAACACTCTTCCTCAGCCCCCAGCCCGCCCAGCCCGAGCCCACAACCGACACCCCCACCAAACCTCAAATCCACCCCACGGACCTCCCGCTTCCTCCACCATCACCCCTCCTCCTCCCGCCACCACTCCTCCCCCTCCCCGTCTCAGCTCCCCCGCCGCTGTCGAGAAAGCACGTCTCATATTCCTCCCCACCCTCCCCTGTCCCATCGCCCACGGAACGTCGTAGGAAATTCTCGTACCCGAAAGAGCAGTATCCCCTGAAAGACTGCCATGGACTGGCGAAGGGCGGGGTGTATGTGATGCCTAGGGACCGTAGCGGGTCATCGGGATCGGGATCGGGGAAGGGGAAGGGGAAGGGAAAGGGGAAGGGGAGGCAAGGTCGTCTGGGTAGTGCGTTTGATGTCGCCGGGTATCTTGATCACATAGCGCCGGGACTCACAGGGCTGGGGGATGGGGATGTGGAGCTCGTTAAGGTGAGGAGGTCGATGAGGGAGGGGAAGGGGACGAAGGCTGTGAGGTTTGATGAGTTGGAGTGGTGAGTGGCGAGTTGAGGGAACTCTTATGGATTAATTGCTGTTGCGGTCGAGATGCATGCTTTGTGATATAGTTGTCAATCAATGATGTTTTTCAAAATGCTGAGTTCTTTTTCCTCGTGTCGTGCTGTCGCGGAGTCTTGTGCAAAGAGCAGGGCATCATCAACATGATGAATGGTTGGCAAGCTAATCGACAGAAGGCAGCTGCAGCATACTAAGATCCTCATACAGCGCGGCTGTCTCATTCTCCCCTGGCCTCGCAATATCCATGTGGATCACGCCCACATCATTCCCACCAATCTCGATCGCAACAGATCTTTTGGGCGCGAACGCCTGATGGCCACTCATATACTCTCCAAACCCCCGCAAAGCGTCGACCATGGATCTGTACGACATCGGTCGCGCGGCAAGGAAGGAGAGCTGCAACCTATTGAACTTGACAAGTTGTGGAAAATTGGGAAAGATTTCGTCGGAGAGGTGGCCGGAGATGAAAGCCAGGCCTTGGATGAGGACGCCGAGCGTGTCGGTGGTGGATGTTACGCTGCCGTATTCGTGGATTTTGAGAACGACTGGGGGGGAAGACCGGGGGACGTGGACGGAGCTGCCGATGGTCAGATGGGGATATAAGGGGGGAGGTTGAACCTACATTATGACTTCCATCTCTGTGTCGTTTGGCTTAAGGGCACATTCTGAGGATTGGGAGCATTGGGCTGATGCGCAGAGAGTTGGGTTTGCCATGGTCGATTGCGCAATGATGTTGCTGACGAAGAAAAGCACGACGGCGATAATGTGCCATAGCGAGCCTGCCATTGAGGAGGGTGCCCTGTGCAAGAGAATCTGTAACTCCCAAAGACGCTTCTCAAGTACTTGATGGAGTGAGCTGAAATATGAGCACTTCGATGATATCATGTCTGGCGGCTATGGTCTTTGATTTGTTTCGCATTGTCGACAAAGATAGCGCAGTGGCCACTTGAATAGATTCGCGATGATAAGAGTGAGATTTTGCTGAGACATCCAAACCCTCTGTGACTATGAATTGCAATTCTTCTCCTCGGTGGCAAAAATTGTGAAGAGGCTCAATCAAGCTTGTTGACCCGCTCCCAGCTTTATATTGAGATACCCTGGGGTTGCTGTTGTTGCAGAGCTCCGCCCAAGGTGCTACTTGCATCAAGTATATGCTTCACAACTTACGAAGCGGTTTGGCCCGCGCATCATGTGCTTACAAGTTGTGATAGAGCATTGCATTAAACGCATTCTTCTGGATTCCAATTGCCGTGTGACTCAATCCAGAAAATTGCATGAATGTCAACTGACGGTAACTTGAAATGAATCGGATATTGAGAACATGAGATTTGTTAGACTGAAATTGAGGTGCTTCTGATCAAATCATTCAATGAGAAGATGCTCTTTGTCTCCAATAGTAACTTCCAACTGAATCGCTTTTAGCCACGAGCTGATAATCTACAAACAGCTATGATCCAAAATTGAGACCAATGTATACATACGCATATTGTCGGTGAGTCTATTGTCATGTACTTGGCTTCTGCGTGTTGCCAATGGAAGAATTTCTTCGGCTGTAAGGTATAGGAACAGCGCTTGCGTACGTCGCGGCTTGGTCATCAATCCAGTACTGGAGCAGGAGTCTGAGCTTTCTTTTCCCGATTCGTCCTCTCTTTCAATGCCATCTCGCTCTATTTTCCTCTTCGTAAGCATCCTCATTGTACCCTTCCCATTCATTCCTCATACTTGATGCTGTCCTCACTGGCGTGGGAGGACCCGGCCGTCTCCGCCCTTGGAAAGCTACGTCTCCATAGACGTTCAATGTGCCACCGATGATACCGTCGCCCAAGAACGAGATACTTCCCACATTAGAGGATCCGTAGCTCATCATGCCCTCACTATTTTCTCTACCGCGCCAATTGAAGGGGATTGAGTTAGGGGAGGCAATGGTCGGGCGGTGCGCGAGGCGCAAGATACCTGAATACATGCCAAAGTCATAGGCGCCCCACACATTGGGCGTGTCAAGCGTAAGTGTGAGGGTACAACCATCTTCTGGTTCGAACTGCGGCCATTGCCCTTCAAGCTCGCAGTCGATGTCGTAAATGCCGTTGATGATCCCGACTGGGCGTGAGGAGCTCTCCGACTTGATCTTGTTCTCCTTCTTCACGGTGGGCTCTTTTTTTACCTTAGCTTCTTGCTTGATCTCCGATTTCTTTGGCAGAGCTGGCTCCTTCTTCACGGTGGGCTCTTTCTTGATTTTAGCCTCGTTCTTGATCTTTGACTTCTTTTGGACACCCGGCTCGTTCTTCACTATTGGCTCGTTCTTTATCTTAGGTTCTTTCTTCACCGTAGGTTCCTTCTTCACCGCAGGTTCCTTTTTCACAGCACCATCCTGTTTCTCAAGATGATCTTTCTTCACGATAGGAGTCTTTCCTGACTTTGACTCCGCTTTCATTTTGGAGCCTTGGCTCACCTTCGGTACCTCTTGAGCCTTCTTCGCATTCGGCACCACATTACTAAGAAGATGTGGCTCGGAGCCATCGATGTCACTTGCTAGTCCTCCACTTGAAGTGATGTGATAACCAACAGGTGGTGGTCCTGGGGCAGGGAGACCTTGCTGTATTGCGTTCCTCCAAACTGATGATAGTGTCGAACTACGTGCAGTTTGTTTTGGCATTGTAGTAGTCGCCTTCTCTTTTAGTTGAGGTGCTGCTTGTGTCTTTGCTTTCTTCGCAGGTGGTCCGCTCTCTTTTGGTGTTGCTGACGGCTTCGCTTTTGCGGTGCTACTCCCTGATTTGACACTTGGAGCAGGCTCGGGCTGCTTTCGCTTCTTGGGGGCTGCTGTAGGTGCATTGACTGGTGAGGAAGCGGAAGTATTTGCCTTGTACTGAGCTTTAGCTTTTCGTTCCGCTGTCGCGTACTCCTTCTTCATCTCTGCCTCCATGTTGACGATATTCGTGGGTACACCAAGGCTTGATTTGTTAAGGGCCACCAGGAGGCGCATCTTGCTCGTCGCTTTGTTCTTCGATGGTAGAAGACCATAGTGTAGGCATTGCGCCGCGAAGAAGTGAGCCGACTGGTCTTTGATTTGCAGCCCATCGCTGGCTTTTGATTTCTTGAGGTCTGGACGAAGTATGTTGGTGAGCTCAACTACGGAAGCTCGTTTGTGACGATTGAAGTCTCCCGCATCTGCGTACAAATCCCCATTGAAGGAAAAATCGCCTCTCTGAACAGGAGTTGCAAAAGCCATGACCTATGGATAGACTAGATCTAATTCATTCAACGGGGAATGTTATGAACGTGAGAGCTGCTGAGGGGCAGAAAGCCACAGCAACGAAAAGGCTTGGCAGGGATGGATGCACGTGACTGCGCGTTGCTTACTTAAGTGTAGCCCAGCCCCGCACCAGGTCTCCAGCCACCTAATTTGAAGAAGCCCTTCACTTTCCAGCATTTTCCATTCCATCAAGCAATCTCATCACACGCACTCACAAATTCCATCTCAGACATTTGACATCATCGAACATGAAGAAAGGCGCATGGGTCCGACCCAAACATCCCAAGAAACCCGAGCCCGTCAGTCCAACAGAAGCCCTCCTTCCCATGCTCAACTGGATCGGTGGCCGCACCCCTCGATCTCGCTCCACCTCTCCCACCAAGAATGCCCGCCCTCCTCAGCCCCTGCAACAAAGACATGTCAGCAATGACCCAATCCTCCAAAGCCTCCAGAAAGCGCAAGCACAACAAGAGGCAAGACCTGTGTCGCAGGGTAGCCACCAGACACGAGTCTCCCAACCTAGAAGCAGACATCAGGAATATGCAATTGAAGTAGACGAGGATCTAGAGTCGGAGTATATTGAAGAGATCGTTCCCGAACCACCGGTTATACGAAGGGTGGTCGCACCTCAACCACGCGCAGTGCCTGCGGCTTCGACGGTGAGGCGACCGGCAGCAAGAACATCATATGAGCGGCCGGCTCCGAGAAGGGAGCCGCTGGTCAGGGAGAGAGAGCCGATGACACGAATGAGTCCGTGGGAACGACTGCAGGAGGATAGGAGGAGGAGGAGGGGAAGTATATCGAGCGCGTGGGAGGACGCGATTACGCCGTTGCAGTTTGGGCGGCGATGAGAGAAGTCACGATACTCTTCAGATGAATTCGCAGTGGAGGGGAGAAGAATGAAGTGAAGCCAGCATCTTTACGATAATGCACGCTATGAGGAAAAGGACGCACTCTGAGGTCAGAAGACTTGGGCACCATTAACATGCACTGCCGCAAAAGCAATACAGAAGAGTTACATCCTGGTCTTATGCGACAAATGAGCATCCCTTTCAGGAGATTGAAGCTTGAAACCAATACATGAAGCATCTTTCCAAGCACTTCCCACAGAGATACGAGTTGAAGTCTGACATGAAAAGAACTCAGGAAGTTAGTAATTGGTTTGGGCGGGAGAGATGGGAAAACGCATTCTGTCATAGTGAGTACGATGAACATGTCTATAGCTGTAATTAGCATTGGTATATTTCATGAGTTATGCGAAGCGTCCTTTTCTCCTTTTCAATCGAAGAATTTTTTCAATCGAAGAATTTCGCGTGATCGATCTGTTTCCAGCCTTTTTTATTTTGTGTTCGTTCTCGAAAGCGGGTGTAGTGTAGCTTTTCAATTGATATATACGAACGATTTGATTTTCCATCCACCTCCCTCAGATCTCTCGCTCTCTTCTCAGCATCGCTTGCTGTATGCACACTCTCTTCGATCCTCCTCCTCTTTACCAGATCCTGAATAATGAACATCCATCTTTTACCAATTGTCTCAGTGTCTTACTGCCCCATCTCCATTTACCCCCTCTCACCCACAAAGCACCTTGATGCCCTGGAACTAAGAAAGCGTGAATCGCGTTCGGCATTTGGAGGTAAGCTTCTGGTGATATGTCACTTGGTGTAGGACAAAGACTCTCCCCACTCCTCCTACCTGGCGCTTCCAGTAAGCACTCGGGCCTGAGCTTACCCCTCCGCTAAGATCATCCCATCCATCAGACTCATCATCATCATAGGGACCATCCCCTCCATCACCCGCACCTCCACCAGGAGCTGCGGTAGTCCTCGACGCAATTCTCCACCCAGTTTGGTCACTACGATCGTTATGAGTGCAGCCAGAGCTGCTTGACATAACGATTGCCAGGGATTATTAGAAATGTAATCAAGAAGTCAATAGGCGGTGCAGAGAACCCTGACGAAATGTCGATGCTCGTGCTTGCGAATCCAGATGAGAGGAAATCTTCGTACCCGGCGCTGGGGGATCTCGATTCATATTCTCCAGAAGGCCTACTATTCTTCCGATTTCCAGACATGTTTGTAGGAGGATACAGTAAGTATGCTAGGCTTTCTTTATGGCTGTTGGATGCTTTTGGCATTGTTCGTCCGTATGTATATATATTTATATGTATGCCTCGACGCGTATTCGAAGGCGAGAAAGTGTCGAAGATTCCTGGTTCCTGACGGCTGGAGACTATAGACTATTCCACCTGAGGATTTGCTAGGCGTGTTCATTTTGTCTTATGCCTTCTTGGTGTAGGGCGAAGACCACTCCTCATTCTGCCCGTGAAATGCTTTCAACTAGCATAATTTGTGTGTGCCCGGGTAGCTCGACGCGTCCTAGAAGGTGAGAAGGACTCAAAGAAGTATAGCAGTCAGGACGTGAAGACTGAAGTACTAATTAAATTCTGTTATCTTGGAATCTTTGCCTTTCCCTAAGATGGCTGATATCCAGACATCACCATTATGTCTCAAGACATAGTTACCACAGGATCTTGGGTGGCTCTGCTGAGCTGTTCAGCAACTGTTAGCCCTGCACTCAATTACAGATTTGTAACACTACATATTTAATGCAATCCAAGAGATAGGGGATTCTGGATCGAATGGTGCGCACCTAGACAGTCCTCGTCCCGGCACTTTTTATCTTCGACGCAGAGCTAGGGATAACTCGCCTTCGGGAGTGGTTACATCTCCAGCGCTGGGGTTGAACGGATCATAGGTATTTGGAGCCTGGGTACCGATCACTTCATCCGGCTGGTCTTGAACTTAAGACACCTGTTGAATCTGGGATCTGGACGTCTGCGGTATCTGAACGACTGCATTGAATGCAGCCGGTCTTCGGTACCAGCATTGTCAGATTGCGGGACATGATGGTTGGATATGCCGGCCGGTGAGTGCAGAATAAGTTAGGAAGGTAGAATACTTGTGCCGGAAGTTGGCTCTTGAGCGGCTCGCTCCGCCCAGAGGTAGGTGTCGCTTGCTTCCAGCATATCTAGAAAGAGGTTGTCGCTGAAGGCGCTGAAATTGGCATTAGAATCTCTATCCGCCTGCCCTCGGCGCTCTTTGTACCGAAGAAGTCCATCCATCCCTTCAACATCGCTGCTTCTGCTTCGTCGGACGTATCCCGTTCATCTTTCGGCTTTTTCAATTCTGCGTCGACTCCATTCCTAGGCTCTGCGGATTTATTCAGCTGCTGGGCCAGCGTTCATTTACGTCTCGTTGAAGTGCTATACTTGCAGATCCAACTTCTGCAGAGTTTGAGGAAATAGAGAGCTCGTATGTGACCCGGTCCCAAGGGGAAAAATTGGTTTTCGATGAAGCAAGGGTTTCGGTAAGGTCTACCTTCAATTTGTCGAGAACCTTGTGCGTCTTGCGCAGTGGGGACTATCCCTCTTCGCCCGGAGCACTAATGGAGTCGAGGACATTCTGCCCTGCAATTCGAAACTCTACTAGGGTATCCCGAGCGAGGGTGAAAAAGCGTCTATGCTGGTATTAGAGCTCATAGTGGACCTCACGAAGCGCTGAAGTCAGGAAATCCATCCATGTCCGAGTTATGCACTGGAGCTTACACTCTGCTAAGGTGAGGTCAGGAGTTGATGTAGGCGCCTCAGCTGTCCGAATGCAACTTGCACGTAGCCTCAATGTACCGGATTTTTATACTGTACCTCTTTGGCGGTCCGAAGGGATGTAGAGAGGCTCGAGCTATCCGCAATAGATAGCTCCGCTAGATCCTCCTTCTTGACACTATAGTAGCTCTTTCTGACTTGAGCCCTTGTATTGGCGTTTGAGCTGATGGCGTAATGAGTGATCGAGTCGGAGAAGATTTCTCGAAGACCAGCATGATGTCCTGGCCGACTAGAACAACATACTGGCTCCCAGTCTTGTTATCGCCGTCCCCGTCAACCAGCCTCTCTACCTAGGAGGTCATGTCAACTTGAACACTTGCATACAAGATCAACGGTAGACACTCTCGGTGTGTTTCCGATTTGTCGAGGGTGGTTCCACGCACGTCCATTGAGATCTTCAGAAGACCGCGGTCATTCCCAGGTATTGCCGCTGTCGTCGGTGCCGGCGAATGTTTCTTGACCGACGCACGTATATATATTTATATCGACTCCCATTCCAGTATATCAACTGTTTCAAAGACACGTCTCCAGCTCAGTGTCCATGTTAGTCCCAAGCTCGTCGTCTGCTACAGCGTCTTGCCACTTCCTCAATCGTTCATCTTTCTCCTCCTCCCATTGTGCCAACGCGAGCGCCAACAGCTTCTACATCATTCGCATACTCCAGAGGACTAGCCTTCGGAGGCTATTCCTGGCCCAGTACCAATGACCAAAGTGTGTCTTCGTGGAGTCGTGACCGCGCCCAGCAGGACCACTATTGCCGAACCTTTGAAAGAAGAACCAAGGGCTGGGGAAACTTTCTGAGGTCCAGAGAGCGCATGCGGATCGTGCGGACGTTCGTCGCAGTGCTTTTTGTTGTTGAAATCTGCCAAACCTTTGAAAGAAGAACCAAGGGCTGGGGAAATTTCCTGAGAGTCAGAGAGTGCATGCGGATCGTGCGGACGTTCACGACAGCGTTTCTTGTTGTTGAAGTCTGCCGAACCTTTGAAAGAAGAATCAAGGGCTGGAGAAATTCTCTGAGGGCCAGAGAGCATATGCGGATCGTGCGGACGTTCGTCGCAGTGCTTTTTGTCAATGAAGTCCTTTAAGCAAAGCACCCTTCTCTTGTGGGTTTCTGATTTGGCAAGTCCGCTCGGCGGTAGCAAAGTCTGAAGGAGACTCGTTTCCTCCGCCCCTGGAGCTAACACAGGCTGATGATGGCTGGCTCAGGTATCTTGGGTAGGTCACCAAGTTCGATCGCGACCTCACAACGTGCAATCGGCTTAACATGCCGGTGCCAAACTTCGATCAAGTCTTGGATTGTTTCGAAATTCTTTTCCTGGCTTTGCTCGTCTTTCTCCAATAGCTTGACCGCTCTTTCGCAGCCCTTGCACCATCAGTGGGGAGCCGATGCTGTCTTGAATGTCACTGGCCGGAGTCCCTCTCGCGTTCTCCTCGGTTGTGGTCATGCCAATTATGACATGATATAATTATATATATATTTACGAGCAACCTTGTGCTCCCTTCGATCGGTTGATAATCATGAGTACGTCGTTTTTTTCCGGGACGTCTCGATATGAATCCACTGTGACTTTGCATTGTGTTCGGTTCCTAGAACATATTTGACACTTTCCGGAATTCTTCGTGATGATACACTGCTGGGCGCCGCCAATGCAGTTGTTGCAACGGTGAGCTGCGGTCAGTTTTATGTGGTGGCGGTTGATTTGGATGATAATTTGGCGATTTCCAGCCATTATCGGCGGTATTCAAGAGTTCTCGCAGGACCTAGGAAGGCCAGGAATATTTGAGGCTCCGAGTTGGCTGGTCTCTGCTGGGGCCTCTTCGTCTTAGCTCAAACCATCTTGAGCAGGATTCTCATCGATGAGAGCCTTGGTAGCATTCCACATGAAAGCCGGGGCATGTCTCAGCCAAGCTGCTGTGCTCTTGGCCCTTTTGATAATCTCAGGAATTTTGTCTCACCTTTACTGATTGCGTTGCAGACCTGTTAAGTGATTTTGTATTTGCGGACTAATTGAGGGAAGCGGCATATCTTTGCGATTTTCCCTCCAGGAAGGTCTGAGACGGCAACGTCATTTTCGATTCGCGCTCCCATGACCGCAGGGATCAGGACCCTAGAAGCTCATATGTGGGTCGGTGCCGTTGTATATATATATTTACAGCCACTCAAGCTGCGGGGCTCACCACTAGTATCGTCACTGTATGATGAGCCGACAGTACCGTGGTCTGAAGACTGCTGTGCCTGCCCAGGAGTCACTTGGTAAACGTCCCTTTTCCACGAACTCTGCACCAGTCAACCCATGCTGATTTGTAAGGCTACAAGGAGCGTTCTCCCTGGACGACGATGGAAAGCTAGTGGCTTTCGGCGTCTGAGTATCCGTCTTTTGCTTGTCAGATTTGACATGGCGAGCCGCAGCCAATCCTGCGTCCTTTGAGTCTTGTTGACCTTCCCGCGTTGAAAGCTGTAGTAATCATCGTCGGCGAACCCCAAGCATCAGCCCCCAAATCTTCGCCGTCGCATAGCCAACGAATCTTTCCTGCTCTCGTACACATTTGATTGAACCTGACCCAGTTGAGTCCTACCTGCCAGTTCGTTCCTTGTGCAATAGATGCGTCATGCCGGATTTGACGATTCTGGAGGATGTTCTTGATTGCAAGACCCTCCTCAGTGACCGGAGGCAAGATTCTGGTATTTGCAATACGGCTCCCAGTACTTGTTGATTGCCCAGCAAGGGCCACCCCAAGCTGGGATTGAAGGCGGAAGTCCCTCAGCTGGCTGTACTGGCCCACTTTCCGTTGGGAAGGGATCTTGAGGCGTATCCCCCGGTGCGTGACTAGGCCGAGCGGTAGCATCGAAGGCATCAGAAGTGCCTTTGATCAGGAGGTTGAATAGCCAAATATTTGCCCAGATGTCTTTAATCGTTCATTGCTTTGCAAGGCTCACAGAGTTTTCTCATACTAGCTTTCTCTTTTGCTCGCGCACTGCCAAGTGGCGAGATACACGTGAGTATTCCTGCCCTTGCTGTGCTGATGGTATTCCTTGTAGCAAGTGACACACATGATGAATGCGAAAGCTTTTCGCCAAGTAGTTGAGCCTGTACCGTCGTTATTAGTGATTGATACGTTGTACTTTCTCGTGAGGAACAATCAGACGCCTCATGAGGAGTCGAAAGAAGTGGTTCCGTAGGGGCTTTTGGCCTGTGTTCCACGTCCCATGCCAACTTCAGATTACAGGTGAGGTGGTGAAGGACGTGAAGGGCGAAGTTGATGTGTCCTTGTGAGAAAGGCTTCGAAGCTTCCCACTTCTGCACCTGGTGGGCTAATTTCTTGATCTCTCCTTCCAACCAGAGCATTACATTCGCCTTGTCCTGCATGGATTTTGATCCTTCTTTGCTTGCTCGAGAATGGGTTGAGTAGCTGGAAGTGATTGCCCGTTGTCCCTCTACCGACGCCATGTTGAGTAAGCACCATCGTATATATATATTTACAGCCACATAGGCCTGGTCGTGGTTGGTAAACCCCCAGGCTGGGCCTCTTAGGCCTAGCCGAGTATTTTGTTGCCAGCCAGGAAGTGGTTGTAGGAAGGAACGAGAAAGACTGGGGAAAAGGACGGACCTTATATACCCACGATAATAATCTAAGTGTAAGACTTTGTCCGTCTGAGTGTTTGAAGTAGTGGTGTCTCACTTGATTAGTGTCACGCGTATCATATGACCATGACACCTGACACTTAAATCTCTGTCTTGGATTTACATTCACAGCAGGAATCTTGTGTCACGCCACCTGTGAGCTTTCACGTAGTACAAAGGACTTCTGATGTCATACGTCGATACGGCATCCTGTACACTTCGACAACTCTTCAAGCTTGCACTAATGTCATGACTTCTTTAGGCTTCTCTTATTATTGAGCAACACATCTTTATTCGCCCTCCTCGTACTAATGTCATCGCTATAATCCTCATCATGGACAGCCTCTCAACCGAGCTCCTCTATATGGTGATCAAACACCTCTCAAGCTTTGAATATGACTTTCTATTTGACCTATGCAACTTGTCTATGACCGACCGCCGAATGTACGCGATGGCAGAGCCGATCCTAACGCAACGAGTCCAATCCATCATCTCTGCAACCGACAGCCCACCATGGGTAGCTCGGTGCGACCACAACAATCGCTTTGATTTCTATCGTCGAAGCCACAATGATCTCAAACAGCTTTACAGATACGTTATTAGCGTGAAGAAGCTACCTGAGCAGACTCGACGTATTGCCGTTCTACTTACCGCACCACAAAGTCATTGTTCTTTCTCGTTTCTCGAAGGACCCCAACTATGGTCCACCACGTGGGATACTCCCGGGGTGTGTGATGATTGGTATGATATGAGTAATGAAACTCAAAGGGACAAGGCTGCTATGGCAGCACGACAGATTGATGGGATCAACGCGGCGGACATAGGCTGGGACAGTCCTTGGTTTTATTTGGCTCAGCAACCAGTGCTGTGGCTGGGCTTGGAATTGAAGAAGATGTGGGAGGGGTTGCTGCTTCGGGTTGCCGGGGACCACACTTTTATCTTTGAGCGAGGAAGATATTACAGTAGCCGTCGAAGACTCTAGAGCGGAAATGTCTGGTTGGATAGTCAGCTCATTTTACTGACTCTCTTAACTTCGCCATGATGAAGCTCGCTGCATATCTTGTCATCCACTATCTAAAGACGGAATATCTATCCTTCGTGAGGGAAATGAGAGAATCGATACGCTGGAAATATCATTCGCAAAGACTTCCAAGTTACTTGCGGTGAATTTTTTAAGGATTACATGCTACTTGCAAGGTTTACATGGGGTCATACATGCTATAATTGACACTTGAAAAGACGCATTTGCTCAGAAAAGCTCACTTTATTTTCCTTGGTCGTACTGGCGATCGTATCATTCAAACCCTTCTTTCATCTCCAGCATTTATCGGGGTCTGTGGCTTACTATGACGTTCCGTCGCTTTCATTCATCTTTCAGTTCCATCCTTTCACTGATCTATCCGAGCCAAGGTCCTCAACATCCAACGGGCGCGGTGCCAATTGCACAGTCTTCCTCAGTTGCTTTCCGCCCACCGCGACCCTCTCCGACTTAGGATAGGATCGCTTTTGACTCCCGTCCCTATCTCGCTCAGCCTTACGACAAGAGGCAAAGCCAGTATCCAATAGGAGCAGGGTGACCTCAGGCCTATCATCGGCATCCCAGGCCAGCATACGGATTAAGATCAAAGAGACAAAAGACAATTCATCTTCTGCAAGCATCGTGATCATGTCTTCATCTTCATTGTTGGTGCAAGTTCAGTCACGAAATCGATAAAGGTCTCAGTAAAGTCAGTAGAGCTCAATTTATCAGCTCAGTCGTTGCCTTTTTTCGACAAACCCATAGTCCCAGCAATTGAGGCCCCCAACTTCGCACTCGGGGCAATATTCCCTATCGAGACCCGTTTATATATATATTTGGTGTCGTATGCACCTACTTTTGCTCATTCTCACCCGTCTCGGGCTCTTTCTGATCGTCAAAAGCTAGGCGCTCAGTAGGAACATCTGCCAGATGACGTGGTGCTATCCGTGGCCGTTTACCAAGCCCTTGATCCACTTCTAGAATGGCCAAAGATCGCTTGTGGCCGTGGGGCTGAGAGTTCTCCGTCTCCATAGTCAAACGGAAGCCCGAATCCTGTAGAAGTGCAGCGGCCTCTGGCCGATGATCCGCTTTCCAAGCCAGCATACGGATTAATATTGAAGGAATAACTGAAGATTTCTCTACCTGTAGCTGGTTGATCAGGGAGTCATAATTAGCTCCAATACGGGCGTTGCCCTGAAAACCATAAAATGCTCCGGCAAGCGCCAGTCCAAGCATCCAGATAGGCTGGTCGCGGTTGGAGCCTCTTCGTCTTGGCTCAAACCGTCTCGAGCAGGGCCCTACAAGCTCACATCTGGTTCGGAGCCGTTGTATATATATACATATATATTTATAGCCACTCAAGCTGCGGGGCTCGCCACTAGTATCGTCGGTGTATAATAAGCTGACAGCACCGTGGTCTGAAGACTGGTGTACAAGCCTTGCTCGCCTCTTGAGAGAGTATGGACACACATTACAGTGACAAATCATTGCCTGTGACATCGCGGCTTGCCAACAGGCGTGTCAAACTTCACCCGTTGCGTCATTGGAGGCAAACAATGCTTCACTTCTTTCAGTCACGTGTTGAATCACGCGTGACACCCTTGGCCAGGTTCTAAGTCGCCTCCAAAGCGGGTACCGTCCTTACATCTTCTTTCCATCATATCCATTTAAAGTCTCGGATTTCCTCCATCGAGCATTTGTTCATCAATTATTCACGTCACCACATAGGGCTGTGTACTACCTCAAGAAGAATTATTACGAGTCTTCCTACTTGGCCATCCTGCTTAGAAAATGAGCATCCTTCAGGAAACAATCGAGTTTATTGCGCCCGGCATCCCGACTGTGTTCAGAGATCCTTATCCAGTCAACTCCTCAAGCGTCGCTGAGAATGAGATAAATAGCACGCTCAACGGCTTAGCATTCTGGAAGCGGCAAGATGACGTTGTCATGATGTGGGCAGAGGAGATCAACAAGCCAATCAAAGATCAGAATCGCGACCTCATTAAGAAATTGGAAATTATCCGTGAGGAGTGGCTTATGATGAGAGAGACCCACAAAGAGCAGGTAAAGAAAGGATGGGTTCCACCAAAGAGAGACTATGAGTCTGAGAGGAGGGCGAGAGAGGAAGCCATAGAGGAAGAAATGTCCTCGCAGTTTCGAGAACAGGTCGATCCGGCAATGTATGAGGACTCCACACATTCTCATCCCCAGACTCCACGCCGAGCATATATGACTCCGGATTCAAATAAACGCAAGCGTTCTTCAACCGAGGATGATGAGGACTTGAGTGCAAACCCTGATCAACCTCGAAAAAAAGTCAAAGACCTGACGCACACTCTGCAACCAAGGTCAGAAGAGAATAAGAGCAAGGATATAAGCCTTAGAGAAGTGGACGGTCCCCGCCTTATACCTGACATACTTGTGCCAGGGGAATCCCAGACTGAGGCCAACGGCGCAAGCTCTATCAGAAGCAAATCACCAAACATCACCGTGGTGATGAAAACAAAAACATCGCCTAATAACGGTGGTAAAACAAAGCGACGAAATCAAGCCAATGCCCCAAAAACTACCAACAAAGGGCCAAGGCGCCCAATCAATCCACCGCAAACCACTAGCAAAGTTGGAAAGGGCCAACCCGACAACCCGCGAACAAAGAACAAAGAGAAATTACCACCTCTACTCCGACCAGGTACCCGCTCTCAAGGAATGGGCGCAGCGTTATCACTTCATCTCGATAAACGAGGTCAGATCGTGTTGGAGTCGCCGACAGGGAAGCAGAAAATGATGTCTATGAAGCGACTTGCGTCACGGATGATAGGCGTGAAAGGATGAATATGTATGACTCGCCATCACATTCGAGCGACACCCACTGGCCTTCGCTTACAAATATATTTCAACAGCAGCCGATGAAGATTTGCTTTTAGGGATTTGAGGGGCGACAATATGCGCGTTTGCCATCCAGTCGTTGATGGCGAAGATCAACATGATCTACGACTTTGACCTGAAAAGCCGTTACCAATGGTACATACATGCTTGCGACGAGTACTTGTTTTTTTTGTCGCCACATTAGGTACTACATCATTGGAAGACCGAGAAGGAGGAGCTTTGGATACTGTGTACAAGAGGCAAAAGAGCCCTTGGAGCCAGTCAGAACATGGACGGCGAAGCATCGAATATTGCAAAGGAGAAGACTTGGTACAGGAGGGACTAAAGCCCGTGGAGATTGGTCAGATGGAAAGATACCAGAGCATATGAATTAATCAAGACCTCAAGCATTGATACTGCCTAGATCAATCTGCCTAAAGCATCTATTTTCCATGACAATGCTGCTTGAAGTAGTGACTCCTTTCGAATGGGTCTGATCAATTAGCCCAGAAGAATTCTCTCCTTTCTTTCCTCTTCCCCAGTACCTTTACCAAAGCCTTCGAAACCGACCTCCGCCTCGTAGTCTCCTTGGGCTTCACACCCTCCTTCGCCTTCACACTCTCCATCACCTTCACATCCTCCCTCACCTCCCCACCCTCTTTCTTCGAAAGAACAAAAACATCCTCCTCCCTCTTATACACCAACCTCAACCCCTCCCACACCCCCAGCAAATCAAAACACAACCCCAGCGCCGGCTGATACCCCAAAACCCCCTCCCTCAAATCCCTTTCCACCAACCCCTCAACTCTCCCCAACACCTTCGCAACCATAACGCCCTTACGATCATAAAGCAAATCCAGCCACGTGCAGCGCCTTTTATCCAGAATCGGCCCGCCCCCGCCCCCGCCCCCGCCCCCTCCCCCTCCCTTTCGCTTTCTATCCGTCAACTCGTCTTCCAGGTCCCAGATCGCTTCGAGCTTGAGACGCGGGAAGACGAAGGGGGTTCTTGGCGCGGTGCGTTCGAGAGCTGTGCGCTGGGCTTGCGTGGATGGGAGGGCGTGGATGCTGTTGAGGTAGTCGACGAGAATGCGGATTACGTTCTCGTTCGTGTAAGAGGGAAGGAGGGTTAGGGTGTAGATGGCGGTTATATCCCATGGTGGGCTTTTGAGCTGCGAGAGGTTGGGTTGGGTGGGCTGAGTTTGAGTGGGTTTGGACATTTTGGGGGTTCGGGGGTTGGGGAGGGGAAGGGGGAGGTGGGGAGGTGGGATTGAGTTAGGACTTCATGACAAGATGGTGTTTTTAGGATGATGGGGGATGAGCACAATGAGCTTGATTCGCGAGTGTGGTTGTGTCGACAAAGGGGAAACAATGGGATTGTGAGAAAAGACAAAGGGCTGGCGAGACACAAAGAGACATCGGAACTGCAAGTGAGGGTGATATCAAGTTCGAGAATGATTACTTCGTGATTTATGATCATCTAGGCTTGAATGGATAGTCCACACTTCCGTGGAGGTAGGCTTGGTACGAATGACAAGAATAAAGATGCCTGCACAGACTTTGTGACAGATTTTTTCGCAGATCAATAGTATTGATGCTGAAGAATACTCCATGAGATCACCCAATCTTGAGCCCGTTCACAAATCTTGATTCCTACGCTTGTGGGAAAGATTTGGTCCTTCCTCTACCTTGATACCTTTTCACGGTTTCTCCGTTTCGTGAACACTCAAGCTTTCTGTCCCTTGGTTTTTCATGACAACCTCAGCATCTTCTCTCTTGCTTGTTTTTCTCCGCGAAAGAACTATGACATCTTCTTCTTTCTCATACACAATTCTCAAACCCTCCCACATCTCTTGAAGTTCTAAGCAAATCCCTAGCGCTGGCTGTTGATACCAAGACCCGTCTATCAGTTCCTGCGGATCCAAGCCTTCAACGTACTTCGCCATTGCAGCGCGCTGATCCTTATCGCTGCGGCTTGACAATTCCGCCCACATCTGTGGAGTGAACAAATCAAGCAACATTTGATGGGCTTCGTGGAAATTGACTCGTGAGAATGTCCTGGGGGCGAATGGTGCCGTCAACTGAAGGGCTGAGCGGCGATCCAATGCGTAGGGGCTGGGGAGGAGCTTGATGCTGACAAAGTAGGCAAGAAGCTGATAAGTATCTTGGTAAGATATGTTGAGTCCTAGAGGGGACTTTCCGGCATATGAGGGTATTTTCCATTCAGGTATCCTGATTTGAGAGGTCAGAGATTGTATGTACTTGGTCAGAACTGGCTCGATAATGGCGCGTATCTGATGGTTTGTGAGGGACAGATGGAATTTATCCTGCAGGTCAAATTGGCACGTGATATGGAGAATTAGCTCTGTCGGAAGTGAATCCATATTGTGATGGAAACAGGATTGCAATGTGCGGGAAGGTAATAGAGGCAGTGACGCGAGGAAGCTTGGTTTTGAGGTGGTACAACGTGTCACGCAAAATATCTCTATTCGACACATACGATTGTCATATCCTGCGTCTGACACGTCATGACTGATGTGTTCATGGCAAACTCATGACGGGTTTTCAACCTCAACCCCTACCCCTATGCCTGGAACATCAAGCCATACTGAGCGTAAGTGCCAATCGAGATTCCCATACAAATCCACAAATTTATCACCCACCACCAATCCTGCCATCGCGACCGTCCTCCCTAGCTCAACAGCCCCGGACACGCCCCGTCTCTTTCCGCCACAATTTGAGTAGGCTTGGTTCCGCCTCATGTCTTGACGCAGTCAACGCAAGTGCCGACCGAGTAAGTTGCCGTGGAAGAGCGACGATGCTATCTCTGTAGGCGTAGAACTCTGGGAGCTTTGATGAACGATTCGGTATGTATGCTGTAAAGTTTGGGATGTACTTTGCGCCGTCCAGATACATCTCCCATGGAGGGAGGCTGACTCTGGCGAAGATTTCTCGGATTTGAAGCGCTAGCATAGGAGAGACTATGGATGAGATTCGCCGGTTGGTGAGGCAGAGGCTGAGTTGGTCTGTGAGAGGGTTGTATGAGGATGTGGAGAGGTGCGTGGTGATGAGCGCTATGAGTTCTGTGGGTAGGGCGTTCATTGTGGTTGAGGATGAAGGTTGTGTAGGATAAAGGAAGAGAGAGTCGAAGAAGGAGAGCAAGAAGTATTTATGGGTTTATCGTAGTACAAAACGCGCCTTGTGCATGCATATTATTAGCCTGTTGAGGTCGTACGGAGAATCTCATGAGAACATGCATTTGTCAATAGATTGGTCATCTGACTCTGATCCTGTTTCCCAGTGACTGAGCGTGCTTGATAGCCTGGCACATGGAATTATCAATCTTGTAATTCCCAATTGTGCCACTCATACTCATAATGATTTCGTCTCCTAATTCACGGGATTTTTGTCCCTCTTTGTGCGCTCCATGATCAGATTACGTGTCTTCCTGACATACCTCATTCGAAAATCGCTCCACATCGCTGCCAAATCCATGCCCATCCCTAACTCTGGCCTCCAGCGCCAGTGAAACCAATCATCCCACGAAAGATACCCGGCATCCATATCTCTTACAAATCCAAGGAACTGATGTGTGGGATCAGCATATTCAAGGTCTCGCCACAATACGGACGCCTCATGAACCAAGTCCACAACCTTTCTGACTTCTTCAACGTCTTCTGAGTCTATCTCATGAGTGACGACCATAGGACTCTTCGGTGCCGTAAGTTGTACTGCTATAGGCTGGATCTCTTTGTCTAGCGCTATGATGGCGATGTAGTAGTCATAGAATACCTGAAGCTTTGACTTTGATACGTTACAGCTCTCGGGAACTAAAGTCGGGCGCAGAGGTGTTTGCCAGGGTGGAGCGGGGACGTCTTTGAGGATGCTCAAGATGCGTTTGGATAAGGCGCAGTCGGCCACTTCGTGCAGGCGCTTGTTGGTAAGAGATAAATGGAACGTGTCTAAGAGGTTTTCACTTTCACATGATATTAGATTGTCGACAATGCCGAAGAGAATCTCGTTGGGAAGGCTGTCCATGGTGGTGGTTGGTTTTGACAAGGAGGCAGCCATGTCGAGCGTTGTTGGCGAAGAGAATCCTCGGTCTAGGGAGAAAATTAATAGGATATGGAAAAGTGATTAAGTGTGACAAGGATGTCCTCACGGCTTTGTTCTAGAGGTGACACAAAACAATGCACGACCCTGCCTGTGACACATATCGTGCCTGCATTTGTGAACAATAGATTTCTGCCTTTCACTGGTCAGTGCTATGAACACAGACTTCATTTCTCATTGTGAATTTATCCAAAAAGCTATATGCAAACTACGCAAGCTTCCCATACCAGATCGCGAGAAGCTGAGTCGAATTGAGATGCCGCATGCTGATTCTGAACTCTTTAGGAATTCCTCTCGCGGACTTCCTCGCCCTGATAGAAACTCTAAAAATTCCTGATAGCCATTCTCCACCTCGTAAGTCAAACCTTCCTACTTCGTCTTCTTGCGCTCGATGATCAGCTTCCTCGTCCTCCTATCATACCTCAAGTCCAAACCATTCCAGATTGCAGCTAGCTCCAAACTCAGCGCCATCAATGGCTGCCGACGCCAGCACATGCCCTCTAGAATACTAAATTTCAGCCCCTCGATCCTTGCTTTCACATCGTTCATCGCATCCGTCCGGGACTCCGCATGTAGTCTTTGCCACAACGGGCACACTTCGTACACTTCCGGATTGAGAGAAGAAAGCCGGTATGTGGCTCGCTTACGAAATGGGAAAGCGACAGGATCTTTCGATATTGTAATCTTTACGGCTAGACGTTGAAGATCCTCCGGCAATTGGATGATACTGACGTAATAATCGTAGAGTTGCCAGAGCGGAGAGAAGGTTTCACGATGTAGTAGCTTTTTTGAGAGGTGCGGTGGCAAGTCCCAGGGTGGGTGGAACATCTTCGTAATGATGGCATGGACACGAAGGGAGATATCTGGGTAGATCATGCCGTGTAGGCGTTTGTTGGTGAGAGAAAGGTGGTATGCATCGGTCAGGTCAACATTGGGACCTGCGACCAAATGGTTGACAACGATGTCCACAAGCTCAGTGGGAAGCTCGTCCATGGTCGTTTCTTTAAGAAGGTAAAGATGAGCGGTCGTGGATAAATATATGGTACATTCCCATGGTACCTCAAGTGTCACGAGCTTTGTGGTTGTTCTTGCTTTGTTCCGAGGTTGGGGGTGAAAGTTGAGATTCGTCCAGTCCATAATCGCCCTCTGAGTACGGAGATCCGAACAATGAGGACTGAGGCGGCTTATGTCATGGTTGCACGTGACACATCTAGCCCGCACGCAGTACCCGCAAAGGATGTAGACATACTGAAGACCTACATAGACGACTAGAAGACAACTACGAAGATGGGACTTGCTTTGCTCTCGCACAATCCCCCACTCGAAAACCTGCCTACACATTCCTTTCGGCATGATTCGAGGCCGTGACTCTGGGTTCCCTCTCGTCTGTTGAGAGGTCATGTGTGAAGGCATCCTTGACACAGTGAACTCTCACGTAATTGGCCACATCATGTAAGCACATACTCGGAAAAAGTCATGCGTGCATGTCTTTTTGGCCACTGACACTCGAGGCCAGCAATGACGTCAGACTTACCCTTGTCTTGAGCGATATTATAATACTTCGGCCATTCTGGTAAAGCTTCCATCATCTCCTCCCCACATACTACGACTTCAGTCCAGATCTTCAAAGATTATCTCTGGCTCGAAGTACGAGCATGGCGTCTTCAAGGTATTGCAATCAATCAACTATATGCTAACAATCCTGATCCTGATCACAGTCCATACGATTCGTACATATGTACCCTCGCGATTGCTGAGAAAACTTTCGGCATCCATAGGGATATACTGTTTCAACTTTGTGAAGACAAAGAGAGTCACATCGGAAGATTACTCGACGGCGGTAGTCTTAAATGGGGACTAGTTTACATATATCCTGAGGAGGTCCCCAACGGCTACGATGCTGCGACGGTAGAGCGACTTATCCAGTTTGCCTATGCAAGCTATTACAATGTGCCAGAACCCAAGATAGATGACACTCAAGGTGGGCAAGGAACCCAAATCCGCGCGATGGATGTCTCAAATGCCGAGCCCAAGGGTCACGACTCTGGTTATTGTGCGAACCAATCCAAGTCTCCGCCGCCCGCTTCGTGCTCATCTGCATCAAGCGATACCAACACCACCCCAAGCTCAGCAACACGAATCGTGACACCTACAAGTTCTGTCACGACGAGCTATCGTCTCAAAGTAAAAAGTCCCAAATCAGCCCTTCCAAAGTCTAACAAACAGACTCTGAAAGAAGCATTCAACGCAAAAGCTCGCTCCTCATTGGGCAAGAATTACGCATCTCGACCACCTGGCCCTCGCGTCAACACCCATCCAAATGAAGATTTTACCCAGATTTTCCTCGCCCACGCTCAGGTCTACATATTCGCTACCGTAAAATGTATCTACAAGCTCGAGATATACGCTCTATCGCAGCTCCGCGCTGCTCTGGCGTCCTTCAAATTGTACGAAGAGCGGGTGGGGGATGTGGTAACCTTGTTGAGGTATGTGTATGGCCACGATGGGGACCAAGCCGCCAGTGCAGATACCATCAAGGATTGCATGCAAGAGTACATTGGATGTGAGTTGGAGGTCTTGATCAAGGATGCAGATTTCAAGCGCTGGTGCAAGAGAATGAGGAGTTGTATAAGGATTTTCTGGAACAGGTTGGGAAGAGGATTGAGCTGTAGGTTGCATCTTGACAAGAGCATCACATGCATGTATTCCAGAAATGATGCCAAAGATGGGATCGCTGGTGGGAACAGATTGAGATGAATAGTTGTGAAGAAAGGGTGGAGCATCAGGAAACTAGCTACTTACACTAGACAAACATCAAAAGAGGACAATACCTGACCTTGGCCTCCAGAGATCTGAGGAAAATCTTCTCAACAGTGCCGTAGCCACTACTAAATGCAAGTGAATCCCAACACAACCCAATCATGACGCATCCACATCATAATCTGACCACACACGAACAGACACCACTACAGAACGATACAGAAGTCAAGGTGGCGCAGAAATTGGAGAAGACAACGAGCTTCCAATACATCCAATTACCTTGTAGCCAGTGCCGAACGGAGTATCGAAGGACATGCCTGCCATCAATTCATCAACAGAAACCAAGTCCCACAAGCCTCTATCTTGACATCGTGCTTTTTCGAAAGCTGACTTACAATGCTTTTTTTCTTGCCTCCCACCCCACCAAACACATTCGCTATCATCTCCTCCTGCGAATTCATAGCAGATATCAACAAACCCCCTCCCACTCGCCCACCCAACCCCACCCCACCCCAACCCACCATGGACGCACCAACCAGCCACAAACTCCACACTTTCCTTTACTTTACATCCTCTTCACATCAATCCTGCTCACTTGACGTGTCATCCAGCCCGTCGCACGCCCAAGCTTACGAAATCGCCTGACAAATCATCCCACCAGGGTTGAGGGGGAGGGGTGAAGAGTCTGGGAGGATACGCAGTGCTTGGATTACGTACTAGTTTAGCACTGTTCAAGTTTTTGAAGCAGAAGGTGGGGGAAAGGAGACGGGGGTTGGGGGAGTGGGGGTGGGCTAGGTGATGTCGTGGTACTTTTGCGGTATTCATACCTGTCTAAGGAGACTAGAAAGAGATGAAGATGAGGTAGTGAGGGGGTGGAGGGAGGGCGTAGGCTCTAGGTAGATAATATATGAAGGAAGGTTGTGAGACTTCATGTGGAGGGGGCTGGGATTGAGACTTTGGTGGCGAATAGAGAAGTTCTGATGTTGCTGGGGAAGAAAGTAAGGAGCTCTTAGATAGTGTGGGAGGATGTTATGGAGAGCAGGATCTTGGAGTTCAGTTTGGGCTTTGCTGGGAGGAGAAGGGGAGCATTTGTTGATGTGGCAATTCGAGTGCGAGTGTCTGTTTGTTTGCTACATGGTGTTACTCAAGCCCACCAGTTTCTGAATTGGGCCTTCTGCGATGGTCTGTTGCAAGCGGCAGGCATCTCATGGTGATCAAAAGTCTTTCACTGCATGATGTGGCTACTGTAGCTGCCATGGCTGCCTATCCACCGCCCTTGTTCGTGCTTTAGCTTGCCTATCAAACAATAATTTGAGGTAGTCTCAATATAGAGGTCTTTTCCATTCAGACCCTATGCATAGCAAGCTCAATAACTCGTCATTGCCTGACTCTGATCTTTGCCTCCTGGTGCCAGCATACGCCCAATCTAGGCTGAGAGCTTCAGCTCAACCTCCCACAAGAATTGCTTCAACATGACCCCGCCATCTTCGATCATCAGCTTTTGGAACTCCTCGTTTCCTAAGAAATAGTTCACATGGGCCCCCATATTGTGAACGAGTTGATGCCGAAATGCATCTCCATAACCTTTATGTCTGCACAGAAACCTCGCAAGCGCCACCATGTTTCCGACGTATTCGTTGCGGGGCACTGGGGCCTTCAATACTTCCCATATTTGTTTCGAGGCGTACCCTCCCAGGCCTTCGATACTTTTCTTCGTTGCGAAGAGGTAAACCTGAGCGTGAGTCAGCAGAATCCTGGTGCTGTCTTCGTGGGGTAGCTTCTTCTCGACTGCCGGAAGGTTGTCTTGATCGATATCGGTGTTCCATGTCTGACTTGTGGTAGAAGAGCTGGGGAGACCTCTCATCGTCGCATCAGCATCTTCAGGTAGATTGAATGAGCTACCACTGGAAGGGGTCCAGACTGAAGCGGGCGAGGATGAGAAGTCTGTACTGTTGCTTGCAGGTCTCATTATAGGCGTGTCCGGTCCTCCAGGTTGAGTGTTGAGGACACAAGTTTTGACTCGTGAATGACTGCCTGTCGCAGGGTTCGAGTTTCGCGTGGCCGGTTTCTTGATTTCTGCAGCCTTTGTTGTCATCCCTTTGACGGTGTAGGAGCCTGTGTAAAGGTATTCAATGAAACATGCGACAGCTGTATGATCGAACCCATCGATATCAATGCCTTGCAAGTCGATAAACGCCTCTGCTGTTGCCGGGTCCCATCTATCGAATCTATGTTCAGGGTAGACGCTGAAGAGCTTCTCGGCATGAATGTAGAAAGTCTTACCGCCAGCGATGATCTTCCAAGGCGGCGACTCATACGGATTCTTCGCACTGTAAGAAGGCATGTTGGTAGCTGGCTAGTCGGATAAGAGAGTGGTTGGAGGAAAGATCAAGACTTCGGGCCTTGAAAGGAAGGTAAACGGACGCTAACGAACTCGAGTGTCAATGGTGTCGTATAACATCGTTCTGCCATGACATCATTTATACTGTGTCAAGTTTCCGATCAATTCATAGGCGTGAGTTCACGTCTGACACGTCGACATCTCGAAGAGTGTCCTTTGCAGCATAGCGATGGGCACGGCCTGACTCATTCACTTCACAGATATCCGAGGCATGCTTGCCGTGCCAAGGGGAAATTGACTTTAAATACATACTGACCGCGAGATATCGACAAATATAGCTATGATCCCAACAAATGAAGCATCATTTTTCTCGATCATGTCCATTCAGAACTCATACTTAACAAACCCAACCACTCACGAACACCTCAACTCGCAATTCGACTCTGCGTCAGCTTACCCTTAACCTCACGCAAAAACCCCCTCAACAAATCCCCCCATCCTCAACCAACACCTTCTGAAACTGCTTATCCCCCACAAACCCCTCCGATTTCCTCCCCGCCCCCGCCCCCGCCATCTTCACAATCCCCATCTTCAGCCCATCCGCGCGATCCTTCGCATAAACCCCCAAAAACCTCACCAGCGCCACCGTATCTCGGACAACCCTCTCCCCCTCCCCACCCCCATCCCCATCCCCATCCCCATCCTCACTCATCCTATTCTCCAAGATACTAAGAACCTGCTGCGCGGCGTAGACCGCAGATCCTCGACATCGTTGCGGACCGCGAAGATATAGACTTGGGCGTGACAGAATAGGACGTTAGTGCAGTCTTTGTGCGGTTGGTGAGATGGAGCACCCATTCGTTGCTTTTGCGTGTAAGATGTTATGGCGGTGTCTTGGGAGTTGATGCGAGGGCTCATCGCCGCGTCGGGGTTTTGGGAGAGACTGTCTCGGTCGGGACTGTCATGCGGTGTTGAGAAAGTGGAGGCTGGTGGGGTCGGCGCATTGTTGTTTTCGCCGTCTTCGGGTTTGGGGTCGGGGATAGTGTAGGACCCTTTGTATAGGAATTCGACGAAGCGCCCGACGGCTGCGATATCGTAGCCGTCGACGTCGATGCCGTGCAAGTCGATGACAGCCTCTCCAGTTGTGTCGAAGTCGGCAGATAGATCTAACATGAACATGGCCAATTTATCCAGAATCTCTTGGTGTATGTAGAAATGTGTGTTGCCGACGACGATTTTGCAGGGTTGCGATGTGTATTGGAGGGACCCTTGAGGTGGAGCCATATTCGCAGATATGTTGTCTTGGGCACGGATAGAGATGTGGATGAAGGAGAAGGTTCAAAACTCTGAGTGAGATAAAGTAGAGATTGAAAGTCACATCAGAACAGGCTCGGGTGTCATCAATGATGTGTGAGTGTGAGATTTCTTTTGCTCGTGACATCTCTCGACCGGTGTCGAGGATTTCCACCAGAAGACAGCACACAAACCCAAGTCCAGATCCAATCACAAATGTCGAACAAAGCTCCCTCGGTATCACCGTAGATTTGAATTGAATGAAGCACCAACAATGGCACCAATAGCACCACTAGCTATATATCACCAAACAAAGCCTCAAACTTCTTAAGCTGTCAAATTTTCTAGCCAGCGAGCTACTTTACCACTCAAACCCCTCTGCTTCCTCCCTCACTTCTCTTCTACCCCTCCATGGCCTCCTCGGCGGCCACGGTATACACCTCGTCTTCCCGTGCTTGACCCAGCACTTCTGCCCCGTCCCTGTCGCTGTAGCCGTCGCGGCCGTCCCGGTACTCGTCGTCGTCACTAACGATTCATCCACCACCGCATTCCGCATCACCCCATTGCCTAAACTTCCTTCCACAATACCCGTAGCGGCTGTCTGATCACTCTCCACACTCGAAGTCTGCGTTAGTGTGTCGTCAGGTACCACCGACTGATCATTATTGACAGCGAGTGCCTTGGTATTGGCGGTGTTGGCGTTGGTGTCGTCGTCGGTGGAGGCTTCTGTGGTCGAAGAGCCGCCGGAGCAAGTGGCGCTGGATTGATCGCCTGGGTAGACGAGGGGGGATGAGGAGGTGGCATCGTGGCATTGTTTTGTGCCGGAGTCGAAGAGAGGGGAGGCTGTTAGGTGAAGAAGTGAGTCGATGAGATGGAATAATCCAGAAAGTGGAGCATGAGAAGATAAAGTACGCACTGTTGGGTTTGAAGCCATTGGATGCTCCGACCACAGCGACATTGGCGCCGGGGAAGTTGCCGAACGCTAGTTCGCAGGAGTGCTGTCCCACGTCGGAGTTGAAGTTCGCGATATAAAGATCGAGTCTAGTGGATGCTGTTGAAATTTAGTCGGTGGTGCTTTTTGAGTACTGGGGTACGAAGATGAGGCTTACGGCATGATCCACAATGATCAACTACTCTAAAATACTTTCGAAGATATGGTATATAGACCGTAGCGCAGTCCGGGAAGATGCTTCCACCAGCGACAGCAGCTGCCGAGTACGGCTTCTGGTACGAGCCATCCCCGTCAATCGGAGTGGGAACATTTGTATCAAGCTTCTTGGTGCCGTCGCATGAGAAGGCTGTCAGTTGCTGCGACGGATCTGGCCATCCGTAGGCCGTGAATGAGACTCCATTTCGGACGTTGCATTGTTCTTGTTGCTGGCTAAGAGGGAGTGTGGCTTGGAGAAAGATGATGGGGAAGAGTACCCTCCATTTCGCGTACATCTTCAGGGAAGATGATCTCGTTTTCCTAAAGAACGGAGAAAGACTTCGAAGGAAGAGATAAATTGATCTTAGGCTTGCCTGCAAGCGTCGTGATGGAGGAGAAAACGAAACAAGGGATAAGGAAGACCTTTTGTGCAGGTATAAAGCATGACGACTGTGGAGCCTGGCCACTGTTCCGGTCATCTGTACCGTATGCATTGCATGTGAAACACGTTCTGCACGCAATAGAGGTGGAGAAGGCAAGAAAACAAGAGGTAATGATGCGTACAGTCAGGTCTCAACCAATCGGACAGGCTGGAGATCAAAATTATCAGGATCATATTGCGTAAGTCCTTCGGTATGGTTGCGGTCCCTCGAGGCGAGGCCCAAGGGCCGGCACGTAAAACAAGCGATGGGCATTAGCAAAGTGTACGGCCATGTGCTTGGCCTGATCAGTCGTGACATAAGCCTCATAGACCCACAGATAAGATTGCATCGTCGCCACGCTTTCCTTCTTCTCAATTTGGTCTCTGTTTAGCAAAACTTTCATTCTAGACGCGGCTTTGGAAGCACTCAGCTGCAATTTGATGGTGACAAGATCCGCACTACCCTCACTTGAGAATTGTCTTCACACGAAGACTCTGTCAATACTCGTCAATGGCATGTCCTCAGTCTCCGAATCGAAGGGGGCATGAGCCTAAGCCGAAACATAAAGGGTGAGGCGTAGTCTCTGACGCCGCATTGGCTTCTGCTTCTCGACGATGTGGATTGAGGTGTCAAGGAGTGTGTGTCGAGACATAGATCCTGTTCATAGTAATGTCAATAATTACTGGCGGAGATTTGATGGGTTGAAGGATGAAGGATGAAGATTGAGACGCGTAAAAGAGAAAGATATGGATTTTCTTGGCAAAAGGGAGCTGGTCTATATCCGACTAGCGCATTTCCATGGCGGTGATGCCTTCAATCGAATGAAGAGGATTCTCTCCTTGATTGTATATTCATTGTGGCCACCACTAGTAACAGCGCGCTCAATCATGCTGATAAAGTGGTGCTTGGAAGTATGTTGACATGGGTATCAACGCTGTTTTACTATACAAATGCCCCTCTTCCATGACTGGCGCCATTGACGGCAGTCCTTCTGGCGATTTCTCCGCCGCCTCTGCCTCCCATGCAATACTTGGTCGCAATCGTTCATGTAAGTCTCAAGACTCTCCAGGCTTCGCGCACCGACAGGTAGAATAGCTAGCAAACGGACCCGTCCCCGTGATCTCCACGCCAGCTTTTACAGCCTGCGGACTCCTTTTTCGACTCGTGCCGACACCACCGACAGCTGGTGCTGACGTCGCTGTACCACTGACCTGCCCAGCCTCCTCCACCGCCTTCGAACAGTTCATCGATACATAGTGTACGATCGGGTTATCTGACATCTGGTGTCAGTCTTCTCCAAACCCCGGAAAAGTCGGCAAAAGGGATACTACTCACCCCAATCCAAAGGTGGGTTCCCATACCCCACCATCGCAATATCGAAATGCTGAGAAAACCCGAACGCGTTTGGCGCCATACACCACTGCTGATTTGACGACTTGGGACACGAATCCGTAATGCGGACATACATCGAAGTCTTCGGTTGACCGGCAGGCGCGCCTTGCCCGTCAGGCGCTCCTCCCGAACTCGTGAGTTTGAAGCATTTGCCGCACATTGTGCCGCACTTGTCGGTGTCGCCGCCATAGAAGTCTGTGTTTACGGCTGCGGAGCGCAGGTTCCCTGTTGCGGGGGCTTGCCAATCAGTTCCTTGGCAGCCACAGGAGCCGGTGAAGGAAGAGTCGATCATGTAATGCTGTTAGGCGGAGGATGTCAGGTCAGTGTTAAGGGAATTTAAGGCAGGTGTCAGGCTTACCGAACTCGTTGCAGTCCCCTCGAATTCTCCGTCTGCATTTACTGTCGAGTTGTTGACAATGCTGCCGGCGGATCCGGAGTTTCCTGGCCCGGCAAAATTGCCAGTCCATTGACCGTCAGAATTGAAGCTTCCAGATGTCTGGCCTAGACTACTGGTTGCGCCTGTTCCTGTGCTACCAGTGCCTGTGCTGCCAGATCCTGTATTGCCAGATCCAGTACTACCAGTTCCAGTGCTACTGGACAACTGTAAGAATTGAGCGGGTCTGCTGAATGTTCCAGATCCACTGCCTGTACCAGCAGCACCCGAACTGGCAGCACTGGAGCTTCCTGTACCAGTGCCTGTGCCTGTGCCTGTGCCTGTGCCACTTCCTGAGTCGCCTGTACCGGAAGCGCTTTCGGTAGAATTGTCCCCGAGGTTTTCCGTCTCCATCAGTTTCCTTGACCTGTCATCATCACTAGTACTGTTTGTCGAGAGAGATTGAGTTGAAGGTGACGGAGATGAGTTTGCTACGCTACTCGAAACGCTCCCAGACCCTCCTTGATCAAGCGACGATGGGTCAGGACTTTGACTGGTGCTATTCGAGCCGCTGCCAGCGGCTTGGCCACCACCGGTCGCGCATTGCCAGTACCCTGATATACGTCAGCAGTCATGTCCGCGAATCCCTTCATCAGGCTTGTGAAAGGAGTGGTCCGCACAGTCATTGACTTTTGTGCACTGATATCCAGCAGGGCACTGTTTTGCAGGATCTGCGCCTTGGACTCTGCCATCTGCGGACGTCTGTGAATAGTCCCCACAGTTGCCCCAAGCAGCTTCCATTGGACTAGCGACACATTGTCGGCACAGCAGTACTGTGAGCAATAATAGACTTCGTGATCGATGCATGTTGAGTGTACTTGATATATGATGCACTAAGGGAAGTCAAGTTTTGTCGAAGCTACGGACATACGAGAGAGACAAGAGAAAGAGGACAATCTCCAATGAATAGGAAAGTAACAGACGTCGCGCCAGGCTGAGTTGAAACAGTTCAAGAGCGTTGGGATGAGGAAGCTTTTGAGGTCCATCGTGGGGTCCGAGATGTAAGACTCGGATGCTCATGGTTGCAGATAGCCCGTGTGAAGTTCTCCGGTCAGTACCTTGCTAAATGGCCCCTTCAGGTACATTGCGTGGCTCGGTAAGTTCCCGCCGAGCGATGCTCCTGCTCTGTGGGGAAAGATCCGAATGAACGACGTCTGAGGTGCGCGCTTGTAGGCGAGATATGCATCAGAGCTTCTGAAATGCATGTTTGCATGCGTTTCAGGACCGAGAATGTCTTGTATCGCTTATAGCCGCAAATGAGTGCGTCCCTCGATTCGACGCCACGCGGAGACCGGTGTGAGTACCTCCAACAGGTTCCTTTTCCGTGATAATAGCTGCCTATACCAACATTATCCCCCATGTAGAGGTATCGTCCTCAGAGCTTCCTTAGAATTGCTGCTCCGCGAGTTTGTCGCTTTGAGGTCCATGTTCTAAAATAAGACATGCCGTTTCGAAGTTGCGCCTATTTGGCGTCTACCCGTCTCTTCTCAATAAATTGCTAAAGATATATCACGGCTGACCGGCAGGCGTGGGATATGCCCTAGTCAGAAACAGTGCCCTCTTCATTGCAGATCCGCTGCTTGCTGCAACCGTTGTTAGACCAAACGAAACTTCCACGTGCGCGAAGACAGTCTGCTACCCTAGACTGCGCACTTGGCAAAGCCTCTCGAAATGACGTTTCAGGGTGAGATACTTGGCAGATCCATCGGAAGATCCAACACACGGTTATGTTGAAGTCGCCCTCGCTGTGCAGCAGAATGAGGTACAGGTTGAGGAGTTAAGAATATTGAAAATGAAGATTCATGCCCCAGGAGAGGCTTGGCAGAGGTAACGGCGGCTAGCTTGAAAGAGTTAGCGGCTCTCGTACGCTAGTCCACTCTCACTCTAGATCCGAGCGGACTTAAGAGCTCCCTCGGTCATTTCTTCATTACATCAACAAGTCGCGATGCCGTCTTTGAACGAGATGCTGCAACGTTCGCGGTCGTGGAGATACTGCGTCTCTAGTTGCAGCTATTCAGTGGACCATCACGATGTGTGCGCGGCCGGGAAAGGCATGAAGAGTTCCCTTACCGATAGCTAGACCCGAAGATAGATGCCTTCAAGACGTTCGCACCCAAAAACGCGTACCGGTTGTACTCAATGCAAGAAACGGAAGGTAAAGGTACCATACTTCTCCCTCATCAAGTGTCAGTGGTCTCTTATACTGGAGATGCGCAAGGCCGGACTGAAGAGAAGTGATGGTAGTCACCGGCTGATAGGCTGTGTAGTGCGATGGAGCTCTACCGAGTTGCCGCAAGTGTATTCGACATGGCAAGGCTTCCTGCAGCTTTTTACTCGACTTTTCAGACGAAAAGACGGATACCTCAAGCCCACTGTCTCCACCTGGGCTATCTACGCTAGCCCTACCGACCCCACATACTTCAACGCTTGAGCTTTCTGTTTTCGGAAGCAGGATAGATGATTCTAGAAAAGTCTTTACTGGTCTGAAGAATCCACAAGAGCTACGCTCACCCAACATCACTGCGACAACTGGCCAACGAAGTATCACACACCTGGCCTACCAGAACTTCGAATTACTCAACCACTACGTTTCAACAGCCTCACAATCATTATCGACAAGACCCACCGTACGGGAAATATGGCAGAACGTCTACGTCGAAGGTGATCATTATTCGTATCCCAAGGCGCTCCCCCGTTGACCAGCCCTGCAGAAGCTCAATCTCACGAGTATCTGATGCATGCTCTTCTCGGTCTGGCTGCAGTACGTCTAATGCACACGAACCAAGGGAATGCAAGACTCTGGGAAATGAAAGCAAGAAGACATCAAAGCCTTGCTCTAGCTACTTCCATCCCTGCCTTTCAGCAAGTCACCCAAGATAATTGCGATGCCCTCTTCGCTACCTCCGGCATCATTGCCATGATAGCGTTTACTTTACCATGCTCCATACCAGAGGACGTACTCTCCTCTATTGACCACATCACAGACTTTTTCGTCTTGTTACGTGGCATTCACACAGTATTACAAAGCGCGCTCGGCTGGATTCTAGGGGGCCGACTTGGGCCAACCACGGGATACGATTTCGACCCGCCTAGCCAGCCGCTCGCTGACAACTTGAACACGAGGTTTGCAGACCTGAAGCGCCTCGTCGACCAACAGAACAGCAAAACAGCTCTCCAAGACACTTAATCACAGAACCATCCACGAGCTGAAGATTATCTACGAGACGTACTACAACATCGCGAGCGAACCAACACTTGTTACGATCTGGCCAGTGAGGGCATCTGAGCATTACGTGGCAGCATTGAAGCAAAAGGAGCCGATGGCGCTCGTCATCTTGACCCATTACGCTCTCCTCCTTCACAGCATCAATGATGAGTGGTGGGCTAAGAACCGAGGTCGTGAAATTGTGGAAGCCGTCACGCTTATGCTGCCCCCTTCTTGGCAGTCTGCAATCGCTTGGACAGTCAGGGTGGTAAGAGGAGAAGAGGCACTTGGACTCGTCGGTTTCAAGTATTCCACGTCTGAATAAGCATGCGATCTGCCGGCTGCGAGTGGCTGATCTTCACGCCGAAGGTAGCGAATACTTTTGCTCTTCAATCAGAACTCACAGCTCTCTTCACAGGAATCATTGGGGTATACAATGCTGCTGCCTGATCTTACCAGGATGTACCTTGCGCATCGTCTGGCCCCATTTCTCGTGTACTGCGGCATTTCGGACCTTCCCCCTTTTCCAAGACTAGGCCAAAAGAGGTTAAGGGTACGAAGCTCCGGAAGCAGCCAATCACAGCATCTCAATTGCACCCTCGTCGTGGAAGGAACCTCGTATATCGGCGGTACCTGCATCTGATGAGAACCATAAACATGTCAAATATCCCACGCCATCTTCTCTTCCCACAACTCGAGTCCGCAAGTCAATTCCGTTTAGATGCGGATAAGTCCAAGATCGCTCCTTCTCAAGTAAGCCACTTGACAGTCCAAGGCTTGAAGACAGTACAGTACTCATCAACCACCATCAGGACAGACACGTACTGCATTTGACCCCCACCACACCCACTTTCAGCGATTTGGAGAGCACATCAAGTAAGGCCTAGTAACCTCCCTCACTCAGAGCCGTCACTAGATCCAACAAGGCCTCTCATTGCACAGCACCACAGCAACCACCACGCGTCGTTCTCATCCACGTCCTCAATCCATCACCCTCACACCATCACCTTTCTTCTTCTCCACCCCCTCCTTTCACAAAGAATGGTCCTCCCCCCTCCGCGATCATCATAATCTGCATCTCGGGCGCCGGCGCTCTCGTCATCTGCGGCTACGCCGTCGCCCGCTTCTTCCTCCCCCTTGACTCTACTCCAACCGCCTTTCGCGAGAGACCCGCCGAGCAACAGCAGTACATGCGGGATGTGAGGCTGAGGAATTGGGCGTGGTTTGAACGGGACTCTGGGTGGGGAAGACGAGGGGAGCGGATGGGATATGAGGAGGACTATGCAGGCGATGGCTATGGTAAGAGGGGAGGTTATGGTGCAGGTGGTGGCTATGCTGGAGGAGGATACGGTGGTAAGGGATTTGGAGGAAATGGAGGGGGGAGTGGAGGCGCTAGTGGCAGCGGTCGCGGAAGGAGGGGCAAGGGACCGGTTGTTACTGAGAAGGAGAGCGAAAGTGAGGGATGACAGCGGGGAGAGTCGGGAAAACAAGTACAATTCGTGGATGCGAAAGCCAAGAGACATGATAATGGATGAGACGAGGGAAAGAATGTGTTGAAGTCGTCGCGATTTGCATTGCAGGTAGCCTGCCCAGAAAGAGTCACTTGATGCAGCTTAGCAGGCAATCCATGCGTTTACTCATAGCCTCTTGAGGCGCGTCGTAATTGTGATATTGGAGGTCATCGTCACCACGAAACGGTGGCGAAGTGCGGGGTAGACAAAACTGCATTCACTTGCGTTCATTTTCCGACACTTCGATCGTCTTCACACCCATTCTCTTCATCTTCATACCCATCCTCTTGGTCACCCTTTCTCATCATCCATCAACTCAAAGCTCGACAAAACATGCCCTTCCCTCGCTGCTTTGATCATACTGATGAGCCGGGAAAGGCTTTCAAGTCGTAAGCAGATGCCCTCTTGTCTACTATGGCACAAATGCTAATGAGTGCGGCAGGCCATTCACTTCACGATTTACTAGGATCAAAGTTGACGGAGAGCTGTTTCGCGTACATAAGGCCATGCTCAGAGACCTCTGTTGTCCATATGAACAAATGTTCGATGGGTATGACGACGAGACCAAAAGTGCAACTATCGACAACGTTGACAAAGAAACCTTCGGCCGTGTCATTGAGTTCGCGTACCGCCAGAATTACTACGTCCCTGCTGCGACGTCACAAGCCTCAGCTTGCGGTCAAGGTGGTGTTAATGATGCGAAAGTCGATGCCAATGGTTCGTCAACGTCACGCTGCTAGCTACGACTGACGCTTGAAGCAGATAACGGTCCCAATAATGGTACTACCAGCGAAGCATCGACACCTGTCCTCACTCCCTCTTCATCCTCTGCGAACACCGTCGCACCGAGCGACGCGCCAGAACCTAACGTCTGCGCATCTCTCAACGATTCGTTTTTGCCGAAGACAGAGGAACATCAGGCGACACACAACTCAAAGGAGTTTGGCTTGACAGAAGTTCTCCTATGCCATGCGCGTGTCTACGTTTTCGCGAAGAACAATGGGTGTGATTGGATGAAAGAGCGCGCATCGGATATGGTATACGCGAGACTCGACGAGGGATATCCCACCATGATTGACGACACTATCCCTCTGCTTAGGTACATGTATGATCATGTAGGACCAGCGGATTCCGGAGGTCCTGACCGTCTTTACGGGGTTTTGAGAGAATTCATCGGGCGACAGCTGCGCAGTATCATCAAGAATAAAAGCTTCATGACGTTGGTGAGGGAGAATGATATGGTACAGGAAATGTTCATGAAAGAGGTCGAGAAGAAGCTCACCAAGCTGGATGAGGTAGTGAGCGAGACATGAAGCGGATGTGATAGGCAGAGAGGCGCTGATGCCACACGCGTGCCATATTCTTGCCTTGAAAGGATAAGTTTCGTGATATTATGGTCAGCATTTCATTTCACAAGCTTGCAAACCTTGCAGACGGTATTGATGCCTCATACTATCAGCCAGTTCCATATCTTAGTGAGTTTCCGAGGGTTCAAACGAACCACTTGTCGAACATGGAGATTTCATGTTCAAGAAATGAAATGTCCCCTCCTGGTAAAGGACACAGTACGCCACTAGCGCCTCTCAATTCTACTTGAACGGCCGCGTAGTCTCCCAAACTCCTTCCATCATCCAAGAACCGTTCGGGTACTACAGTCCCCAGATTGCGAGTCTTGAAACAGACGATGTGGTAAGATATTTACCACTACCAAGAATATCGTCGTCGCCACTAACGGTGGACACAGGAAATTTCAGTCAAAACCCTGGAAAATCCTCGCTCGGGGTGAGACATTCTATGTGCATCACGACATATTGCAGTCGCTTTTCGATCCGCCACAATATATTGAGCGTTTCTTGCGCGTAGCCGATTACAATGAGCGGCAAGCAGTCGTCATGATCAAGGGGGTCAATGGCGCCTATGATCACCCAGCTTTTGCCCGCTGTCTACAATTTGCATACGAGGGCTGCTACACAGTTTCGCCTGCATTCATTTCCTCAAGTGACGATGCGGATTCCTCAGCAGCAGTCATGACACCTTGCAGTTCCGCTGCTACCACTATTCTAGCCAAATCCAAAGAGATGATGAAACATGCGTTCAAAGTAATGTACCAGTCACATGCAGCTCAATCACAGGCGAACCTGCCCTGCGAGAATTACACCAACATTTTTCTCTGTCATGCTGAGGTCTACGTCTTCGCGGCATCAATTGGTATGAAGAAGCTGGAGCAATATGCTTTACACCAATTACACACGACCTTGGTAAACTTTGTCCTCTACAAGGAGCGCGTGGGGGATGTAGTGGCTCTCATCAAATACGCCTACAAGTATACAACAGACGTTAGCGTTGCTGGTTGCGCGGAAGAAGCATTGGGGAAGATCATCAGGGTTTATGTAGGATCTGAGATGGAGATATTCATGAAGAACAATGAGTTCCAGAAGCTGGTAATCGAGGATGGCGGAAGACTGTTGGCAGATTTCATGGCGCAGGTCGAGATGAGGATCTCAGATTGAAATGGAATAAGCTGTACCTAAGCCTTTGGCTAAAGGTGTGAGTGTGACAATTTGTAAAAAGCAAGGATAATTTGCTGACACCACAAAGCTCTACCCTTAATGTCCTGCATCTAATTTCCAGTCATTTAGAGAAATGACTACTTACGAGCAACAACTCCTAAGAGTACATCATTACTTTCCTATCAACTGACAAAGGCCTTGCGAGCTTACTACCTCTACGCAAGACTAGCACCAGCACTTGATATTTCCGCAATAGATGATAATGCTGGTACATGTTCTTTGACACTCCGCTCACTGGCAGCCATTAGACAGCGTGGCAAATGACTCGGAACGCCACTCTTGACACTTGCGCGATCTACAAAATGCCAACCACCCCGACTCTTTTACACTCTTCCATCCCACTTCAAATCCACCACCAAGGATGTCAACCCTTCCCCTCCAGGCTGCGGTCTCCCACCCAGGATCCGCGGAGTCGACTCCAACAGCAACGATGCAATGGATGAAGTGTCTCTCCAACGCCATCGCTGAACTCTGACTAGAGGGCTAACGCGTGCATCTTTAGGGTATTCGAGTCGCAACCATGGAAGATCAAAGCCGGTGACAGGACCTTCTACATCCACCAGGATTTGCTAGTACTCTTCTTCGGCCCCAAAGGATCTCACCATCATATGGACTGGGCAACAAAACAGGGCGCTTTCATCCTCCGGGGCATGGAGACCGACGGCTACGATATCAAAGCAATCGAGAGCTTTATCCAATTCGCTTACGGAGGCTTCTACGACGTGCCCCAACCTATCATGGAGGAACAAACGGGCTCTAAACGATCTCTCAACAGTGCAGCCCTCTCATCCGTCTCTTCGGCCGGGATCCCCACGCCCTCGTCTCCTTTATTCGCATCCACACACTCTATGAATACATCACATGCGTTCATGTCCCCGCCCGGACACTCTCCAGCAAAACCATACAATCCTATCCCTCAGCCCGGTAATCTCACGCCCGCATCTTCCTCTGCAGCCTCTGTGTTTGCATCCGCAACAGATAACACATCCAATCTGGGAGCCTCTATGAGAACACCATACAACGCTCGACCCGATGTACGCGCGAATATGCACTCCGGAGAAAATTACACACCGGTCTTCCTCCACCACGCGCAGGTCTACATCTTTGCCGCTTCCAAAGGTATCGGCATCCTTGCCGATCACGCGCTCAATGAATTGACCGTGACCCTTTCAAAATTCACGCTTTACAAAGAGAGAATCGGGGATATTGTCGCGCTTGTGAGATGGGTTTACAGCTACTTGGATGATGATAGGGGTGCATGGGCGAACGAAGAGCCGCTGAGAAAATTGATCCGACGTGTTATTAAACGAGAACTGGTGATGCTGATCAAGGATGAGGAATTCCAGGATCTCATGGTCGAAGACAGTGGGGAAGGTGGTTGGTTGTTGAAGGATGTGATGGACTTGGTCGGCGGGAGGCTGGAGGCATGAAGAATGGAATAGACTGGCCGAAAGTGCTGAAGACGCGGTAGGATTGCAGATGAGGGAGAAGGCTTTCTTAGGTCCAAAGTGATCAAGGTGAGAAGGAGAGTCCTCCGTGATAGATAGAATCGAGAAATCATGTTCAATAGTGACGAATCGCCTCCAAACCCACTTCTTCTTCACAAAATTGGCGAGCACCTGCCTGCTCTACGGAATCTTATAGGGGTCCACATGCCACCTAAACTGGCTATAAAGACTAGTTCCGAGAACACTTCGGACTTTCCCACGTCGAACCTACAGCCACTCTTTCCCCAAAGAAACCTTTCTCCTACGATGATATCTTTCGTCCGTACAGCCGTCCACGTATGCAAAACACATGCTCTCTCAGCTCCAGCGCTATCAAAACATCATCGCTAACCACACAACTGCCGCTTGATGCCTCCGCAAGACATCAGAGAAGAAAGTCTTGCGCCCTGAACGTTGAGTGCCATTCAGCTGCACAGCATCACTCACTCGCTCTCCCCTCCTCAACGCCAATCCTCCTCCTCTACGTACCCGCACTATATAGCCCGCTCGCGATGGGAGAGCTGGTATCCTCAACCCGCCTCCGCCGCCGCCCTCCATCACTGATACGCCTAAGCCCAAACCCAGCTATACTCTTCTGCCCACCGAACCCCCTCTTCCCCTTCAAGGACCCCCTAGACCGAGGCTAACTCATGCTTTACCCCCACCCCCACACCTTTCCAAACGACCCCAAGCCTCTACCCCTTGATGAAGGCTTGAAGCCGCTCGGCGAGATGAGAAATTAGCATATTCCATTCCGATGATATGTGAAATGGGCGCATGCAATTCGATGGCCCAGCGATGTGGCTAGCAGTTGTGGTTTTGAGCTCGACGAATGATCTCACTAGCGTGTTTGGGTTGAGTATGTTACGGAGAGTGCGCTGTTTGGGGATTGGCCGAGGGAGGAGCATTCTCAGAATGTGCTTTCTGAAGTTCCTGGGGGAAATTTCTAGATCTAGATTTAATGTGGATGAGAGGAACAAGCCGGGAAGCTTTAAGGGCTTTGCGAATGCTGCCAAGTGGGGTTGACCTTGAGGATCCTTAGAGAACGACCGTGCAGTGGATAGAGAGTACTCTCTTTGCAAGGTTTAGGAAGATTGAGAAGGCGTGTGATAGGCTGTTTCTGGTGCCTGTGCAGGAGAGGGTGTTGATGAGGTCTTTGTGGGTCGGAAAGGACGCTCGAAAATGAAAAGTGTGTTTTATAATTGAGGACTTCCTCGAGGTTTATATGAATGTTATGTGCCATACAACGGCAGATATCAAGCTCATCCTATTGGGTCCTTTTCATTGCATACACATGGTAATGCGACACTCAGAAATTGGCACAACGCGACATAATGAAAATTTCAGACAAAAGACCAAGCACTGGTAAGTTCATCGATTTTTGACATTGCTCAGTCGAGAAAATATATATTGTACTTCGTCGTCGTCAATCGACTTGAATGTGACCTTTTAGGCTACTTCATTGAAGCTGCGAGGCTTTGAGCTCAGCTTTAGATTTCAAATGTCCCGAAGTGTTGAGAGGCGGATTGGTGACTGGTTGCAAAACAGAAACACTGTGAGACTTGACGCTTTGATGTGTTGAATGAGACGAGATCAGGTTCACACGCCTCGCGTGACGAGCTGCCTTGCCCCTGATGGTAACTTGTATCGACACTTGCTTTTTGTTTGCTACTTGTTAGCAGGGCCTCCAGGAGCTCAGATGAGTCTGATCACCTAATTGGGCCTAGCTCAGCCCTACCCGGCTTGGCATCCGACTCTGCTCCCACCTCATGTTCTTCCCACATCATGTTCTTAGACAGCTTGCTAGCTAGACAATCAATCCATTATATTAAAAAACCCACACTATAAGAGTCTGCTCTCACTACTTATTCCAAAAAAATTCTTTGCTACAATCCTCTTTCCTTTCATACCCACATAGCTTATCATGGGTGATGTTAAAGAAGAAGTCGGTCTCACGACCCAGTCCTCTGAAATGCCCGACGGCTTTGGGTATGTCAATTTGCCTGGTAGAGTAAGGTCAGATACTAACCAAAGACACAGCAAGTTCGGCTCGAAAATCTTCAAATTCATCGTTGAAGACCGAACCTTTTCCGTACACTCGGACTTCATCACCGATCTCTCGCCTACATTCGATGAAGATGTTAATGGTGGAATGAAAGAAGCTGAACAAGGATATGCGGCTATCAAAGACGTCAGTGCTGCCACTTTCGAGCGATTCATTGAATGGGTGTACGCGGGGTACTACACGGCCTCTTGTCCCGTCTATGAGAGCGAGGAGCCAAACGGAGATGACTCTCATGATACCAACGACATCAAATCCTATCAGACCTTGATGCAACAAGCAGAGACACGCCTCACCGGCAATCACTGGTGTAAGGGTTGCAACCTTCAAATCTATTTTCAAGACTGGTCTCGGTGCTATCACTGCGGCTATCAACACATGCAGGACAGCTCAGACATAAAACAAAGCAATAAAGTGGCATTTGTCAAGGACTTGCCTACAATAAAGAGACATGGCGTGAGACTAGCAGCTCCTCTATCGAACACTGACCCCACCGTGTCTTTCGAAGACGTCTTTCTGTGCCACGCGCAACTCTACGTCTTCGCTGACAGCAGAGGCATCGAACATCGAAGCACTAAAAGATCTTGCACTTCGAGAATTGCATATCCGGCTTGCGCATTTCAAGTTGTTTCCTACACGCACCGATGACATTGTTTCGCTGATTCAGTACGTGTACGGCAATACGATGCAAGCCAGCCACGATAAGCCAGACCCTCTTCGACAACTTGTGATGAAGTACGTTGCCGCCGAGTTAGATACCTTGGCGACACACAAGCCTCTGTTGCAGCTGGCTTTCTGGCTGGAGAAAGATGAAGGAGTCGACTTTCTAGATGAGGTTGGAGCGATCTATCAGCAGAGGCTTTGAGTCTTGGGGGGGAAGACATCTTTCGATGGTTCATAAGCGCATCATCAGTCAAGTTATCTATGGGACTCGGTTGACGTCAATAGACAACTTAATCCTCGTGAGTTTTGATGTCTTGTAGACATGGAACACGGTAGCCAATATGCTCAATCTGATGAACGGTGATTGTCTGATGTCCGTATGCCCGTCCATGCTTGATCCACATTGATGTGTTAGTCTTCTGTCCACAGAACACCTCGTTCATTCGGATTTCACCCTCGACCGCGAGTAGTGATTGAGACGTCGACTGCTGCTAGAAGCTTCTTCGGCCCCTCATCGGTTGGTATTGTAGATCTTTCCGTCTCGTAAATTCAAAGCTTTGCCGATGATCAAATCATTTGGCTTCTAGTCTTCATGATGTTGTGTCCTACAACCTTCGCATAACCACATGCAAGAAGTCCTCATGAAACTCTGGGCCATTCGATTCCATAGTGAATGGCAGCGATCTAAACTCCTCGTCTAGCATCAAAGTCTCTAGCTGCCAACCGATATAATCGGTCAACATGTTACGCAGCTCATTCCTGGCGGTATATGCACACTCATGGCCCAGACCTCTATCGTGATCTTGTCCGTCCCTGACCGTATTCTCATACACGTATTTTAAAAGAGCCACGATATCACCTGTGCGGCATCCGTAGAGTGTGAAGCTGGCGAGGATAGCATGGAGTTGCCCCAATACGTATTTGCTGAGGTCATATATCAGCTTCTCGCCTGCAAAGACGTAGAGTCGAGCATGGGAAAGGAAGACGTCCGTGAAGTCCTCATCGAGACTGCTGTTTCGTTGGGGCATGTGGGTAAGAGACTTAATATCTCTTAGCTTAATGAATCGGGATCGCATATGAGCTCTTGACATCTTGCTGTTCACTTGGTGGCCATCGAAATCGAATGAGCCAAAAAAGTCGTTTGCCCAGAAGAATTCATCTTTAGACTCTTTCTCTGAGAGTGGCCGGGCTTCAGCCGACGCCAAAGCATTGGCGACCTTGCGAGAGTGCGACAAACCGGATCCTCCATTCTCCGTAGGCGTGGTTGGCTCTATCACTCGCACGACAGATTCTGCAGGATTGTAGGATCCATTGTAAGCCCACTGGCAGAAGCTGTCGAAGGTCGTTGCGTCAACGCCTAGCAAGGTAGCTTCACCGTCACGCTTTTCTTTCATGTCAAGGGTCATGAGGGCATTGAGGGGATCTGAGACACGGGAGATGATACTCTGGTGGATGTAGAAGGATTCGCCATCAACTATGAATCGGAAAGGAGGCGAATTGAATGACCTAGATGAGTCAGCGACATGGAATGGAACGTAATTCTAGGTGTCCCTATACAATTCTGCTCCTCTTGCGGTATTTCCATCGCATCTCGTAGCGCGTCGAGATCGGCTTCTTGAGGGTCCCATGTTATGCGTGGGTCCTGCGCTCTTGGCGTTGTTGCCCCGCCTGTCGACTATTTGAAGAGCATAATGGGTTTCGGTAGCGGTGGCTCGTGGAGTTGTTTGTCCCAATGCCCTAGAATTGCTCATGATTTGCAGATACGATGGACAGCTAAAATTTGAAGGGACGCGCAGAAGACAAGCGCGTGCCAAGACATTTGATTACGTAAGTATTGCGTCATTGCAGGTACTCCCCTTTTCTCATCCTCAATCACTATCCCCTGGCAGCACGGCAGGTCTTTCGGTGCTTAAACATCTAGCAGACTGTCCTATTAGGACGCTTGCATGTTTCTATCAGATTCTCGCTCGTCATGTGCACCAAATATAGGCGGACATCGATGCTACGTACTCTGCTCTCCAAATTTGAACGAAGTGCCGATGTCAATTATTCACGAATCAAAAGAATCTAGCAGATCAGCGATCTTGTCAATAGGGTCTGGAAACCGTCCACTGCGGCTCTGGGAAGGTTGTATCTCAATGTCTTATGCACCTCCCGCCTTAGCGACATGTCTCGCGCAATCCCTCACAACCCCCATACTGCCGAACATACTTTCAGCATATCCCCCTATCCTCCCTCTGCAATCTGCTCCTCCGCCTCTCACATCCTAGGAGAGTCTTGGCATTCATGCAGCCACTCCGCCCACTCACCATCCTAGCCTGCCATCTACGCATGCTCCACTCCTTGGCTTTCGCCTTCCCCATCTCCAACTCCACCTCAATTCCCAACTTCTCCCAGTACTATGGTACACCCATCTGTTACACCCCCGAGCACCCCCCATCTAGCGTGCCCAATCCCGGCCCGCCTCTCTCCGAAGATTGCGACTACGTCGTCTATCAATTCGAAGAACGCGACACGCGCCGGCCACCAGAGATCTCCACATGGGGAGACCGTGACTACTATACTGAAGCAGAAGTCGACTTTTTACTGCCGACGGCCGAGACGCATCAGACTTGTAAGGGGGTGTGCTCATGAGAGATACTACAGGCGAGACGCAGGTGGCAAAGGCGTTTATGTGGAGAGTTGCGGAAGCGGTAACCCGGGTGCGGACGTATTGTGAGAATAGAGGCAATTTGGGCGGCGCGGTGATGGTGGGCGATAAGTTGGCGGTCGTGAATATTGGGTATAGCGTTGGAGGTGGGGTGGTGGGAGCCGGCGACGGGAAAGGGGACGAGGAGGAGTTGAGGGGGTTTTGGGAGGAGTTGATGGAGATGAGTAGGGTGAGTGGTATGAATGATGGAGGGTTGAGTGGCGTGGATGAGGAAGCAGCAGTGGCCCAAATTGGAATACAGTGAGACCAAATCCTAAAATGTCCGGATCGACACCAGTACTATGATCTTCGTCAACCAGAGTCTTCAACCTTCCATCAGCCTTCTTAACTTTGTCCTATTGTCACTCTCAGCCAGATTTAATCTAGGGTGACGCCCTTGGCAGCTTTTCTATTAATATACTCACTTCGCGACCCACCGACTCTCCTGGTAATTGCAAGTTACCCAACGCCCTTGGAGACTACCTGGAGAGATGACCTTGCCCTTGCCACGACTGCCAAGCATTATACATACTTTCACAGCGTGAAAGAAAAGGACTTGACATACGTACTAGGCTATTAGCTTCACCGAGTCCCAATCACGAAAGTCTCCGTCGCCGATTAGGGGCGGCTGTAACGCTGTATATCGTCCATAAATCTGGTAGTTCACGCACAGACTGAGGGTTGACTAAGCCACAAGAGTACGATTCTTCTTCGATAAGCACCATAAAGGTAACCTATGGATGGAAAGGAAAAACAAAGCCAGAATATCAGATACATAAAATCAAGAAAGGCAACAAATCGGGTACGGCGCGACAACGCAGGCGAATCAGGCACTGGCGACAACGCAGGCACGAAGATCACCAAAGCAGATACAGTGCGAAAACGCAGGTACAGAAACACCAACGTAGGAAATTCCCACCGCCTACCTGGTTCACCATCACATACCTTTTCCCACCACCCACAGGCTCCCATCGGCTACCTGCTCCTATCAACCTATCCATCCCACACCACGCCACGCTTCTTCTTCTTCTCCCCTTCCACGACTTACCCTTACCTACCCATCTCCATCTATTCGTAGACTCTGGTCCGTTGCCGCCATTCCCTCTTTCCCACCCAACTCAGCACGATCAACACATTCACAGCTCCTTTTTTCGAGAAAAGCAGCTCTTTCGTTCGGCGGCTATGGTTTTACACGGTTAGGAATTAGAACACAAAGAACCAACAGGGTTGGGGGGTACTTATCGTTTCTTCGCTTCCGAGATCAGCAGTTGGGTAGGGGGGGGGGGACGGGCCGTGAGCTGGGTCAGGCGTGGGCGGGGCCAGTGCGACAGACGATGCTTGATCACTTGTTTGGTCACCTCGGGGGGCCTGTATGTCATTAGGACTCAGCAATGCAGAGAGAATCGGGGTACTCATCTTTTCTTCGTTTCAGAGATTAGCAGATCCGTGAGGTTGGTAAGGCACGTGTGTATAATCATATATACGAGGTTTATTACGAATTGCCTTTTTGGAGGGGACGGGGGAGACTTGCAACAGATGGTGTTCGACGACTCATCTGGTCATATCGGGGAGTTATATGCGCGTTAGGACTGACGTTGCAAGGCGGATTGGAGAGCGACTCACCTTTCGTTGCTCGCGGCGAGGTACAGAATCAAAGGGTGCTGGTCAGATTGTGGGCCATGCGCGGTTAGGACTCATATCAGAAGGCGGATTGGAGAGCGACTCAGCTTTCGTTGCGTGCAGCAATGTATAGACTCAAAGGGTGCTGGTCAGATTAGGGGCCATGCGCGGTTAGGACTTACTTAGATCGCAAACCGGGCTGGGAGGAAACGTGCTCACCGTTTCTTGATTTTGGCGATGTGCAGACCCGTGAGGTGTGTCTGGCAGATGTATATCTATGTGGTTAGAACGTAGATCGCAAAACATATTATAGAAAACTTGCCGTTTGTTTGATTGCAGCTACACATGAACAGGTGAGGTGGGTCAGGTGGATGTACGCAAATTGATGCGGTTAGAACTTGGTTCGAAACGCGGGTTGGAGGCACTCACTTTTCTTTCCGATAATGTGCAGGGGGCACATGGGGGAGGTGAATTAGATAGATGTATGTATATATACGTGATTAGGACCTAGATCGGAAGGCGGGTTGGCGGGGGGTACTCACCGCTTCCTAATTGAAGGAGGAGAGAAATTTGCTTGGACTGGTGTATGTTGTTGTGAGTTTGACGGAACAATGATTGTCATTTATTAGATTATGATTGTGATTGTAACTGTGATCGTGATCGTGATTGCTATTGTGAAGTGTGCCTGGAGTAAGCTTACCGATAGTAAAGTGTAGGCTCCGTGATATCTGTTGTCTCCAGATTTGAAGAGGAAGATGAAGAGAAAGAAGAAGAGAGAACACAGGAATATTATATAGCGCGGGTGGAGCCCAATGAAAGTTTTTCCCCCTAAGCTGTGGATATCCTGTGGCAGGCGTCATACGTGGGGAGACGCCTACGTGAGAGAAGGCTTCTCTATTATGGGTCCACTAGTAAGATAAGGTTGTGATTTTGTGACAGTGGCTAAAGCTGTCTGCTGCAATATCGAGCGTGCTCCACATTTCCCCGTTCATCGCAAGAAATCAAAGCAGAAACTTACGGAAGAAAGATTGAACATTGAACAGTCACCACCAACCCTCCAATGTTCAAGGAGTGGAAGGGTTGTGGGAATTTATAGGTTATGTACTCCACAATCCCCCGTTCAACGCTGGACTCAAAAATCGCTGAAATAGGAATCATGGCAGCCACTGCCCTGCGCGGGTGGAGAAACGGAGCAACAGCAAAACCGATCAGATGTCAGCTACGCGTCCCACCGCAACTGTGGACAACGAAAAGAGGTGGTACGGGCTGCAAATCGGCCCCAGCGCCTCCTTTACGCCTTCACGCCATCATAGAATCTTCGATCGTTTAGTGGCTTGACAAAACTTTCTTCAGGGAACAAAACTCCGAACCATACATTGAAATTTCTCGTCGGCTTGATCTGCCATGTAACCGGAGAATCAGAATGTATCAGCGCCACGCCTTCTACTGGTCAGATGCGCCAGACTTGACCCACTGTCCCTCGGATAAAGCTTTGCGTGGCTTGAAATGGCACCTCGAGCCACTAACGTCAATCATGATGAGGCTCCACTTTTGCTTGTAACTTCGAAGTACCTGTGGATCCAGCCTTTAAAGCTGCTAGAATGCAGCTGGATCGTGAAGAGCCCGTCATGAGGGTACTTGTATAAAGTGAAGGAACCTCAACGCTAGGAATCGCCCTCTACATAGAAGAAAATATCTCCACAAAATTGCTAAAGGATTCTGGGTCTTCCTTCCCATCAACCGCTTACTGTTACAACATCTTCTCAGGATGAGCAACCTGCTCGCGGCTAGTTGTACTTGGTATCCGCTATTTGCTAATCATCAAAACTGGAGGATAGAATGGTTATCTATATGCAAATAGCTGACTTCTCAATATCATCTATATCCATGAGTCTAGTCAATCCTCATCCTAGAATTTCCAGCCGACGCCTGGAAAGCTTCCCGACTATCGCGGCCGCGAGGCCTACTGAAGCCATACACACCTAGCCGAATACCCTCGGCCTCATGAGTCGCCTAAAGCATGACATTCCTTCTCACCACACACAACTGGCTTAACCTCCTCACTCTCCCCCGCCCCCGTCCCTGCCCCCGGAACGACAAATTTCACACTCCTCATCCCCTTCCCCTTCCCCTCCCCTCCCCCTTCCCCTTCCCTCCCACCAACGACCCCAGCGCCTCCCCACTAACGCAAATCCCCAACCTATTATTCCCAAACACCCCCCCTCATCCGGCGTCCGGTTCGGCGTCAAAGACGCAACGAGCTCGCCCTTACAGTCCTGCTCCGTGTAGATGTTGAACATGGCGCTGATGGTGGGGTCATCGAAGTGGATGCCGAGGCCGGTGCCGCGGGGGAGAAGTTCGTGCATGCGCTGGTCATGGGTTTGTAGGAGTTGGCCAGGGCCGGCGGAGGGGGGGTGGGAGCGTCGGCGCAGGTGGGCGAGGAGTGGTGGCTTAGCCATTGGCCTGAGGTGGGGAATGTGGAGCGGTTAGGGAGGAGATGAGATGATCCAATGGAAGCGAGAGATAAGAGTGTGAGGAGGGTGGTTGGCTGCATGCTGATTGTGTGGTCTTGTGCCTGGGAAGTTTTTGAGGTTCGATTGGATGGATGAGCACGTTAGTCTTTGGTTTTGGGGATTTAACAGATAGGGAAGTGAAAGTAGGTGCTTCTTGTGGTCGGCTTTTGAGGGCTAGTCGTTCTACTTGTGAAACAATGGTATTGTGGAAAACAAAGAGCGCAATTTTCATTGGTTTTTTTTCGCGAGATTTGCATTGTTCTTCATTGTATGTGTGATCATTGCTAGGACGAAGACAAATCTAGTCGATCATCTCGTCGCGACTGTGCTGAAACACTTGTCATAGGCAACTTGTCCTTTGCAAGAGGTCGTACAGGGCAATATTGATGCCCAGGTTTCGCTAGGTTGCAGGTGTTATGGCTGAGTTCTTCTCTTGCAAGGAAGTATTTCCAAAACGTGCGGTCAATCAAGCGCAGGCAAATGCACAACGCGAAGATGAGAAAAGACATTGTGCTCAAATTGGAGTCTCTACATGATTAACTTGGATGTGCCATGACAAGTTGGAAGGATATTCCTAATGAGAGTGATTGTCTGGTTGGTTGCAAGCTGAGAAGTAGAGAGTTCTATGCTTCATATCAATCCAACCCTTCCTTTACATCCCTAAGCCAAGTCTTTGCCCATGTGATACGACTCATCCTACACAAAGTCCAGCTTTGCAATGAGAACATTTTGGTCGCGATAACCACCCCTACCATCAACACTCCTATGTCGCAGATCCACAATGCCGTCGTACATCACGTTCCCAATCACTAACAAGTCTGTTTCCTTGGATCACACTCAACCTCCGCGGGCTGATCAGAACTCTGGCCCTTCTGCACCCCGCAAATCCTCTTATAAAGATCACTATCCGCTTTCAAGCAAATCGAAAGATGCGTCTGATCCTTTGCATAGTCTGGGTCGGTCGCATAAGTAATGCTCGTAAAAGTCCCGATCTTCTTGCTGCATCCCGTATCCTTGTCGTCGGCGGCTTCGAAGAATCGGACCCTTGCAATCTCACCGTTGAGGTTGACACCAATCGATTTCGAGCCTTCTGTGGGTTTGAACCCTATGCCGCGTTTAGTGTCGTCGAAGATGAAGGTTTTGCCGCCGTCTCCGGGAACGCCTGTGCAGTCGTCGGATGGAAAGCTGGCGATGTAGGCTGGGTTGGCGGCTTGCTGATCCACGTATTGGGGTTTGCTGAGAGATAGTGCGCTGAGGGAGAAGAGGGTGAGGACGGTTGAGGTGCGCATGTTGAAAGATAGACTTGATCTGAAGTGGTTGAAATATGGGTGGGATGATCGACTTGGGTGAGTACTGGTTTTTTGAGAAAATGAAACTTGGGAATGGTGCAATTGAACTATGGAAATGAAAGTGGGTGCAAGCCCAAATATATAGACTCGAGAACGTTGTGGCACCTCTAACGTTCTGACACCGTCAATAACAGAAAACCAACCATCCACTCTTTCGAGACAAAGGCCAGAACTCTTCGAGACAAAGGCTAAGTTTCAGGACCTGATGCGGTACTACTTCTAGTTGCAATAATTCGATGCAAGACCCAAGACGTTTGTTTGGCATCAAGTGTGACCAATCACCGGATTATGAAGTGCTTCATCCATCTACTTGTACTACCTTTTCACTCTAGCAACTTGGGGGACCAAGTGCCCGATACTTTCGTCGTTCCTCTGAAACATGGTCTCGTGTGAAACAAAGCCGAGCATGAAGATCCGCGTACAATAAGCTTGTCCTTGACCCTTGTTCTTGAAACAAGGGTAGGCGTACGAGATTATAATCGAATTATTTCACACCATATCAGTCGTACAAAAAAATATTGGATCACAGGTCATCCTCTTTCTCCCACCTTTAGTACCCAATTATCTCTTTGCAGTCTCTTCGCCTCCGTGTTTGCACAATATAATCTTTGCACGACTATGAATCTCACCCTCGCCGCCAAGTATCCTTGCTTCTCTCATCCCTTACCGCCTCACACCCTCACTCACAACACAGACATGCAGCACATCCACCATACTCAACCATCACATTCCTGCGTCAAAACATGACACTCCCTCGTCCCACCCTTATCACCCTTCTGCCCCTTCCCCACAGCACAAATATCCCCATAAATATCACCCCCCGTATCAGCATTCACGCAAACAGCCAAAGCATTCGGATCCGGGGAGGCCGTCTTCCCCCAAAAAGTCCCGATCGAATCATCGCACTTGTCTACCCCCCTCCTTTCCTGAAGAATCTGACTCTATCGATCTCGCTGTTTAGCTTGACACCAAAAGATAACGCCTTGGCGTCCGGTTTGAAATCTTGCAAGGCATGGGAATGGGGGGTCGTTGAGGATGTAGACTTTGCCGGGGTGGGGGGGTCGCCGCCGATGGAAACGCCGGTGCAGTCGCGGGTGAAGAAATTGGCGATGAAGGCTGGGTTGGTTGATTCGGGTTTTGTGTCTTCGCAGAGGGCTAGGGTGGCGAGGGAGATGAGGGTGAGGGTGAGGATTGTTGAGGTAAGCATGTTGAAAGGCTTTCTTATTATTAAGTATTTTGGGATGTTTGGGGGGGAGGATGGATACGTGATTTCATACAGACGATGTGACCCGGGGGGAGGGGGGAGGATACGGTATTAGAAGAAGGACGTTGGGCGCTGCGATGTGCTTGAGGACTCAAGGGTTCTTTGAGGCTTTTAGATACTTGGTCCACAGCATTTTTGAGACGTGCCTAAGTTTCAGATGCTGATCAAAGGACTCAATCGTTCGCAGTTTTGCGGTACAAACTCCGATTCAATAGACTTCCACTCAATTAGGCTTGTGAGATGAGTCGTCCCGCCTTGATACAACGCACTCATTCTGTCCACTCGTATGATAGTCTGGAGGGATGTTTAATGTATAGAAAAGGATTGGTCATAAATTGTTTTGTTTATCAAATTTGCATACTCCATTGTACTCTCACTACAGAACTCATGAATTAGATTGCTGCTGCTGAGGGTCCTCACTCCTTCGAAATCCAGTTTCACACACCACCCTTTTCCACGCCACAAATATTATTAAAGGCGTCCTCCCCCGAATTCCAGCACGTGAAGAAAGTCTGCGCAGGGTCGTCTACAAATTTCGACTTGGGAAACGTCCCGAGATCCCCGTCACATTTGTGACCGTCCATCTGGAAGAGCTTGACTGATTCGTTTCTAGCCTTGAGCTGCACCCCGAAAGACACTGCCTTGTTCTTAGGTTTGAAGTGAACTTTGTCTAAATTGTCTGGGATTGTGTGCTTATGTCCAATTTGACCAACGCAGTCTAGCGATGAGTAGCTCATGATGTATCTCTTTGTGAGATCACCTTTGGGCGTGTCTTTTGGGTGGCCCAAAATCGTTCCGCCAAGGGACAAGAGGACGAAGATAAGGGAGGGTTGCATGGTGTAAGGCTTCTTCGATGTTTGGTGTTGAGATCTGCGTAGGATGTGCGGTTGATATTTGTTGTCTATTGTGAGAGTGAGATTGAGGTGATGAAAATGAAGGTGGGTGGAGGCCCATAGTTATGAATTTGATCCATGTAACGAGGCAATTTTCGATGCAAAACGACCGTACCTCCAGCTTCTCAGAAGTGGAGAGAAATTTCAGGTTTTGAAACGTGAACATTTGTGTTGGCTCTAATGCCAATAAGAACCATACCGAGGCATACAGTGGAACACTTGGGGTATTTTGAAGGCTGATGAACAGGATTTGCAGCTATAAGACTAGATTTGTTCGCAGACGATACATATTGTGTCTCATTTGCCAAAGAACTCATTAAAATGCATCGCTGTGGGAGGTTGTAGATTAGCCTCCTATCAATGGCGGCTTTTTAGTACATTTTTAAGGTGCCTCCTGAAGATGATTCCTACCTTTGTAATGCATAATCTTGATAGCAAAGAAACATCCATATTGTTGCATGTCTGCCTGTCATTCAAATCCCATCAATCTCAATCCTCCAATTCATCTTCAAGTCTTCTGAGTAGTCTTTTATGATGCCAACAGATATCATGATACCTGCACGAATCGCGAGGATGCTTCTACCAGCCTCGCATTCTCCCTCTATTTAGTTGTGTTCTTATACCTCTTGAACCCACAAGCAAATCGAAAAGGGTTTTCGATATCCGTTTCCGAAGGATCGTGGCGGTGGTAGTTTTCGCAGAACCAGAGAGCATTGGGAGGATCTCCTATGAGTGGATATCGATAAAATTCATAGTCGCAATTTCCCCCGCTTTCTGATAAAGCGACGACGAAAACATCGTTGGAGCCAATGTTGACACCATAGGATGTCAAGTCGCGGTGGTGGTGCCATCTAGTAACGACGTTGGGATCGTCAGGGAGCATGAGTATGCCGTTATCTGGCCCGGTTGTTCGACCAGTGCAGTCGGATGTGTTGAAGCTGGCGACGTAGGTTAGGGATCTGTTGTCCAGAGGTGGTGTAGAACCTGCAGCACCAAGGATGGTTGCGCTGAGGCAGCCGAGGATGGAGACAATGAAGGTGCGCATGTTTCGGGGCTTTCCTGACTGAAATATAGAAGGTTAGTTAAAGAGGTTGGCAGGTATTCGAGTAACTTCGTCCCCTGAGAGATATTTTTGAGAACTTTGTGGAGACTGTCCCAAGACGCTCCTTTATACCTTTCTGATCCACCACGTTGATACCTGTGACAGCTGAAGAAGACGAGCAAACCCACAGATTCCGGTAGGAGAAGGATCAAACCTCAGGAGTTGAAACAAGGTTTATTGCATTGGTAATACTCCTAATCAAGACCAAACAGAGTATGTCTTGGACCAGCTGGTTTACATTGAAGGCCGCTGGTCACTTTATGCAGCTACAAGATGATGCACTAATTTCACCCATAACACTCCCTTTGTCTCATCACGGGGTCATGCACCCGCTCTTGCGGCTACTGACGATCGAGCTTTTAGGTCGTCGATGGTCCTTCTGATACATGCTTCGAAGTATTGTCTTGTATGACGTATCCTATAAGGATAAAATCCTACTTGAACGCAACTGATGATAGAAGGAGCGACTCAGGAAACAGTGTGGGGAAAGCACGTATCAGGCAACTTACTGGAAGGCAGAGAAAGAGCAAATGTGGATCACGCCGAGATTAATTTCCCTTCATTGATTCTATTATTAGTACCACATCTAGATGCCAGCTTCTATCTCTTTAATGAATGATTTGAGTTGGCCTCCCAAAGAATTGCAAGCAAATACATGTCCGTTTATTGTCCGTATCTCATCAACGCAAAGTCCACTTCATGTTCTCCAGGTATTTTACCATGATATCAGAAAACATGGGAGCCACCTGGCCGACCATAGGTCTCCTTTGAAGACCTTGATTGTTTTCTCTAAACGTGCTACCACTCGAATCTTTGGAACCCACAGGTCGTTTTGTATAATTTACCGGTAGGCTTGTCGTCCTTTTTCAGGCATAATTGGGGTCTCTCCGTTCTAAAGGCTTGCTCCGATTCGGCCTTTGAGCCTGGAGTCCAGCTTACAGTGTCGCATTTTTTACCCCAGAGTATATTGACATGTTCCCGCTCAGAGCCAATATTGATGACGTAAGATTTTGCGTCTGCCTTCGGTTTGAATATAGTCACATTTGCATGAGGGTCTGGGAGGAAGACCACTTCTGAGTTGAGGATCGGCCCTGTGCAGTCTTTCGATGCGTAATTAGCGACCCAGAACTTCGTTATATCAGGCACAGGTTGATTAACATCTGGACGACTGAGGACGGCCGCGCTTAGGCAAGCCAGGACGGAGAGAGTAGAGATTTGCATATCTCTAAGCTGTTCTGATTGAAAGTCGGAAGATTATTGGTTAAGAGTTCAGCAGGATCTTAAATTTGTCTATCTTCTTTGCCTTTGTGAGTCTAGGAAGAGAATTGAAAGTTGAAGGAAAGAGAAAGACTGCGGATGAGCTCCATTATATATTGCCCTTTCATCAGGAAAAGCTTACGAAAGCGGTGTCTGATCGCCAAATCCACAATTTTCTCGTGAGAAGAGTCAAATCTCAGGATTTGAAACGAGAGTCTTTGTATTGGCGATAATGTTAGTTGAAATTTGACTGAGGAACTTGCTACAATGGCTTAAGATTAGAGAAATCGTATACGTGAGATCTATGGCTCGACGATGCCACTGTCTCAATAGTGATACAATTTTTGTTTTATAATGCTTCGTGTTCTCTCCGTTACAACGAATAATAGCTAAGTGAGTGATTCGACTATCGTCTTTTGGACGAAGGCTTCTCAGCCTGATCTCGAATGAGATGACCCTGAGCTTGAAACTTAGAGTTGCCTCATCTAAGCTCTCCTTCGTCTTTCGCAAGTGAGCTGCGATGGCAGGGCAGTAAAATCCTCGCGCAATTTGAGAAGTGTAGAGAAAATGAACCTCAAGTAGGATTTGTTCTTGAACGCGGCAAGTTAGAATTTCGAGACTTGAAAATATGTTTAGAGCATACTCTATTACTTTATCGCAAGCTTCACTGAGCACCCCATTCCTCACTTTCAATAGATACAGATCTTTGGCAGACAAAATCCCTGCAAGATTCGCATGCTTCTGACTCCACGATTTACTTCAAACCCCTCGAGTAATCGACCATGTATGCTTGTCAATCATTGCCCTCATGCACACCACAAATCTGATGAAAGAGATCAAAGTGCCTGAATTCAAAAGGCCCGATTTGAAGATCCACGCCATCAGAAGGCACACAGAGCCAACTACCCCATTCACCCGCAGGACGTCCGTTAAATGGAAACTTTGCTAACAGCTGATCGCATTTATCGCCCTTGAAAAAGTTCAAATATGTCGCTGGGTTGCCCACGTTGATTCCGAAGGAGTTTATGCCTTCAGTCGGCTTGAAGAGAATGAGATCTGTGTCGTTCTTGACCTTGATCTTATGCTTCACGTGACCGGTGCAAGCGGAGGATTTGTAGCTGGCAATGTAGGTCGAGCCTGGGTCCTGTATAGGCCCGTCCTCGCCACTAATGGTTGCACTGAGACATGAAAGAACGAGAAAGATGGAAATACGCATGATGCGGAGTCTTCTTGGCGAGGGTGGTCGATCTTGTCAGTGAAATGTGGAATAGTATTTCTAGAGTCTTTCCGTCCAAGGAAGGTTGCAGAAGTTGTTCGAAATTGAAGGAAGGAGAAATTCTGTGAGCTGGGATTCCTTTATATTGTTGACTGCATCATAAAGTACTTGAGACAGCTCGGCAACACCACATCCACTGCTTTTTCAGAACAAGTGTAACATGCTAGAACATGCTCCAACAGCCCTTGTAATAGCTTTGATTTGACTGAGTATTCGTCTCAGAACCACTATGGAACATTACAGTATCAAAAGACTGTCGAACGGCTTTGGCAGAATGACCTTGGATTATCCTCGTTTCAAATCCAGCACCAAGAACACTGATGGAAGGCAGTATCTAGATTCAGACAAAGTATGAACCACACGGCGCGACCATGATCTTCAGTCTCGAAACGATACGATGAGTTGACAGAAAGACAAATTCATAAGCCACTCTAGCAACTGGACCACTGCCCCACCATCCTATCTCCAGGTGCTTCATGAAACACCTCAAGGTTCACAGCGATTGGTCGACCCTTAGAATGTAGTTTCGGCTTCTGAGGTCATCGGGTTTTTGCAAATGAGCTTCTTTGATAGAGCAGTATAGTCGTTGAGGTAGTTGCTAAAGTGCAGAGAAGAAGTACAATACAGGGCACATATTCTGCAGATGGCAGTCAAATCTAATGGCTTGAAAATGGTTCCATTAGAAAGAGTGATTTGATGTATTGCAAGCTGATATCATTCTCCATTGATTCTTACAATCATGACTGTCCTTCGAAAGACAAGTGCTACCTGATGCATGATTCTGGTCAAAATAGAGAGACTAATCCGTTCAATGTCACGCCAACACTCACCACCATCCCGTGAATCCCCACAATTTCCTTGACGTCTCCTTGCTGTGGAAGCTGTACATGTCAAAGCATCTACGGGTCCATTCCTTTAGGCTTAGGTATGTCCGTCTCCAGGTAGGAATGATTCCAGTCGCTGTCCTGCTGTACACCGCGAATTCTCAGAAATACGGCGTCTGTAGAAAGTACGCATAGCCATTCGCCGTCTTGTGCACCAGTCCGCCCATGCTCATCCCCATGCGGAAACGAGTCAAAAGGCTTCTCGAGGTGGTCACCTTCCAAGAATTTGAGGAAACCTGCGCCGAAATCGATTCCATGGCCGAAGTTGACAGCGAAAGATTTCACGCCCTGCGCTGGTATGTAAGGCACAAGAGTTGAATCTGTGATGTTAAGTATATCCTTCACATGATTGTGTTTAGAACTCCTTGAGGATGGACCACAGCCCTTGGATGTGTAGCTGGCGATGTAGGTTGTGGAATTGGGTGGTAAAAGTGTATCAAATGCAAGTCCAGGGATCGCTGCACTGAGGCAAGAGAGAGTGAGTAGTGCTGAAGGTCGCATGATATTTAAGGCTTTGTGATAAGGGTGATCGAGTTTCTGGATAGAAAGTTTAGCAGTTGATGAAGTTTTTTCTTCCGAAAGATGTTGCAGAGAAATGTGATGAAATAAGAAGGGAGAAAATACGTCTGTGTGACTCCTTTATATGTTGACGACTGCGTCGGTAGAGCACTTGTGACCTGGATTGATCAAGGCCAAAGCCATAGCCTTGACGAGACAATGACAGAATCTCAGGATTTGATGCAGCGGTCTTTTCGCTTGAATCAATTTGATTAGGGTAACGGCTGACACACTCTCAAACACACAGAGATTTCAGATTACCATCGAAAAGACTTTGTAGCTGGAAGAACTAGCAATTGTTTCGAGTCCAGCGCCGAGGATACTGTTCAAAGGCCGATCCGAACTCCGACCAGAACACTATCGCGGCAGCACGAGAGAATGCTTCGTTCTAACTGCGCCTAAAAGTCGATAAAATGTAGGCTTCAGAAGTTATGATGCGAACTGCCCTCCTCGCATACGAACGCCTTCTTCAGGTGAGCGATGAAACATCTTAAATGTCACGGCGATTGGTCGACTCCAAGACTGCAGTTTCGGCTTCCAACGTGCGATAGGCTAATATTGAATGAACAGTCTTCGCAACACTTCCACGAGCAATTTCGACACCATCACGCAAAACGTTGTATGTCAGAGCGAAGTAGTGGTCTGTATTTTCATAGTAGGTTGCGAACCTATCAGAGACAACTGCAGCTCGTTCGCACGAAAAACTACGACCTTCTTCTGATGTCGGCTCTATCTCTACTGTCGTAAAATAGTTGTAGGCCTGTTCTTGCTGAAGTAAGTTGCCCTCATGAAAGCGCAATTTCCTTGCAAGCTCTCGGAACGCGTCTCCCGTAGGATTTGGTGCGACACGTGTACGATCCTCAGCGTATACATAGAGGACTAGTAGATTAGGCGCGACGACAAATTTGCCGCCACTTGGTGTTGTCGAGTTCAAAGGATATGCTGTCGCTGAAGAAACGGCAAGTGATATCAACAATCGAGTCCATGACTGAGAAAGTTGCATTCTATTTTCCTACTGCTAAGAACCCAACTTCTGAGAAGAATCTGAAGAAAGGTTAGTACTATACCGCTGCATATCTTGCAGTGACACAGCCGGCGTCAATGTCTTGCGAAACATTCCAGAAGCGACCCGTGTCTAGCACGCTTTTTGAGGGATGACTGAGTAATGAGACATCGGTCTTTGACTGTGTTTCTAGTACTAATGTGTAGGTCTGCTCTTGATATTGGACGTGTGAATGCCCTCCAACTGCAAGGCCATAGACGTGAGAGGATTCGTAGGTGATTGGACGAGGGGGCTACAAGGAGGTCAGCTTGGCCTGAATGGCACTCTCCATGACACAACAAACATAGAAGGGATTTTTTGACTTGTACGGTAGACCGTTTGGCATATCTTCCATTCATGTAGTAGGAACAGGAGACTTGACAGACCGAAATAAGACCCTCCGTGATGCATCGTAATTGACGTCATTGTTACCATCCTTGGCGCCAAGCTTGATGTAATGTTTCCAGACTGTCCTTCCACAGTTCTTGCCCGTCATTCTCCTGACTATGTAAAGCGGTGCATTCTACACACGTCCACTACTGTTCTCAGGACGCCTCAAAGACAGCTCCTTGGACGATGGACTCTGGTAACTCGACAAGGACACATGCAAGAGCGATGAGATCGCCATGGCTCTTTGCAAAGCCTTCATATTGCATTCAATACGTGCACTATTGAACAAGTGCAAGCGGCTGATCTAGCAATCGCATTCGACGTGTCGCTACCGAGATTCCTATCGGAACAGTGAGTTAATTGCAGTTGATGTTGAACACTTGAATCTAAGGCTTCTGGTCCCTAAGCAACGGTAGGAAATCCGTCGACAGAGTCTGAAAGAGCTGGTAAGAGATGAGTATGCATCGCTCATGAAGATGAGTGCGGAATTTGTCTCCGCTTCCAATGAGCTCGGCATGCGCATACAGGATGGAACATATGCTACCAACATGGAATACTTCCCTCGTCAGCTCCCTGGTGGTCCACACTTTGGGGATTGTGAAGTAGGTGACAATTCTAACATCAAAGACAAAAATGTGACGGATTAGGCACCCCGTAGACTAGTCTGATTAGTAATGATGTCGTCAGTGAACGTATTTTGAAGTCTCGCCATGCAGAACTTAAGGGTAATACGCAGATTGCGGATCCGACTACGAGCTTTTATCCTCACGAGTTTTGTTGGAATAGAGAGGATATCAAGAAGTGACTGGAAGTTCTGTGATTGCTATCCTAGCTGTATTCAAACGAGGTTTGTGGACTTCCGACTTCACTACGGGCAAGACTCGGGTTAAGACGACAGCTATACTTGGTATGCAAGTAAATTGCAGTATGTTGTTCCGCGACGTCCCCAACTGGCGACAAGGCTGTCTCTTTCTCCTGTAAGGTATCGCACTATATGTCAGGATTCTTGGAATGATTGACACTTGGCCTTTACCCCGCTTCTCATGTGAATTCTTCCTTTGTCTTGTGCATCCTCTCTTTCCATTAGATATTCGATACTAAATAGCTTGTACATCTCGCCTACCATCAAGACGATGGTACAAACTGCCATCGACGCCACTACCTCGAACGTGGTCTTCCTACCACTAGAGATACAGCTGAAGATACTCACTTTTGCTATGCAAGACGAAGTGGAAGTCGATTTTGAGAACTTTCTTGCCATGTGAGTACATATCCGTACTGGCGTTGCTACAATTAGTTGATCAGCTGATTCTCGGAACTCAACAGAGAGACCTTCCACCCATTCGTGGTAGAGCATCGCGTTATTGTAGAGCACCGAAACGATTGGAAGACTGCGACTTCAGTGAGCCGCGCCTGGAGAGAAGTTGGCATGCAAGCTTTCTTTGAGGAGAAGGTCTTCCTTCTTCGACCTCACTTGATGGACGACCTAGTGTATCATACACTCGGGAGTGTATTCATTGCTGATCGAGCAGCATTTCTGAAGCACATACGGCACGTGATCGTTCCTATCAAGAATCGTCACAATTTTTGGAAATACTTAACTTATTATTTTACTTTTGCTGGACTCCGTAGCCTTCATTTCATTCTCGACGAGGACGCTGGGTATCTTGATCAGGTATCTTCCTTGGTAGGAGAGGCTTTCGACGTCTTGCTGCCAAAGATGTTTGTGGATGCTCTTAAGGCGGTGGGATTTGATTTTGATCACCTTAACCTAAAGCTCTTAGTTTCTAAAAAGTTCATACAATGCGGCGCGCAGAGTGTGGCGGAAGTGGTAAATTATCAATATGAGATACTCCTGGATATGATCCGACACATTCCCTTTATCGTTGGCATTGATGATGATACTTTGATCACGATGATGGCTGCCGACAAAGAAGACTTCGTTCGGCATTTTCATACTGCTCCGGACTTCAAGATAGGTTAAAGCGGGCGCTAAATCCGGAATCCACAGGCGAAGATCAGGGAAGCAGCCTTTTTGGCCTGTCCAACATCACAGTGTTGCTGGACACACATCGAAGTATCGTACAAGATCGTGAGGACAAGCAATGGAAGGAAATTTCGACAACGAATCCCCTAAAGCTCAGAGTTGCTGTGGTACCTGAAACGGGCTGAGGAGTTCTGGTCTGGTGACGTGGTTCCAAGCGGTGCATGTTACCGAAATCACCTGTCTTGTCGAGGGCTCGTTGGCGCTGGACATCGTGGAACCATTGGTCGTCTAATAATGTCGTACATCTTTTGGGACTTGCGCCTCCACATTTCGAGAGTGTCGTGCAACTCACGTCTCACAGTAAATGGACCTATTTATTTCATTTCATTTCTTCTCCCTCTTTTTCATCAACCTCCTTGACTTCGACACTTCTTACATAGCTGAATAACAAGACAAACATCATAATCGGCCTATTCTCGCGGTCATTTGCAGCTGCCCGCCACAAGAATGGCATCGTTGCCACTGGAGCTCATACTTCAGATACTTACCATGTCTATGCGAAGCGAACAACCGGTATATTTGGGGAGATTTTTGGCAACGTATGTATCCACCGCCTGACCTACTTTGCATGTAATTACCTTGCTAAAGCATCCTCAATGTAGTATTGAACTTAAACGTTTCGATGAATTCGGTCCTCACCTCGGGGCTATACTCGAGGACGTTCGAGAGAATGTTGAGGATCTAAAGAACTTGGCGAAGACGTTCCGCGGAGAACAGTTACAGCCCCAGCACGACTGGTTGATAGCAAACTCAGTGTGTCGTGCCTGGAAAGAGATCGGCCCCCGAACGTTCTTTCAGGAGAAAGTGTTCCTCGTCGGCCCAAATTTGATGAAGGCGCTTGTCGACGACGACGATTACTTACGGACTCCCGGCTGCAAAGACTTGACCATGAAAAATCTTCGGAACGTTATTGTGCCTTTGAGAAAACACAATATTCGACCTTCACTGGATCAATGGATGAGGTTGCCGGCTTTCAACCATCTTACCGAGCTCGTGAGCTGTCGTCTCCTACCCAACGTAGGCACAGAGGAGAAATTGGAATACATATCATTGAACAACACGTTCGATGTGTCATTACCGCGGAGGCTCCAGGAAGTCCTAGTGAACATCGGCTTTGATCTGGCTCGGCTCAAACCAAGATTTTTAGTTTCCAGATGCCGCTCTTTGACACAACGGAAGCTCATGGAACTCTTCGCTCAGACGGAGCTGAATCAGATCGCATCGATGACAGGCGAAATGAAACGACATAGTCGCAGAACTGAAGAACCGACCATAGATGATTGGAACATAGCGCTAGATGAATACGAGACCTATCTAGAAGAGTGCCCTGGTGGACCTAATTTCAATACCGATTGACGCAGTATGGACACCCATTAGATGGGATTCATGACGACATGAGCAAATTCAAGGTCAGAATACACATGTCTATGTTATGAGTATTGAGGTCGATCCGGCAGGTAATCTACAACAATATTGAATCGTCAACACAATTTGAAAATGCGGACTTCGTGCTTCAAGCGAGAGCTGTCTTCCTGAACCCAAGACATGGCGCAAACCTCAAGAACCACATAGCAACCAGCACAACACACGCTCATTACACCCTTACAATTCGCACCCTCCTCGAAAACCATATCACCACCAACACTTGCCCAAACACCCCCCTATAAGCCCAAAATGACCCAACCCATCTACAACCAAACCTCCCTACTCTCCTCAATCATCTCCTCAAACCGCACCGGCATCCTTCCCGTCACTTTCTCCACCGTATCACTCATCCTCTCCTCCACTCCCGTCGCCGAGTACGCCTCCATCCACGCAATCAGATCTGCAATATGCCCCGGCATCCCCGTCTCCCTATACAAATTGCCCATTTCCTTCTCCGAAAGCTTCACATGCTCGACTGGCTTGTTTAGTGCTTTGGTGAATTTTGCTGCCACCTGTGTTTCCTTTCATCAGCACTTTGGATCTCTGATGATTTTTGTTGGTGGGGAGAAGAGGTTGGGAAAGGGGGGAAGGGTTGGGAAGGGTTGGGACGGGTTGGGACGGGCACATACATCGTCCAGACTCAGTAATTCCCCACCCAGAACCCTCACGTCAGTATTCCACGCTTTCTCGTCCGTAAGCGCCCTGAACGCCACGGCCGCAATGTCCTTCGTGCTGACAAACGGGATCTTGCCATCTCCGCACGCAGAGTAGATCTTGCCTTCGTTTTTGATGGTGTGCACGTATTGCGGGCCTTTGTAGTTATCTGCATCCCCACCCCTTTCGTTTCAGCAAAAAAGCTGTCTGAGATGCGGCATCTACCACAACCAAACCATAATTTCTAGAAAAACCTTGTTGGGGGTAAAGGGATAAGGGATAAGGGAAAAGGGGAAGGGGGGAGAACATACCCATAAACCACGTACTCCTCAACATAGCCCACCCGACCCCCCTGTGCACGACATGTCCCCACACGCCACCCAACTCCTTCTCCCCCCCATCTCCACCTCGCTACCACTCAGCATCACGAACCGTTTAACGCCATACACATCCACCGCCAAGTCCACGAACTCGATCAACGCGTCCGTGTAGTCTTCCGTTTCTGGCGGGATGATGTACACAGTATCAATGCGCTGTTGATTAGTGGGGAGGGTGGAGAGGTAAGGGTGTGTGAAGGGGGCGGAGAAAGTGGTGGGGTTGAGCCAGTCGAATTTTACTGTTGGTGGGGTCGTGTGGTCGGGGGGTCGGAGGGGTTGGGGGAGGGTTGGGGGTTGCGAGAGGTTAGGATGAAGGGGATGCCGGCGCCGGAGAGGAGAGAGGCGATGTGGGTGGAGGTTTTGCCTATGCCGGCTGTTAGGAGGATGGTCATCGTTGGCGTTGGAGAGAAGTGGTGTTTCGGATGGTGTTGGCAATAGGGAAAGCGTTGGGTTTAAGAGTGGGAAGGAAAGGAGGATGGTGAGCTCGTTGTACTTGGGTCCGTAGAGGGGTTCGGCGACTTTATATGCAGTGGTATGCAGGGCATGGGTTTGGGCGGGTTTGATGTATTCTTCTTTGCATTCTGTTGCTTGGCATTTGAGGATGGTGGTAAAGGGGGATTGTGATGAGGGCGGGAATCAGACGGCGTGATGGAGGCTGTACGCAGTAGTAGTGATTGAAGTGAAGTAGATGGGCAATGCGCAAATGATTGTCGCCGAAAATTATGCCAATTCAATGATCTGTACGTAATGCAATCTTGGCTGGACGGGCCATCTTTCCGTCTGCTGAAATTGTGCTCTTGAAAGGCTATGCGAGAGATATCACTACCACAGCCAAGTATGTGCTGAGCAAATCGTTGCTAACATCGCCAAGTTGCCAAGACGTTGTGAGTCACATTGTGGCTCCAATTGAGCTTCCAATGTCGAGGTTCGCTTCACCAACATTGATATATCAAATTGCGACTGTATAAAGAGCTCAACCGCTTGCTTAGCCCAGCGGCAAAGCGGCGTATGCTGAAGCTGGTATACTTTGCTCACGATCGCGTGACCTTATAGTGCGTCGATACTTCTCAGGCTTGGGTCTGCCTTCTAGATCATTACAGATCAAATGACCTCCTCAACAATCCGCCCGTCATGGGCTTGCCAATGTTGGTGTAGAATGTCCCGCTTAGAGAGTTTCCTAGTCACCTGAACGGTGGCCTAAGACTGCGGTAGCGGCACGAATCTGCTCATCAACCAGAGACTCGATGTCTGTACGCAAAATCGATTGTACTCGTCTCCTTACTGCCAAAGCTCTTCAACCTGCCTTCCCCCGTCCCCTCCCCACGAGCATCCCATTCACCATACCAACCCACCACGCCAAGTTTCCCACCCAAAGCGCCCCAGTCCCAAGTCTGCAATACCACCTCATCCCCGTCCTCCAGGTATCCAAGACCCCCATCCCATGCACCTTCCCATACACCCCCACAACCCCAGGCACGAGCAACACCCTCACTGCCAAAAAGCCTAGCGCAAACAGCACATCCACTGCCTTTCTCACCTCTCTCTTCTGCGGGTAGAACGTCCGCAGAAACCACCGCAGGTTCAGCAGAGGCGTTGAGGCGTTCATAAGCATGAACATCACAATAATAAGAATACCCCTCTCTCTGCCACGGAGGATGTAATATTGCAGCAGCAGCAGCGCAGACCCTATACCACCATGATGCGCCACCATAGTCTTACTGGCGCGTCGATCATGTGCGCGAGCTTCGCGAAGTAGACTGGGGAGGGCGGAGAGGAGGTAGCCTGTCTCAAGAGCCGTAAGGGCGTTTGCGGTAGCGGAGCGGTGGGTTATGAGGGGATTTTGGGTGTCGTTGGGGTAGGCATGGGGGGTATCTTGCGAAAAATGGGGAGGTGGAGGAGAGGAGGGGAGAGGAGGGAGGTTCCTGAGGGTGTAGAGGGCGAGAAGGGTGGTGATGGTTGAGTGGAGAGTGGAGATTGCACGGATGGAGGTGGAGAGGCGTTGCGGGGAGGGAGAAGGGCCGTTGAGGAGGCGGAGGAGGAGAGGGTAGAGTGTTGAGGAGGCCGCGAGGGCGAGTTGAGGGGCGTGCTTCATCCCATCAGCAATGGTTGTGGAGTGATCGCGGTGTCCCAATGCTTTTGGCGGGTCATTTTGATAGACGTAGGACGAAATTTTGGAGAGGACGAGATCACATTTGTTGTTCCAATCAACGTGATCTTTCTTTTTTGTAGGTTGCATCTTTATCTAATTCATGAAGAGATACCCAGTGAATCAATAGCGTCTATGTATGCGGATGCAGGTCTTGATGCGTCCTCACCTCTGATTCTGACTGTAATGATCCTGCATTCAAGCATATCCAGCAGATCAGATAGTTCGTCCCCGAGAAGAAAACGGCACAGCCAAAGAATATTGCGATCTGGAGTCCATTAGCGATGTTGAGATGACACATCCAGATGGAGGTCCTATCCTACCTGTATCTGGCCCTTCGACCAGTCCCAGTGAGTTCTCGACGCCCGCACAAAGATGGCTATCATGAGACCAACAACAAACAGCAATATGGCGAAGTTCAGGAGCATCACTGGCGTCTGCCAAATCCAAAGTTGACTCTTCTTCATCCTCACTCGGTCTTCACGATGCATCCGGTGATGACTGAAATACGGACGCTTGTCCTGGCTTCCGTAGAATGGATTCTTCTCGCCTAGCAGACAACGGACCTTGAGCCAGCCATCTTCACAGCTACACAAACGAGCGAGTCCAATAGTCTGTTGTGTCGCGACGGCTATGGCTGTGAAACCCAGGAGCAGCGCACTTGTCCAGCATGCTTGTGTGCTCCAAGGATCATCTGGCACTGAGAACCACGAGAAGGCGGAGGCGATGGTGCCAGTCACCAGAGCACCCTGGTCCGCAATCAGCGTCAACTATCTATGCGTCTTCACCAGAGGGCAATCCACGCACACTTAATCCAACATACTGGAGTTCTTGCAGCTTCCCCTGGACCCACTTCTCCGTCAGTGTGTCTGCTTCATGATGGTCGGCGACGTTGAGAAGGTATTTGATGGGATCGTGCATCGAAGGCCATTGCGCGAATATGATGGATAGCGATTTGCCACATTCGGCCCACGCCCAGAGGACGAGCCAGCCGATCCGGTAGACATAGGGGTGTTGCGAGCGTAAATAGCCCTGGTTTTGAGTATCGCCATTGGGCGCACCAGCTCCCATGAGCTACGTTTTCATCTGCGATGATTCTTGAAGAAGTGGATTGGGCATGCAAAGAAGAAGGCGAATCATCATATAATCGGCATTTGCAGATTGCGACGACTCCGCCCGCAGGTACCAACTGTCAGACAGGGCTTAGCCGTAGGATCCTGGCAGAAAGACTGACCAATTGTGACACCGCTGACCCTGCTCTTATAGCACAATTAGCGGCATGAAGGTGCGGGGATCTGGCTTTAGGGAGTACTAATGCACGCTTGAAACCAGCGCAGCCCTGGTGGCCCCAATGAGACTCTCGCTAGAACCTAAGTCTGCCGACCGGACTTCGGGGATTGTGTACTTTGATCTAAGCTTACAAGGCTATCGAGAACTGAACTTCGTCATCATGGGCAGTGCTCCGTTTCGGTCGTATTCATTGAATCATATAGTTTCTCACCCAGCAACAAAGCTCGAAGCTTGCGGATTGGACAGGCTGAATCTATTTCAGGAGCATTAGGGTCTTGCGTGCCCTGCTCTGGAGTTGAATCTACGGCCGAAGCATGCCAGCTCTGGCTCGCTCCACCAAATATGAAGACTCCATATTATTCTGGCAGCTTTACAGCAGCTCAGCATAGCGACGTTGAAGACAACTACGAGCTTAGAGAGCGGATGCTGGAACACCGACTTGCGCAGCGTGATGATGTTCGCGATATTTTTGTTGTCACTGTACCTGTCAACGACTCGTTCAATACTGCAATTGGCGGAGACCTTGTGAAGCAAGCGTCAAGCAGAAGTAGGACAGATCTATCCTGGGCTATGCACTGGGCGATCAAGGTGGGCGACCAATACTTCGAGCTCCAGCGCGCCTACTATGACCCAACCCGGACTGGACTGCGCATGTCTAAGTGGAACGAAGAGCGTGAAAATCAGATCCATCGGCGATATCGTCAAGGCGCAACGGCCATGACTGATAATGAGATCAGAGCGATCGGAGACCGATATTTCTCGCGGCTGAACAAGATGCACATAAATAAGTACGACCTTTGGTGTAACAATTGCCAAGTGGCAGTCGATCTCATGCTGCGCGATATTGGAGGACTGCATTATCATCGCTCCAAGCTTGAGTCGTTGCATGAATGGATCAGACAATACTTCTGCCGCGCGATCCTGGGCATCACGCGAATGTACTATCGCAACAGGGGATGCGACGAGGAAGTGCTCGCGAAACATGACGAGAAGCTCCGCAAAATACTTCTGAAGATCACTGACCGGTCAATGCACTATCCTAAGAGGCAATGGATCCGGGAAGATATTGCTTCAGCCGAGACTGCGGTGAAGCAATTGGGCGCAGTGAGAGATCATTGGTTTCTCACAGTACTGGAGGCTTCCCTGTCGTTGCGAAAAGGATCAGAAAATTCGTATGTTCGTCGTGGTCCAGATGGCAAGGCAGAGCTCAACTTTGAGACGATGAGGGACGCAGTGAAAGGAATCTTCGACGACGAAAAGACTGGTTATCCGGCGTGGCTGAAAGCGATACCGTGGCTCACGGCGGGATTTCTCGTGGGTACACCGCGATGGGCTGTTGCTGTCATTACGATCGCCGTCCAACAGGTGCATCAATTCACCGAGACCAATTCAGGAATAAAAGGCGGGATGGAAGAATCACTGGCGGGAATAGGAGTCTCGCCCAAATTTCATGAGAGTCAATTTGCTCATCCAACAACACCGAGGCCGCGCGCTCGAAGGCTACCAACCAAAGAAGCGCGAAAGGTCTCATCCAGATCATCCTCACTGGATAGCAGACTTGTCCCGCGATACGAAAAACGCTCGACAGGTACAGGCGTGCCTTACTACTTCGACAACGTCGAGAAGACAAAAGCTTGGGATCCGCCGGATCAACAAGAAATGTGCCTTACAATAATGGACCCTCCACTGTCTAGGAGATGGGAAAAGATAACTGACGGGGATCGCGTACAGTATAGACACGTCATCACAGACGAAATCACCGACGTAAGGCCCGGTGCACAAGAGATATGGGCAGTGAAGAAGAAATTGAAGACAGGCTGGATACGATCAACAATCATGGCTCTACCGCATGGATGGGAGCTGCGACGCAATGAAGCGGGTGATAAAGAGTACGTCGATCATAAGGAGGATCCTCCAAGATCCACGATGGTGCATCCGATGAGACAGGAGATTGAGGATGAACGTCGAACGCTGCTTCCAGAATGGAATGTAGAGTGGGACGAAGACCGCGGAAAGAAGTACCGAAGGCTGGCTACTAACGAGATCCGCTGGAAAGCTCCTGATGGTCCTCAACACTCGATAGCAGGCGACGAGGCACAAAGATCGCTCAAGAGATCGCTCACTACCTTCGATGAACCGCTACCGCCTGAATGGACCTTCACTGTTGAAGAAAATGGCCGAAAACTGTTCAAGAATATCATAGCGGGGGTGGAAAGGACAACGCACCCTTTGAGCGACAAAAGAAAGAAACTTCTACCAGACTGGGAAATGCGATACACGGCTGGAGGGAAAAGGTACTGGGTCCACTATGGGTTTGATGGCCGCGGGACGACTTGGTGGACGAGGAACAAACTTCTCAAAAACACATCGCTGAAGAACGACGCATGTGGCTGGAAGCTAGACAAGGAGGGCCAGAGTTGGGAATGGTTCGAAGGGGGTGATCAGTCACATTCAGACATTCCCGTACGCGACCTTGACGATCCAGTGGACATCGAGTTTCGAGAATACCCCTTCCTTGTACCCAAACAGATCACAGATGACGATGACAATTTCAATGAGCCTTTACCTTCGGACTGGGTCGTGCGCAAGAATGAAGATGGATGCTCCTTCTACTGGAATTTCAAGAACGAAATTCGATCTGGCAGCCACCCCAACGGCGAGGAACGAAGCAACCTCCCCGGGCTGTGGGAAATGCGATATACCCGACACGGTAGGCAATACTTCATCGACCACAGCGATGGGTCAACCTGGTGGACGCATCCTCGGACAGAGAAAAATGAGCAGAAACTCAGAGCTCGCCCAGGTCAGGCCCAAAAAGGGTGGAAGATAGCCGAAGACGGCAAATCCTGGGAGCGATTCGAGGAAAGTGCCGACATGACAACCGCAGAAGAAGGTGCTGAAGACTTATCTCGGGTGGAGTCCGCAGACAGTGCGAATACTAAAGCCGACGAGGAAGTAGCGTGGCGATCTGTGGCATTTAGTCGCGACTGGCTGAAGACGGTTGGCGCAAATGATATAGTTGAGAGCGCGAAGAATCGATTTGGCGATCCTAATGACATTGTCGCTCTTGCTAAAAATCGTTTTGGGGATCCGAACGATATATTTGCGAACGCGAGGACGAGACTTGGTGGCGGGCCTGCGGCCTTCTTCAAGAAGTCCTCCAAAGTGGACAAGATCGTAGACGAACCTCTTGTCGAAGAGCCAGAGGCTGAAGAAGAATTGTCAGAGGAGCCTGTTCAAATCGACGATAATGACGAAGTGCAAAACGAGGCTAAGATCACTGAAGAGCCGCCTGAAAGTATTGAGACTAAGCAAGAGAGTCTTTCACCACCTTCGCAAAAAGATCCTCGAAAAAGCTGGACGAAACGGACGTCGGGCTTACTGCCTTTCAGAAAGAAGGGAGCGAAGAAGCAAATTGCCAGCGGCTTACCCTCCCGGCCTGATGAGGATGATACTGCAATTGCTGCTCCTGAAGGTCTGGGTCTTACAAATGCTGATACGGAAGAGGAAAGAGCTTCGAAAATGACCCTGAAAGAGGAGAAACCAGAGAAGGCGGTGACTATTGCTCCAGAAGAGGAAAGGTCTGGCAATAGTGGATGAGATTAACGTTAGTAATACCAACGAGTGGTCAGTGGGAGTCTGGGAGCATAAAGCTGAATATGGGGTTTGAAGCTAAGGTAGGATTCAACTGGTAGGCCAAACGAAACCACGCAACTCAATTCTTTACCAAGTAAGAGTCGCTAAGAGGTACGAAACTAAGGAAACACGATAAGCGGTTCTCGATACATATATTTCAAAGACCCTGAACCACTGGAAGCTTATCGTCCATACGCCTTCTCATCCGGATATCCAAGTGTCGATTGTTGCAATGCTCCTCAAGCAACAAGTTCATCGGGTCTACGACTCATTGCTATTGTAGACATCACCTCCACCAAAAGCCTCATCTCGCAACAATGACACAAGCCCCCCTTCTCCCTTACGGCTCCCCCACCCTTCTCTCCGCCCTCTCCGAGACCTTCTCCTTCCACGCCTCGCCCGAATCCTTCATCACATCCCGCGTACTCACCTTCCGCTCTCAACACCCCGACCTCGCCGACGCGCGTGTTCCAATCCACGCAAAAGTGCTGAATCGAAACGTAGCCGTCATCTCATCATACCAGCACATCAAATTCCTCCTCTGCAGCCCAGAAGTAACATCGAAGCTTAGCTCCAGTAAAGCGTACGATGAACTTATGGCGCCTTTCTTCCCGCCGCCAAACCTGCTTCTCGCGGACCCTCCAGGCCACCACCAATACAAGGACACCTGGCGGCACAGAATCGCCGACCTGCCAACCAAGATCCGTCCAATGGTTCAGTCCATCACGAGCTTGCACTTCTGCAACATACCATCAAGCTCGACCATCGATCTCTATGATAGCATGAAAACACTCTCCTGGCAACTTATCCTGGGCGCGTTCCTCTCTTCCGCGAACGACATCGCCGATATTCCCCCCGACTTCGTAAGGCTGCAAGAAGCACTTCTTCGTGGGCAGTTCTCCCTCTTTCCGGTTAGTGTCAGCACGCCGTTCTGGAAGTCGCCGCGGGCGAAGGGTATAGCTGCGAGGGAGAGATTGCAATCTTTGCTGCGTGAGCGCGTCGATTCACTCCCTGGTGGCGGCTGTCCATTCGCCCCGTCTTCTACGGCGGAGAAAGATGACGTCGCTAAACATCTGTTGTTGTTTACCTCCTCGCTGGCTGTAAAGGCGCTGGCGAGTTTGTTGACTGCCACCCTCCTCAACATCTACCTGGCATCTTCATCTCATGAAGGCCGAATGAATATGAGAGGGGAGGGTAATTTGGCGTCTAAGCTGCGCTCCCTTGCTGGTATCCAGCGATGCGACCTCATTGATAGCATCATTATCGAGACTGAACGCCTCTCCCCGCCCGTTGTGGGCATCATGCGGCGGACTACTGCGGACATCGTTCTCCCGGCACCCGATAATGAAGGAAGAGAGGAGAAAGAAAGGGGGCGGGAGACGCTGGTGCCTGAGGGGTGGGACATATGGATGTACTTCGTCGGCGCGGGGAGAGACCCGCAGATCTACGGTGACACCGCGGAGACTTTCGTGGCGGACAGGTTTCTTAGTAAGGACAGCAAGGATGCAGAAGAGGGGTTTGCGTTCGGAGCGGGAGAGAAAGGATGTCTGGGCCGAGAGGTTGTGAGAGAGATTGTGAGAGGTGTGGTAAGTGTTAGCCTCGGTTTTGATGGGGATGTAGGGGATGGTGGGGAAGGGGGAGGAAAAGGTGTTGGTCTTCACGTTGACGAGAGCGTTTTACCACTCGGAGTGCAAGGCTGGCTCGGACACAAGCAAAACGTGGACCCAGCGGATTGGGCGAGGGATATGAAACAATTGCCTACGCAGCGGCCGGCGAGGGCAGTGGTGGTGCGTGTAGAACATGACTTTCAAACCTAGATCCTGGCGTATATACATAGCGAAAGCCCAGATCCTACAAAGAATCACGGTTTTGATGAACTCTAGCACAAGAATTTGCCACGTCTCGAAGTACTTCAAAAAGCAGCATAATTCCACTTAATAATCCCATCGAAAACTTCTTGCTCTCTCAATCTCGCATTCGCACTCGCATCCACTTTCTCGCTTGATATGAGGTAAGCAAGCCCATTAAAATTCCAAATACCCCTCCAACTCAGCCTCACTCCCCCTCTCTGGCACCCCCCCCCCCCTCTCCCCTCCCCCACCAACTGTCATCACAATCACTCCCGTCCCTCCTTCTCCCCCTCTCAAATCATCAAGACCGTATATATATATATACTCAGGCAATCTCTCTCCTTCCCACCCCTTCCCCCTTCCCACCTTTTCCCACCCTCCTCCCCCAACCCCCAACCATGCCCCCCACCACGACACTCTACATCCTCTACAACGCGACCTCGACCCTGTTCGGCAAACTCAGCTACTCCTACCGCAAAATCACCTGCTCTAAATCTGCAGACCCGGCTTGTGCCGCGTGCGATCTCACGCATGGCGGTCTGCATTTGCAGGAGAGCGCTGCGTGGAGGGGTGTGAAAGCTGAGATTATGCGGTCTGGAAATGGAGGAGGGAATGGGGGAGGGGAGGGGGGGATGGAGGTCAAGCAGTTGCATCGGGATGAATTGGATGCTGATGTGAGTTGTTTCTCTCCTGTACGGGAAGGAAAGGAAAGGGAGGGAAGTGGGGCGCGGCGGGGGGGGGGAAAGGAAGGAAGGAAAGGGCTAATAGTGCGTGTTGGGGGTGGGACAGATCAAGAAATTCATCGATTCGAAACCCGGGGTGAAATACCCGATGGTGGTGTTGTTGAAGCGGGACCTGCAGGAGGGAGGTGGGGGTGATAAGGCAGGGGAGGAAGGGAAGTATGAGGTTGTGATGGATAGCACTGAGTTGGCGGCCTTGGGGGGGATGCTGGCGGGTTTGTGGCGAGGTTGAGGGAGAAGGGCGTCGTGGGGAAGGGAAGGGGTGGTGGGGGCGGGGAGAAGATTTGAGGATGGGGGATGGAGGATGCGCCATCGGGGTTTGTGTTGTTCCTATTTACTTTGTTCTTGATATCTGGCTAAGTGATACGGTAGCTTATTGAAGGGTGTGAGAGATTTTTGGGGATAGTCGATATGTGAGGTGATGAGGTTCAGATTGTTAAGATATTTATAAGACTTTACACTAAATCAATTCTGTCGTGAGCATCCTCCTTCTCCTCTTCTTTGCTCTCGATCTCTGCTCCTTCATCGACATCATAACGCCTCAACCTCCACCCTCTCCCTCTCAGTCGTATTTCATTTCCATCACTCCCACTCTCCACCCCATCCTCGCCCCCGCCCCCGCCGTCACCTTCCCCATCAGAACACCACCTCACTCCAATCCTCCCTCCCCCGCGTCCTTTCTTTTCCCCAAACAAATCCTCCGAGGCATCCACTTTCCCCCCCACCACCTCCCCGTCCTCGAAACATTCAGCCGTCAGTCCCGCCACGCTCAGCCGTGCTTGCACATCGATGACAGCCTCGTCCCTGCGCACCGCTCGGAGCGCATAAAGTGTGAGTCCGAGACCGAGTGCAGCGTACAGAAAGTTGAGCACGACGAGGCAGAAGAGCGGCGCTTTGGGGACTCTGGCCACGAGCAGATTGTGCCGGATCTGAGCGGAGTGGACTGGTGTGGTTCTCAGATTTGCTGAGAGGATGGCCATGGAGGCTTGGCTGTATGCGAGGGCGTATTTGTCTGCTAGTGCTTGTGTGGTTACGTTCGGCTGGAGTCCGGCGTCTAGGATGTCGGTGGCTAGGACGTCGTCTACGCGGTAATGGAAGTATGGTTGGAGATAACCGAGCATTAGGGGGATGTTTGTGATGTTGGCCACTTGGATATCTGCTGGCGCCGCTTCATTGACGAGCCAGGAGTTGTTGAGGAATGTGTAATTCGTGGCCCAGATGGTGTGACTGCAAAACAGCACCATGCCCAAGAACTGCCTTTCACCAGCAGCATTTTCGGTCACGATAGTGAGGTCAGATTCCTCGTTGAAATTGACCGATGCCATGGCAACTACTGGATATGACGGGTTTGTCATGTTCAAAGTTGGTAAATACTTGGTACCACCGCTGTCCTGAGGGTAAGGCGTGTTCCAAGGGATAGGTTTTGTGTACCTAGGATCGGAATGTAGTGTATGGTTTTCGAACGGGGAAGATTCGTTGCCAATGCCCACGGATTGTTGATATGTTGAGCCAGCCTTATCACAATTGACGGCTAAAGTATAGTTCAGCGACAAGCTCATGTCACACTGCTCTGTCACAGGCTTGCAGGTCGTACTGGCACCATAGGTGTGCGCCGTGAAGTCCAGGGGAGAATCTGAATTCTGTTGGATATCGGCAGGCACAATCAATACCATTGTCGAATTGATACCAGCATTCGAAAACTGTGTAATCTGAGGATTGAAAGTGCTAGAGGAATTGGAGAGAAATTGGTTCACCTTGCCATAATCTTTCAACGTATTGGTGTTGTTAATGCCATATCCTAATGAACAAGGTATTATGTTTCCTGCTGAGTGCTCCAGACCACAATCATAAGCTAATTGCGTGCTCCAGTAACCTCCCGACATAGATGTGCCTTGATACTTTATTGCGTTTTCGATCTCCTCGTCCTGGACCCGGTCGACAGCGTTTGGAACAAAATTTTTAATTTTGCCGTCGAAGCTGCCCACTCCGGTCAATCTAAGCGACCTGGAGATACTGACCGTTTCGGTGACTACATGAAGCCACGTGTCGGCGAGAAGGATCAAGAGGCTATACGACAATGTAAGCATCCCAATCACTACGCTCAGTACTTTTCGGGGACAAAAGTTGCAATGGGATGATATTGGAGGGGATATCACAAAGAGATTTCATACCCTAATCCAAATACAACTGTCAACATGAGCATGGTAGATTTGAACAAAGACCTCACAGCTGTTTCACGAGGACGCCACCCGAAGAGATACTTTAAGCACTGGTACAATATCGCGACGTTACCTAGCCAAGAAGAAATCGAGATCTCAGTATAGTTCGTGCCGCCGTCAGGTCGTACAGACACCTACACACCTTTGATCATCTCCAGTATCAAAGCAAACTGGTACGGAGAAGGTAGACCCTGTCTGTCGCTATCCTGCGAATGCTTGGAGATACTCGAAGCCGCGCGATAGGACCACAAGTGCATCAAGACCGCCCCCAGAATCGGGGTCAACGTGCTCGACCAAGTGGAAATAGTCAATAGCGTAGTCGCGTTCATTCTGACGAAGTATGCGTCCGACGAATTATTCGTCGTTTCGTCGGCGTTGAAGGGAAATTCTGTGGCCGACGACGGGCTGTTACTCGTAGAGCGTGCAAGCACCAGACCCAACAGCAGGGCTGGCAATAGCAGCATTGGAAGCTGGTCACAGATGAGTCAAGGGGGAAAGGGGGGCCAGACGAGGGTGGGTTCGAAGGGAGAACGTGCCGTCACGAGCGTGCCCCATAGCTTGATCCAATTCAAGTTCTTTTTCAATTGCTTCCTGTCTTTTCCCACGGCCATTTTTGGTGGATCCATACTGGCCTCATTCGCTCAGATGACTCAATGCCGCGTCTGAAAAGTGGTTGCCGCTGGCCCACTTTCCGGACGAGGTTTCTGGTGAATGTTACCAACTGGCATTCGTAACATACTTAGGACAAGAGCATGCGCGAGTTGATTGGCATCGAAGCAGAAATCGGCTACCTTATGAGTGAGTACTTAGGCCAAGACTTGGTTCTCGCAAGATATGCAGCTGCCCAACGCTACATCTCAGGGCGCTGCAGTCGAAGAGGCGCAGCCCCAGGGCTGTGCCAGAAAATACATGAGCGATTCTAATCCGGTCAAATCGCTGAGCCAAATCGGCCATGTATAATCTGCTTAGCCCTTGGTCGTTGTTCGACGTTCAGTGTACTTGGGGGCGGGGTAGAAGTGAGCTCCAAACTTGCAGAGTAGCGAAGAAAGTCATGGCCAGAGACTGCCAGCCAGCGAACTACGTCATCGATCTTCACTCTACCTTTCTTAACGGGCAAGACTCCTTTCACAACTCCCAAGAATGTGCGGATACCATGATGATGGAAGACGAGCACGACTTACCATATGACGTCGTGGTCATTGGATCAGGTAAACAAGCTCCACCAACTCCCCTTCAGGAGCGGATATCGTAAGACTGAGTGAGAAAGGCCTCTACGGCATCCAAGCAGCACGCACATACCTCGAAATCCACCCGTGCGCAAAATTAGCGATTATAGAGTCCGACGATGTTGTCGGCGGGGTGTGGAGCTCAAGTGAGTATCAACCCCATCACCCTCCTCCCCCCTCCCCCCCCCCTCCCCTACCACAGAGGAAACCACCACCTTCTAACCCCCCTACCTCATAGAACGCGTCTACTCATCCTTCATCTCCCAAACCCCCCTCAACATGTCTCGATTTTCCGACGGCCCCCTCCCCCTCCCCCCTGCCTCCCCACGCCCGCTTTCCCCCACCACCCCTATCAACTCCCACCCCCACCACCACCCCCACCCCTTCTGCCACGCAAGCCACATCGCCGCATACCTCGACACATACACCCGTACACACATCTACAACAACGTCTCATTGTATGATCGCATCATATTCAACACACGCGTAACCACCACCACCGCCTCGAAAGCCCTGCCCTCCCACCGCTCCCACCGCTCCCAGCCCCGCTGGTACCTTGCGTGCACGCCTCCTTCTGGAGGAAAAATGGTGATAGTGGGGACGAGGACGCTGATTGATTGCACGGGCCTGGCGTCCCAGCCGTCAATTCCCGCTGTGCAAGGGCAGGAGGGGTTTCGTGGGCTGTGTATTCATCAGAAAGACTTTGCGAGGTGTGAGGAGGGGGAGGGGATCTTGGCGGGTGCACCATGCGATGAGGATGAAGCTGGCGAGGGGCGGGGGGAGGGGGAGGAAGCACATCGTGGTTGTTGGTGGGGGTAAGTCGGCTGCTGATGTTGTTTATGCGTGCGCTACTGCTGGTGGTAGTAACGGTGATGGTGGTGATAGTGGTGATAGTAATTGTGGAGGGGGAGGGACAAATGTGTCGTGGGTGATTCGCGAGGATGGGAATGGACCTGCTGCTTTCTTGCCTAGTAAGGGGGCGGAGGGATTTTATTCGCGGTTTGTGGCCGGGTTCTTGCCTTGTGTGTTTGGGACGGGGAATGCGGGGGGAAGGTGGTGGGAGGGTATGTTGCACAGGACGAGAGTGGGGCAGTGGATGGTAAGAAAGATTTGGGAGAGTGTGGATCGGGGGTATAGAGATGGTGCGAATTTTGGGAGGGAGCAAGGTGAGGGTATGGGGAGGGGCTTTGAGGGGCTGGAGAGCCAGACGCCGTGAGTGCTTTGTACCCTTCGAAAGGTGAGGGCGGTGGGAGTAAGGCTGACTTTTGGAGTAGCGTGTTCTGGCAGAACGATAGCTCGGGGATCAATCAGCGAGAAGATTTCTGGGATGTGATTGCGGACAGGGTCGATGTGTATAGGAGGAACCTAAAAGCTATTGACGAGAGAGAAATCACACTGGCAGAGGAGAAGGGCACCGGGGAGTCAGGTCTGACGATCCCAGCGGATTTATTGATTTATTGCACAGGCTGGTCGCCACAATCTGCGCTTTTTGACGATGCGACGGCAGCGCAGTTGGGCTTGCCAGTGTCAATCAAATACAGCGAGTCGACGAATACGCCGCTTGATGTCGCCGCTGACGCGCAAGTATTGTCTGACTTCCCAGCTCTTGCACATCCTCCCATGTATCGTAGGATAGAGCCTGCCCTAACACCCTTTCGACTTTACAAGACGATGGCCCCAGTCTCGGAGAACGATGATCGATCCATTCTCTTTCTGGGTAGACTGGTCGTAGGCAACAATTTTCTCGTAGCGGAGGCACAGGCTTTGTGGGCTGTCGCGTACCTGGATGGCCACATCGCGTGTTCGCAGGAGGAGATGGAGCGGAGCGTTGCAGAGACAGTCGCGTGGAGCCGCCGTCGATACCTCAACAAAGGACAGCTTGGTATCTGGTTTTTCTTCGACGTCATCAAATATGCCGATATGTTGCTTGCACAGCTTGGTCTCGACAGCCACAAGAGAAAAGGTTGGTTTGGCAACGTTTTCTCGCCCCTTCGCGCCGCAGACTTGAAGAGCTTGCTTGGGGAGTATAACGCAAAGCACAAGTGCAAAGCTTGATGTACAACTCTGCTTGAAACTTGGTTGCTTCAGCCTGCTCTTCCAGCGGCGGCCCACTGTAGCCCATCATCCCACCAGTTAAAGAACGGCTCATAAAATTTGGTTCCATACTGGTGATGATGACTATGTCTTTTGCTTCCGGCCGCCCAACCTCTTGGCAACAGCTTATCATATCCCCACGCCTGATCCAGTCCAGAGTGTATGTCTACCAGGAGCCATACGAACATAGGGACAAACAAAGTGCGAGTGAGGACGTGAGAGCCAATGATGTTCAGCGAGAAGTTCGCCAATAGGACCAAGCCAAGTCTCTCGACTATGTCAAGCTGGTTCGTGATTTGTGGGTAGATCTCAGAGTGCTTGTGATGAATGGCATGAAGCTTGCTGAGGATTGGCAGTTTGTGGAGGGCTAGGTGAAACCAGAAAAAGACGGCGTCGTAAACGAGGATGCTTAGCCCAAGCTGACACACTAGCTGTCTGCTTGTAGGTGCCATTAGAGGAAGTGCCCTCTTTATTTGCAGCGGGGATCTCCAAGTAAAGTGGTGCAGAGTGGGAGCGAGAAAGTTCTCACTGATTCCTTCCGTGTTGATGTCGTAGTTGCCCGACAGAACAATGTCGCGTATCTGCACACCGCGAAATTTTTTAATCATGGTCAGGTCCATGAGCAGTAAAGGCGCGATATAGGTCAACCCTTCTCTTACGCGATGCTTTGGTCGTTGCATCTTGGGAAGAGATTTGGTATCATCCTGACTCTTTCTAGCTGCCAAGCGGAGCTGAGGGTTGTGTACGAATCGATAAGTGTAAGAGGCCTCTACGACAGCATAGATGAGGACCGTCCAGAGGGTCTCGAACGTCGAGGCTCTGTAGACCGAAAACTGGAGAAGGAAAGCCCAAGTTGAGTCGAGGAAGGATTGGTAGAGACTTGGGGCAAACACTGCGCTACCCAGGATCAAGCCAAGGACAAGGCGAGGCAATGCGACTGAGGAGCTTCCATCTGTCGGCCATGACATTCTGAGTCCAAGGTGGGCGCGCTGCTGAAAGCATGGTCAACAGGATTGTGTGGAGAAGGTGAGGCAGGAAGGAGACAGCGAAAATCTCAATGACGAAATCGTTCGTATTTATTACACCCGAAACTCTTGCAACTCCTTGGCATTTAAAAATGTTCCCCCCACCAGGTTTTCAGACTAGGCAATATCTTTAAACTTGAATAACTTACTCAATATTGCTTCAAAATTCAAAATTCTTGAACCTTTTGAATGCGCTTTTAGTAATCTCTTTATGTAAAGAAAAATTTTTAGTTTTGAGTAATTATTGATAGAGATAGAAAATTCTAGTTTTCAAGGAGATTGCAAGATTAAACCCCAAAATTCATGCATTTTTTCCAACTTTTTTCTACTTAATAAAACCTTTTGAAACTTGGACATATTAAAGAATAAGCTATAATCTTTAAGATGCTTCAACAACAATTGAAATTGAAGCAATATTAAGTAAGTTATTCAAGTTTAAAGATAATACTTAGTCTGAAAACCTGGTGGGGGGAACATTTTTAAATGCCAAGGAGTTGCAAGAGTTTCGGGTGTAATAAATCTTACAATTAGCGCCTGTATTATATACGACATCATCTTCTTCCACTTCGACGACTTTTCTCTTTCCAACGGAAGACTAACTGACCCTCCTTTACGGCATCAGCGTATGCAGTGGGCGTAGTCAGAATGCTAGATATTCAACTACGACCCTTCAAGGACCAGATCTTCGATCCTTGGTGTCGATACATCCCTGCGTCGATAACGCCCTTGTATATTACCGTTCTCGCATTCGCTTGCGGCTTACTGTCATGCTTGTTCACCACTCAGCAGCAAATCATTCTGTCCCTGTCCTTTTGGATACTGAATCGAGCACTCGACTGTGTTGATGGCGCACTGGCTCGACATCGGAAAGCAGCTTCTGACTTGGGTGGTTTTCTGGACCTCCTGGGTGACTTCATCGTCTACTCTCTAGTGCCAATTGCCGTTGCTGAGGGCTGGGATACCTCGAGACATACTCTCAGGGCAGTAACATTGCTGGAAGCATCGTTCCATATCAACAATTTCATCCTGTTCTACGTCGCTGCTGTCTCGGAGAAAGGTGCGAAGGATACGAGGAATTCCAAATCGAGGGAGCTTACAAGCGTCATGATGAAGCCGGCACTTATTGAAGGCACCGAAAGCGGCGTCTTATTCACCCTAATGCTCGCTTTGCCGGGCCACATTGGAATGTTGAGCTATGTGATGGCTGCATTGGTCACTGTAGGGATCTTGCAAAGGACGTTCGAGATCGTGCGAACGTTAGGCTAATGATGGGGATGTATGCGAGATAGCAGGCCGTCGCATTCTCTCTCGCAAGTAATACTTTCCAAATGCTGACAATTGATATCTTTTTCATCGATACCACTAGCCTTTGGCTTGGTGCGATGTCGTCATCACCCCACACGCTAGACAGGCCTTCTTCTTGACTTGATATCTCCCCTCAGGACCAAAATACTGACCTGGTGAGGGTTATGGAAGGCTCAAAGGTTCAAGATCTCGTTATGGAAACAAACAAATCGAAGCAAGCATTTTCAGAGCATGACATTGACTCACAAGATAAACACAACGGCGAGGGAGGCAACCAGCCCAGCTTTCTCGGCCATCATGATAGCGGCCTTGTACCTCAACCAGATGTGCCGTGGTGGAGAATCTCAGTCTCCTTGGCTGTTCTCTTCCTGAACTACTTTCTCGCTCAGTACGACAAATTCATCCTCTCATACTTCCAAGATGACGTGATCAAATCTGTACACCTCACCCAAGCATCTTACGGCATCCTATCGGGATATGCAACCGGCATTGTCTATGCCCTTTTGGCGCTTCCAGCTGCTTATGTTGCAGACTACACCGGAGCCCGAGTCTGGGTCCTCACTGTTGCCGCTCTATGGTGGAGTCTGTGCGCTATCTTCCAGGGCCTCAGCCACAACTTTTGGCAAATACTACTTGCCCGCATTGGCATGGGGATTGGTCAAGCGCCCGTCGAAGCACTTAGCGTGAGCTTGATCAGCGACCTCATGGGCAAAAGATACGTGTTCTTTGGCGAAAGGTAAATGTTTGTAAATTCGTAGTAGCCTGTGAGCTCTCTGACCATCTCCAGCGTTCTCTACGTCGGAGTCTACATCGGTGAAGCGGTGTCCGGACAGATTGCCACGGCTTTCACCAAATCCAATACACCCTGGAATACTGCCCTCATTGCTATCGGTATTGTGGGGGTAGTGGTTGCAATTTTCGTGCGGCTCCTCGTACGTGAGCCTCAACGGCAAACGTCCCTAGTGCAATCCAGATATCCTCAGACAATTGGCGAGCACGGCGAGAACTACGGTACGAAGAATAAACTCCGGCTTGCACGAACGGATGTACGAGCAACGTTCGCATACCTGCTTCGCATGCGGTCTTTTTGGCTCCTGACCCTGTCGGCCTCTTTTAGACAGCTTTCTGGAAATGTCTTTGGATACTACATGCCTACATATCTATCAACGCTCTATTCATCACATATTAATCTTCTCTCACGCTACGGCATCATTGTTGGCGTAGTCGGCTCCATAGCAGTTCTTCTTGGAGGACTTTTGACTTCGACATTCTGGCGTCAGACAAAGGTCTTGCCACTGTACTTGACAGCAGTTGGCGGCATGATCTCTTCTATTTTCGTCCTACTGATGCTCTTCTCGCGCAAAGCGTCCGACAACAGCGAAAATCAAGGCATCAAAGTATTGTACGGTACGATGAGCGTGGCATATCTCACTGCCGAACTATGGCTTGGAGCTATCAATAGTCTCATTGCACTGTTGCTACCACCTCACTACAAAACCTTCGGCTTATCGATATGGGCGGCGACCCAGGTACTTATCTACTCCGCCGGACCAGAGATCATTGGACTCGCAATCCGGAAGGTAGAGAGCGGGAGCTCAGAATATCTCATCAATACAAGAGTTGCACTCGCTGTGATAATCCCTACAGGCTACTGGCTCGCGGGAATTGGCTTTCTACTTGCGATACCACTCGTCAAACAAGACTTGGCGGGTGCATTCGTAGAAGGCAAATTGACAATACAACGACGGATGGCGTTTATCGCTTTCGCTGTCGTTCTTGCAATCATGGTCATTGTATTGTTTGTCATCAGTATTGTGTATCGAGATTGATAATTCATGCCTACTCTATTAGCCAACGCACTCTGGATGCGCCATTTACCGAACAGCGATGCAGTGGGAGGGCACCTAATTTGTGCTTGCCCACCCATGCCTTTAAACACAAATCCGCTTTGAGGTAGCGCAGGAATAGCGGGCTCGACTTGAGGGGCAAAAGTCTAGGTCATGACTCGACTCACGTTGGCTAATGCAGCATGCATGGCCATGGTGAAAAGAGGCATGCGATAGGCTGATTTCATACATCTGCAGGTGGGGTGTGTTGGCGCAATCATACGTCAAAATGCCGATCATCGTCGATCACGTCGAATGCCTGATGTTGAGCGGGGCACGCCGTAGGATATTGGTTTTCTCGACTTTGCAAGCTGGACAGATGAACTGTCTGTTTTCAAAACCAGGAAGGCGTCCGCAATCGTCAGCCAACATGGAGTATATCAGTATAGGCAAGTCTGGTCACAACATCTCGGCTGAACAATATCTCTAGCACGACACTTAATGCCATGAAGACGAAATTCAATGAAGCAAATAATTATCAATTTGTGTTCACTGGCCTTGTACTTGTACGTAGTCGTCTTAGGTTCCCAGTAAATGTGCTCTTACGTGACAGACTGTCCTCTACGGCATTTGCAAGGGGGCTTATAACCTCTGGCTTCACCCACTTTCGCGATACCCAGGGCCCTTCTTCGCTCGAGCTACGAAGATCCCGGTAGCAGTGAAGTCCTGGAACGGGAACTTGTCTCACTGGCTCAAAGCATTGCACGGCTACTATGACAGTGAAATAGTCCGCTTCTCCCCCGATGAAGTCTCGATTATCTCCGCGTCAGCATGGAAAGAGATTCACGGGCCACGTCTCGGACTACCAAAGTTCGAAAAAGACATGGTGATTTTTGCGAGCGTCGATAACATTGTCACAGCCCCTGGCGTAGAGCATAGTCGCATTCGACGATTGCTCAGCCATGCATTCTCGGACAAAGCTCTGCGAGAGCAAGAGTCCCTCATTATGACCCACGTAAACCGGCTTCTCGACGGCCTCAAGCGCCAAAACCAATCCATCGAGACTACAAATCTGTGCGACTGGTTCATGTGGTTTACATTTGACGTCGTCGGCGACCTTTCTTTCGGCGAATCCTTCGGCTGCCTCAGTCGAGGCAACTATCACCACTGGGTCAACTGCCTCATGAACAATCTCAAATCCGTTGTGTTCATCAGTGTGACGTACCGTTTCCCACCTCTGCAGAAGCTACTCTATCTCTACGTCCCAAAGCAGGTCATCCAAGACCGCCTCGAACACGAACGCCTCTCCATCGAGAAAATCGATCGCCGCCTCAATGCCGAGTCCGCCCGACCAGACTTCCTTTCCTACCTCTCCAAACACGCAGAGGACAGAGAAAAAGGCGGTCTCACAAGGAAAGAGATCTACGACAACTCCACCGCCTTCATCTCTGCAGGTGCGGAAACTACAGCTGCCGCCTTAGCCGCTGCTCTCTGGTTCCTCGATCAAAACCCGTCCTGTCTCGAAAACGTCAGGGAAGAAATCCATGAGAACGTGGATACGATCGATGAGCTCACTATCGCAAAGACTGCAGAGCTGAAATACTTCAACGCTGTCATTGACGAGACGCTGCGTCTCTACCCGCCCGCGATCGCGGGACAAGCCAGAGTCGTGCCTAAAGGTGGCGCGGTGGTGAGCGGGAATTTCATCCCTGAGAATACCGGTGTTATCATCAATCAGTATGCTGCGAATCACTCTACCAGAAATTTCAGGGAGCCAGAGGAGTTCGTACCTGAGAGGTGGCTCGGCCTGGATGAGAGGTTTGAAGGTGATAGGAGGGAGGCTAGTCAGGCGTTTTCTATCGGCGCGCGGAATTGTTTGGGGAAGAAGTGAGTAGCTCTTCGCCTGCTTGGTCGTGTAATAAGGGAGGGATGGGGTGCTGATGGTGGTTTAGTCTGGCTTTGGCGGAGATTCGGTTGGTTCTCGCGAGAATGCTGTGGACGTTTGACGTCGATATGGGCGATGAGAGGAGTAGGGACTGGACCAGGCAGAAGGGATGGTTCACGTGGGAGAAGCGGCCGTTGTATGTCAGGTTGCGGGAACGGAATGTTTGAGAGGTGGCATTGTTCTTGGGGAGTGCCGTAGGGTGCGCCGCTCTGCAATACTACTGAGGAATCCTTAGGGAAGGATGTTCTGTTGGTGAAGACGAAACACAGGATGAAGGTATCATGACCAAGGTTGTGGAGAATCACAAAGAGATTGATGGAGTTATAGGATACCACTCTGGCGAATCTTTCCCATTTCAACACGTCGAGGCGATATAGAGTTCTCATCCTTCTCACCACCTGGATTATATTCGCTACCTCATTCCCATCCCCCATCACCCCCCTTAACCCCACACCTCCGCATCCCCTTCCATGTGCTGTACCCACGCAACCCTCCCAGCAGCCCTTTATAGCCCATCTTGCTTTCACCCCCCCTTGAACCCCAATCGTGGATTTAAGGCAAGTCTTGGGTCTACATATTATTGAGAGTATTGGAGGTGTGTTGCTTTGGTAGATGACTCTGGGCTTGGCTGCCTGTTTCTTGCTTTTTGGTGGTACAAATCTTGAAATGCCGTCGTACAATATATTGTGACGGCTACCATGTGCCCTACGTCCGCGTTCGACTTGTTGTGCATTTCATGTCACACAGTAGGCTCTCTTAATCCTTCCATTTTCTTGCTTCTTCCTTTTACATCCATGAACACTGCATACCTTTCACAGTAGCTAACTAAACAGGAATAGATCGTCATCGTCCTCGTTCTACAACCTCACAACCTTTTACACTACCCTCCTTGTAAGAATGGCAGCGTTACCATTGGAGCTGATCCTCGAGATTCTTAAATTGTCCATGGTAGGTACAAGCCTAGTAGACTTGGAGATGCTTGTTCTGGGGTGAGTGCCAGTGAATTCCGCTTTATTGGCACGCACATAGTCTGCTAAGCACCCCTGTATCACAGAAACAAAACTACGCTATGCGGATCTCCGATCGTCAACGAACCCTTCGCAGTTCAGGCACTGAAGGAGCACCAAAATGACTGGGCTGTAGCTAACAGCATATGCCACGCCTGGAGACAGATAGGAAGGAAGGCATTCTTCGAATCGAAAGTCTTCCTTATTGGGCCAAACCTGATGAAACGCCTCAACACAGGGAGGGTGAAATCGATGAGTTCCGAAAATCAAACCCTGCTCTTCACACATCTGCGTCGCGTCATTATTCCCGTCCCTAGCATTTTACCACTTGAAAGGAACGGCAGCGAAGCTCAATGGCTCAACTTACACCATTTCAATGTGCTGACTGGAGTCCAAAGCGCGCAGCTACTTTTGTTTGCCAACTGGGGTCGTAACGAAAAGATGTTTGTTGGGAAAAAGCACATCACGCAAGATCTACCAAATGCCACCGACGTACCATTTCCAGAGTCTTTCCTCCAAGTCCTGCAGGGAGACATTGGTTTAGACACCGATCGAATTCAACCCAGGTTCCTGGTCTCCTGGAGCCGATGCCGCGAGTTATCATGTGATGCGAATGAACTCGCAGACAGAGAATACGCCTTCTTGTTCATGCTATGGGTAGGTTTACGGCGTTTCACTGACCGGGGGTGCGACGGCGGAGTTTTCGTTCGCCTTACCACGGGGAGGAACGACAAGAGTTTGTTCGGAGTTTTCCTGGTAAGATCTACCCCGAAAATGGCGATGTGATGGCTGACTGGTCGTTAGAATCAATTGATTGATTACCGCGTTGGAGAAAGCTCTCGAAGTGGAATCTGGACTCGCCTCTCCCAAAATACTTACGGCCTATGTATATGGAGAAGGCTTTCAACGTAGAACAGGCAGCCACACACCAGACCACGGATAACAAACATCAGCTAGGGATACCTCGGAATCTCTAGAGTATTCTTGACCTCTTGAGCACAAGTGAGGTAGTCTTTCCGCTGAAAGCTTATTGAACAAGACACACAGCCTACACATCAATCTCACATAACTCCCACCCCATCTCACTTCAGATCATACCTTTGAAGCACTCATGGTCTTTCTGCATACGTAACAAGAATTCACGAGACCAACCCACTTCATGAATTCCATGCGGGGCTGTACAACATGACACACCTGTAAAACTTCATTCTCCCAGCGTGTCGTACAACCCTTGCCACCACGTCTCTTTATTAGATCCTTCTCCTTCGCTCTCCTTCGCCGACTTCTACTCATTCTATCTATCACATTTCATACCTGAATCATTCCCGTAACGATCAGTTGCTTTCAATCTGTCATGACTTCCCTACCTCTCGAGCTCATCTTCCAGATCCTTACTTTGTCTATGTCAAACTATCAGCCAGTCGACCTCGAGGTGCTTGTTTCCGGGTAAGCACAGCATTGGCACACTCCTCCCCTAGGAAGAGCATCTACTAAAGTCTTCGACCTTGCAGCAATCGGGCCCTGTCGACTAAAAACTCAATCAGTGACAAAGGAACTATCAAATTCGTCGACTATCTCATGCTCGTCGGAGCTGAAGCGCAGAAAGAACACCAGCACGATTGGGTCATCGCAAACTCCGTATGCCATGCATGGCGACATGTCGGAAAAAAAGCCTTCTTCACGCAAAAGACCTTTCTAATCGGGCCGAATTTCATGAAACGGCTCCATACAGGTAGGGTCAAGACATTAAGCGCTGAGAATCGTGTTCTGCTCTTCAGCCATCTTCGTCAATTGATCGTGCCCATAGCTGGTACTCTGACATGTGAGTGGACCGCAAAACGGACTCAATGGCATAACCTACCCCACTTCCATGCTCTCGCCGGATTACAGAGCTTCCACCTCCTACTGCTAAAAGGCTCCCAAAGATATCAAGCCGCAGACCTGCCAGACGCCTGCGAGGCGCTGCTACCCGACTTCTTCCTCTGTTTCTTGAGGTGCTTACACCTTGATGTCGAGAGGCTTAATCCTATGTTGTTAGTAGCCACAACGGAACTCAGAACTGTCAACATCAAAGGCTGGAACTTAGACTGCTTAGCAAGGCAGGAATCTGGTTATGTAAAGGCATTACCGAAATTGGTGTTCAATTACGGCCCTTTGAAGGAATACATCATTTCTCGTTTCCGGGAGGAAGGGCTGGATACAAGTCTCGTGGAATAAAACATACGTGTGGACTTTTGTCGGAACTTTCCAGAGTGATTGTATCCTCAGAATGGTGGTCAGATCGTGACGTAGACATGAGACATGGAGACTCGGTGGCTTGAAGTGGTACAGAGAGGGATCATTGGAGGCTTTTGTGGTTGTCTACAGTAGTAATAGGCCGCATCAAAGAAATGAAAGGGATCCATACAATGAGGTCTCTGCACTAGGCTCAATAGTCACATTTCCGAAAGAGACCGACTTGGACAACGTGACAAACAGCATAGAATTGCATCCCACAAGGGCCAAGGTGAAGCCTCAATATGAAGCCTGCTGGAGGATTTGCGTGGATACAAGGCAGCACGCACATAGAAGGGGAGGTGGAGGTGGGGGAGCGGAGGGATTGAGGTAGTGAATATAATTCATTGACTGAGAACCGCGTTGGAGAAAGATGTTGAAGTGGAATCTAGACTCGCGTTATGAGTTCTATGCGGCGCTGTACAACGTTACGCATCTGTAACATCTCTTTCTCCCAATGTTCGAAAAAGGTGGTACAATCCTTGTCACACCACATCTGTGTATATCTATTCATTACCTCTCCCCTTGTCCTCCTTCTCAGGCTTCTACTCATTCAATCTTTCACATCACCACAAACACATACCACAAGAGTATCATTCCAACATAGCATTCAACAACCCATGGCTTCGATACCTTTAGAGCTTATCCTCCAAATCCTCACTTTGTCTATGCAAAGCGTCCAACCCGTAGACCTTAAGTTTCTCGTATCAGGGTATGTACACTTCTATCCTCCGCAAATACCAAATGCCTATCCAGACATTCTACTAACACAGCTGATTCTGCAGCAACAAAGTCGAATCAAACCCGAAGCCCAACACAGAAAAAGCTCCGAACTTGCTGCAGTATGTCGGAGCTGAGGCGCAAGACCAACATCAACATGATTGGACAATTGCAACCTCTGTGTGCCATGCGTGGAGGAAGATCGGGAAGAAGGCTTTTTTTCAACAGAAGGTCTTCTTGATCACACCTGGCTTCCTCAAACGACTTTATGAAGACGAGAAGTGCCTGAGCTCTGCATCTCGAGCTGCTCTTTTTAGTCAAGTTCGGCATGTCATCGTCCTTGTCCCGTGTTCTGTGGGATGGGTAAAATGCGTAGACCGGGACCAATGGCTTGACATTTCTCATGTCCATAAGCTCATCGGACTCAAGAATTTTCACCTACTGCTACATCACGATCACAAAGATTGGATTCAATACGCTGATCTACCAGACGCCTACGACGTGGCCTTGCCCGAATTCTTCCTCTATGTCTTGGAACGCCTCCACTTGGACATCAACCGCCTGGAACCAAGGCTCCTCGTATCCAAAACGGCATTCAAGACAATAGCATTGGGCGTGAAAGAAGTGGGTCAAACTGCATTCTGGTATATGGAGAGATTACCGAACCACTTGATTCATGGCGACGATTTGGATGATTACAGCTTCCCTCGTTTCACGGAGGAGGGAGGAGATTTCGCTCATCTACTTCCTTACCATCCTTGGCCGACTCCAGAACAGGAGGAGTTTTTACAAACCTTTCCAGGTTACCCGTACCCAGAAGCGGGTGATCGTACTCCCTATCTGACGGGTGGACCACAAAGGGTACCCGAAAGAACTGGGATCTTCGAAGATGACTGTTCATGAGATTGAGACCTCGACCTAGCCCTTGGGTCTATTTCAACTAAAACTTCGGAAAGCACTGAGTATAACACTAACTTCTTCCACCATTCAACCAGCATCATACCTTCATTGGCTCCAAGCCTCTGACTTTGTACTAATTCTAGACAGCTTGAAATGGGCACAAACAAACCCACACGCTCCTTTAGATAGTCTCAACAGCTTTTTACCCCATTAATGCTTACACTCCCTCGATCTGTCTCATAGACATCTCAACAACAATAAGAGCCCGAGATAGAAATGATCTATGTGACTCCTACCGAGTCCAAGTCCAAAGCTTCCACGTTGCAGTCCATGGTCCTCACGCATACGCATCATTGCACATATGAGTTGTGAAAGAACGTCGTCCTTGAGTGCGATAACGCCGCCACTTGCACTAACCAGCTAATCCTAGAGATCTTTATTTCACCGCTATCAGAATCTTTATGGGAATGCCATCTCGTGGTGCATCCCTCTCTCGAAATCCTTCGGCCATTTCACTTATCCAAAATCCCTCCCTCGCACTACGCCATCGTCTTACCCTACTCCCTAAATCCTAAATCCTGAAATCTCTTTACCCTTGCCCTCACTTCTTTCTCTACAATGTCTTCCTAGAAAACGCATCCTCCCGCAATGCTAATCCGCCTCCCACATATTCACACTAACTACTCCCGAACATCCTATACTCGGTCCCCAACTCCCATTTAACCTCCATCCCCACGTTTAGATACCCAGATTCCCAAATGTCCAAACCCAGCCAACCCACACCCAGCACCAATCCAACCAATACACATCCCTTAGCCTCCTTGTGTTTGACAGTGTGTTCACTTCCTTCAACATCACTGCTTGCTGGGGGAGAGATGCATGTTTATTTCAAAAGTAGATTAATTTCATCGACAGAGCCTTTGTGATGTCGCAGTAATTGGCATGGAATCTAGGACAGCAGGTTGGTTCGCTATTGAGAAAGACCTCCTTTTGCTCTAAGAAATACATGCATGATATTATTTAGTAGGCAAAGCCTCGTATGATGACCGCCAGGTGCCATGTCTTCCTGGTCCCTTAGTATCCATCGTTGGAAGCGTATCTTGGGCTCCCATGCTATTGTCGTAGGCCACTGGTGTCGTCACGTATTTAACGAGGGAAGCGCGGTCGTTGCGGGATGCGACGGTATCCCAGTCCAATAGCCATTGTCACGAACAGTTCCAATTTATCCTGTGCGCGCCGACGTTCGGGAGAGAACACACCCGGGAACTGCTTGTCAAGGGCTTCCTGATCATCTCTTATCAATGCATCCTTGGATCTCAACCACGCGTGCACTCCAGCGGGCGTCAGCTTCCCCCCGATAATCATCATTGTCGCAAATTCCCAATCGACAATGCCCTCGTCGCGCATCCCTTCATAATGGGGTCGGCTTTTAGATACCAGAAGCTTTGGTCGGAGGCGGTCTGTGTCCAAACCTATCTCTGCAAGCGTTTCGAGGAAGAACCTGGGTACCTTTACGTTGTGAGCGTTTTGCCAGTCGTGGTTTTGTAGATATTCCTCTTCGCTGATCACATCAAGAAGTAGGAAGAGGTCCTCGAGACCGGTGAGAGCATTGAAGTATTTGAGATTCTGCCAGTAAGGCACCACCATGGACATTTGCTTCTCGACGGTGCGACTGGGCACTAGAACAATGACGTGTCGCAAACTCCCCAGGGCAAGTGCTTGAAACGTAAGGTCTATTGTAGTCCCGTCATCCTCACTGAATCGCTTCATGAATTCCGGTGAAATGAGCACGACTTTTTCTGCAAAGAAAGCCTTCTTGCCAATCTGCCTCCAGGCGCGGCAAACCGAGGTTGCTATGATCCAGTCGCGTTGGTGGCTTTCTGGTAACGGAGGGGAAGCTGTAGGCACCATTGATCTATCTGGTCCTCTAAAAGGCGGGAGGGGACATTGACAATGCCATTGGGGGCAGCTGTACTCTCTTGACCAAAATGAGCTCTGAAATCAGAGGTGTTAGCTGACGTTTCGATTGCGTGGAGATTTTGCGTTTTGATACGCACAAGACAAATAAATCCAGATGTAATGGCTGGTCGCTTCGCATGGATAGCGTGAGAATGTCTAGTATGATTTCCAGTGGCAATGGCGGCATGATTGCGGTGAAAGATGATGACACGCAGATAGACAACTAAAATGCGTAGCTGTCGATTGCTACGCATAGACCATCGATGATGTCTGAAGAGTGATGGAGAGGACTCAGGTAGAGTCGTCAGGTACGATGAACGAAGAGACGTGTTGTAAGAGGCAAGTGTTAACCATCAACAAACGCGACCCAAGGTTGTACAACAACACCGATGCCAAGGATGTTCTCGCCACCCGGCCGTGGAACTCAACACTTCGGGCGCGGGGCCGGAGATATGATTCTCCAGATGTTGTTCAATGTCATTCCAGGCATGTCCTGGTACGTCTGTAAGAAATGCTGATTGCTTTTCGTGGTGACTTTTCCTGCGTTCAAAAGAAAGCTCTTAGAAGATCTAGTCCATATCGCTGATAAATTTGGAAAATGACCCGCCTAACAAGTGAATCCCTCGTACCCAGTCCATTCCAGCCATCGATGTCAAAATGGCCCTAAGACCCCGCATCATTTCGTACATCGTTCCTGCAAAGAGGGCAGGACCCCCTCCCCTTCCTCCCCGGATTTGCTTTCACCCACTTTGTTATACATTCGTTACCGAACGCATGACCGCAAGGCAGAGCGACTTCAAATTCTCCCGTTGAGTCAAAGGCCTCAGTGCATATCCCGCAGTCCCTCCCCGACGTGAAAGGTTCCTTTTCGACTTGATGTACCTTCTCTTGTCAATACATTCCGCGCGAGAAGATGGCTGGGGAATGGACTTACATCTGTATGGAAAGAGGGCCAATGAAATGTATATGTCGTCCTCCCAGAGCTCCTCGTTCCAAACGTCATACTGATTGGAAAGATCCAGTGGTAGTCGTCCAGAAGGTCGGGAAGTTGTTTTTCGAGGATCAGTAGTAGTAGAGTATTTACTACTGCACAAGACAAATATAGGAGTGTCATCTGCCAGTACAATTGGAGTAGGACCGTACATATTATCAGAGGAATGATATAGAGTCGCCTATGTTCATCATAAAATGCTCTGACGCCTTCAAGTAAGGTCGCAAGTTTCTGCAGCGTTATCCTGATCATTGTCGATGTCTACCCAAAGTTACTGATGGTGTAAGAAGCTTGATTTTGTATCAGAAATGCGATTTTGAAAAGGGATTATAGCAGTGGCTTTGAGGCGTCAGTTCAATGAACCTTATCGCTGCTTTGAGTTCAGAGGCGAGAGTTCTTGAGATTGACTTCGCAGATTGAAGGCTTCACGCAGGGTCCTCCTGGTGGTCCAAGCTGGATGAGTGGATTTGAGTTGGAAGAAGTTTTGAGTCGCAGTCCTGCACACAAAGAAGCTTGCGTCGGCGAACATAGCGAAACTTAATATCATCCACGTTAGGACATAAGCAAGCCCAAGGAGCCACGCATGAAGGGCGATATTCCACGTGAGAGAGTCCGAGAAGCCTCCGAAAATGGTCTTCGGTAGCAAGTAGTTGGGGCGGTATCCCAGGAACTCGCAGTCTTTCAAGGGTCAGCTAAAGATGTTATCAATCGAGCCATTCAGATTACTCACATAGCGCGAATGTGAATATTGCAATTAAAACGAGCATTTCTTCTGTTGGTGGTCCGAACGCTTGATTACGGCGAGCTAAGTTCTAAGAGAGGAGGTGGTACCAAGATGAAGATATATCCGTATTTGCTTAACGATTACTTATTGTTTAATTGTCACTTCGAACAGTAACGCGTAAGAGACCGAGTTTGTTTTGAACAAAGGACTGGCGTACGCGGAGCGTGAACGGCGCGATTGAAACAATGAACTTGACAAATCACAGTCGTCGCCACATTGCTAAAGGTGACAAAGATGGCCAGCCAATAAAATGATGAATGATGAATAGTAGTCGTAGTGTTAAGTTACAAAGAAGCTACCTGGTCTATTGGCCTGGCTATATACCCCGCACTGCGGCGATAGCAAACAACCTCATCGGCTTGTTACATCAACGAAAGAAAGCAGAGGTCTTGGCCAGAACACGTGTCGTGTGCACATCGAGAGCCATATCTTGAGGCTCGACTTTATGATACATGTAGTGAACCGCTGTGGCATTCATTGGCATAGATTCAAGTTCTGGCGGCCGAATGTGGGAGTGCAATCTGACCATGATCAAACGGTAGGTGCAGCGATTGAGACCTCGAGAAAAGGCATGATCATAATTTGAGCTCTCGCCATTCTTATAACTACACGAAGGCGCCTTATCGATGATGACTGTAAAGCACAATTTAAAGCCCATCATGCTGCATCTATCCAGCGTAGTCCCTTCACTCCAAAGATTCTTCATTCTCTCCTCCATAATCCCGAAGCTCTTCCTGCCCCTTAACTCGCTTCACCCAGTACCCTCAGCATCCCCCTCCATCGTCCCCACCCCCGTCTCCGGCGTCACCATCCTCGTCTCAAAATACAAATTCACCCCCCTCGCCGGTCCACCCCCAAAAACATTCCGATGCAGTTCCCCCCAAAACCGCTTCACAACTCTGCACCAACCCCCCAGCATCTTCCACCCCTTTTCACAAACCTCACCGCAGCCATGATACGCACCCCCAACCATCTCGCCCACCGCTGCCCCAACACCCACTTGCACCACCCAACTCGCACACTGAACCAAAAACACAACAGCAAGCGGAGCCATGAAGATCACAGCAAGCGCGACGCACACATACAGGCACTCCACCCACGTCCAGATAGAGCTGAGGGGCCGGTCGGGGTCGATGAATGTCCCGGGCGCGTTGATGGCTAAGGCGACGGCTAGATTGAAACTGAAAGTTTTTTGCCAGAGGTTTAGAGGGTGGTCGGGGTGTCGGCTGTAGAGTTTGAAGAGGATGTGGAGGATTGTGAGGGGTGTCATGCTCATGGTTATCGACCAGGCGCTGCCGTAGAGGTATGAGAGGAGGTGTGTGAGGGAGATGGGGTTGGGGTAGGGGTGTGGGTCTGTGGCGATGCCGACGATGATGTTGATGAGGGCCAGGAAGAGGTTTGTGAGGAAGAGGGTGCGCCAGGGGGACATTTTGCGGAGGGTCGGTTCGAGGTGGGTGGAGAGAGATGGGAGCTTTTGAATGCCCTAGGGTAGCCGCTTAAGTGGGACGACGGATGGTGTGGAGACTGAGATTGGAAACTGGAGTCTGTACGTCGCCAAAGAGACGCCCGGTGCTGTTCTAAATGATTGAGAGTTTGGTAGTGCTGGAGGAAGATTTGAGCTTGTGATGTCGACTGACCAGACAAAATATGCGGTGGCTCGGAGATGTTTTGTAGAATTGTGTCGGATTTTGGGTGGAAGAAAATTGGAGCAAGGAATGATGGCAGAATGCTTTCACGCGTCAACTGTGTACTTCTTTAGGATTGACACAGTGTCGAGAACGCGTCATGGTTAGTCATCTCGCTGACACAATGCCAAATTGTTTGAGCAACAAATCGCTGGCGTAGATAATGAGGTGGAATTGATCTCGTTGGTGGTGTCAGACATGTTTTCAGGATTTGAACTGATCTTTCAAGGATGGAATGTCATAGCTCAATTCATAGTCTAGTATTACCAGGAAATATTTCAATTCGTATGCACACCCTAATGGTGTCCCCCTATTCCACGCTTTGTCGCATATCGCCTGAATGGTCGTCCTGCAAGTATCCCAGGGGATCTCATCATTTTTTATCCACCTTTGATGCCACCACTTTGCTCATAATAGCGTGAAATTCATCGTAACTCCCGTAAAGGTCTATTATCAGAACGTCACCCAGCACAATATTACCTGAGACTGACTGTCATACCTCCAACGCTCCAAGTTCCTTTTAGCTTCTCACCACTGTATTCCGTCCGTCTTTCTCGATTCCCGTCTTGATGTATCAGAGTCACCACCTGTCTATTCCCGTCACCGAAGACTTCAATCTTAGAATTCCCCATCCCTGTCACATCTAGGCGGAAGTGAGCGGTAGGCACTACCCGGGTGAATATGTATCGTGAGATCGCGGGGCTGAAATGTTTCATAGCTTGGCACCAGCGGAGGATTGTTGGGGAGATGGTTTCGTACAGCATCGTGGCTTTGTTGTATGTTGCTTGCAGCTTTGGAAGCGTGAATGCACATAGAGCCTCGCGGATCGCCTTTGCTTTATCACCACAGTATTGGAGACAACGATGTGTAGCGTTGCGGAAGTTGTCGGAGCGTATCATGTCGGCAAAACAGTCGATTAGAAAGACGACATTGATGGGGGTCATGCCATGGGCGACGATTGCGAATATTACCGGAGTATCAATAAGGACGCCGAGAGCTAGGTTTGCTCCGAGAACCTTTCGCCAGGAGAACCAGGTCCCTTGATGGCCAGAGGTCATTAGGTAGGTGATCGGAAGAGTAATCACAGAAAATACGATGGATAGGAAGCATCCAAACAATGATCTGACCCAAGGATTTGGAGGATCAATTCCAGGTACTGGAGACATATGGTAATCCCATATAGAGTTAGTCAAGGCTAAAGCGATAATCACTCCGAAGATTTTTTGCCAGAGGGTCATCATGTCTACGCTTGGTTCATAATTAGTGAAAGCGAAACGATGGGTCGCTTTGAAGGGCTGTGTTACGTACTTGGGTGGTTACTTGCAGGTGATGTGGGTTGCTTGAGAGAGTAAAGATCTGCTTCGATGGAGTAGAGGGTAATTTCAATTCGAATGAAGAACAATGAGTTGTTTTGGAAAGGAGCGAATTTTTGGTGTGCGGGCTTTTATTGCATTTTGTGTCTTCCTACCGGTATTGAGTACTGCTGTTGTGACTGTGGCGTGTGAGTCTTGTGAAGAGTTTCCAGGAATGGGGAGAGGAAAAGAAAACAAAAATCTTCACGCGTCTAATGTGTCCTCCTAAATACGGTGGCAAAACGCGTTACCTTATTGACACGGTGACGGTGCTTTGAAGATTGTGTCACCGATTCTTATTGTACACAAAGAGGTGATGACAAGCTTGCCACAAATAGTATTTGGAAATGTCAGCGAGCCTTTGCACCGCTACATTGACCATTTGCTACATGAATTCTACGCATATTGCGAGACCCCGCGCCCCGCGTCCAAGTACCTACTTGCGTAACCCACTTGCCCTAGCACAAATGGAACGGAGACTCATGTCGCCTTGGTCGCTCTAGCCGGCCTTGCGTCATGACTTTCCCGTCTATCTGACTCATCCATCTGACTGCCCTGCTCAGTCATTCCGGTATTCTTTGCATCCTTCATCCTCAGCAAACTCTCTATCTCGATGTTGTCGTGCAGCTAATCGCACACCAGATTTGGACAACCCAAAGTAATACCAATAGCACAACAAAAGAGTCGACAAAGGTGCCATGTAGATGGGAACACCCAAAACCAGAAAGAAAAGCCCCCCCATTCCCCTCCGATATGCCGCTAGCCCTACTCTAACCAACGCAAACGCAAAGTTCGTCAAGTAAGCTCTCTGCCACGCCTTTTTGTGAAGAATGATCGAGTTAGGGTAGAACATAATGTATGGGATCGGGGCTGAATAGGCCATAATCGCAAGGATATCCAGCATGATGAATCTTAAGCAGCCCTGCACAGAGATAGGGGTGGTGCTGAATCGAGAGTAGGCTTCCAGGGCGAGAATTCCAACGGCGAAAAAGATGTAGGTCGCTGCTACCACACGCAATTTCTTTAACATGATATGATTCTGACCAATATTAGCGATGAGCTATAGCACTTTGTGGAGACTGGAGCACTTACATGGCTTTAGAGGACACAAAGTAGACAAGAGACCTCTAATTTTGAGGAGAGGAGGAAGCTCGTCTAGCACTTCAGCGGCTCGGTAGTCGGAGTTTTCTTGAATCGAATCAACCCAATGAAATCGGTAAAGATCTCGCGATTCGAAAGATTTTTGTAGACCCTTAGGGTTATCTGCTGATATTTAACATGGAGAGATTGAGGGAAGGAAAGACGATAAGCAGAGCGCGTGGAAGAGGTTCTCACGCCCTTGTTTGTTGTTTGTTAAATCGGCACAACACAGTGCCAAGAACGTGACACAGGCTTTTTCGACATACTGTTACAGAATGACACCTTTTGTTCGCGAAATATCAAACATAGGACTTCGTATCTATTCAGATTTCCTAGCAGATTGACCAAGAAACGGACCCTGGGAGAACTCAAGAGGCGGTTGAAGCCCCTCTAGCTATCATTGCGTGAATGGACCCAACAGCCAGACAAGAAGCGAAGCTGCGTAAGAAGGCTTACCCGCGTACATAGCAGAGGCTATTATCGATCGCAACGTACCCGCTTCCTTCGCATACAAAAGCCCGCTGATTCAATCCTAACACCTCACAATCTCGCCCACAGAACGACAAAACCACTCAACTCTAATCCCTCATGACGGGCTATAGTATTGTGTGCCCGTCCCATTATGAAGAATCTCTATAGAGAATTTTCTCTATAATTTTAAATCATCAATACCTCATAAGTCGAAGTTATCATCAAATGAAGGCCCTGGTGTGACGATCGCGCACTTCCATTAAGATTGAAGTACCTAGGGGCAAGATTGACTGCCAAGGACGACACTCACCACGTATCTCTCATCACACCTACGCAATAGGAGAACCAGATCAAAAGGGGCTGCTTACTCAGCAAGAAACATCGCGACTCCTCCTTGACCTTGACCTTGGGCTTTCAACGCCGTTCACGATACGAAAAAACCATATAAAAAACATGGGGAGTCCGATGGCCTCATACCTTTCGCAAAGTGTTGAAGAAAGGCTGACCACTAGGGATACTGAGGAGTAATCCACCAGCATCACGATGCGTTTCGAGTGGACGCCCCGCCCCGCCCCCGATATTAGTAAGAGCCTCTTACTCAGGGGCAAGGTATCCTTCGAACAATATGAAGTCAAGATGCCCAGTGAACACTACAATCTCTATCTATTCTTTGCTTGGCTTCCTACCAGTACTCACACTCTCTTTACATTCCTCCTTTCGAGTGCTAGCCCACTCTACCACCATCCACTCCCCCCATTCCCCCTCATCACCCACCCATCCCCCATCATGGCCCTCACCACCCTCTCCCTCCTCCTCCTCCTCCTGGCCCTCCTGCCCCTCGCACAAACCCACACGGCCGCCTGGGCCGCAGGCATGTACTGCCGCTCTGGCCCTTTCCCCCCTCCCCCCCCCCCTCCCCCTCCCCGCCCCCTCCGACAACCCAAACACCGCCGGCGCAGTCGTCAACCCGCTCTACCACCTCACCAAATCCGAATACTGGTTCCAAAACTACAGCGGCTGTCCCGCCTACCCTCCTCCCGATGGCGAATTCCTCGAACTCCCAGCCGGCGGGAATTTCACCGTCGAGCTGGCGCACAATCGCGCCTTCACGACGCTGTCGTATGAGGGGAGGTTGGCGACGGAGTGGCCGGATGGGAAAGTGCATCCAGAGGACTGGCATGCGGATCCAAGGGAGGGTGGGGCGGAGGGGGGAGAGGCTTGTTTGCGGGATGATGGCGCCATGCATACGGGGAGCGAGAGCAAGGCTGCGGGGACGGCGTTTGCGATTGCGTATGAGAGTGAGATTGAGAAGGTTACGTTGGAGAATCTGGTTGTGTTTACGACGTTGGCGCAGTGAGTTGTTTTTTTTCAATGCTTGAGTGACAGGATAGAGAGAGAGATGCTGATTTGGGTCAATCAAAAGCACGCCCTGGAAGCGCATCGCGACCTATGACGTCCCGAAGGCTCTACCTGCTTGTCCACCCGGTGGGTGCACATGTGCATGGCTTTGGGTACGTGCGTCCCGCTTGCCCCTTTCCCCTTTCCCTTCCCTTTCCCTTTCCCACTCCCTCTTCAAACAACACAGATAGCGTTAACAAGTGCAAAGGTGCCCGAAGGTTGCGGCCAATCGAACATGTGAGCGCCCCCTCCCCCCTTCCCTTCTCTTAGTCCCCCTCATCCTCTCCACCCGCACATTCCTCCGCATCTTCTTCTCTGAAACTTCTCCCAGGTACATGCAAGGATTCAAATGCAACGTCACGAACGCCACCTCCAGCACGCCTCTCGCGACGGCGCGGAAACCCGTCTATTGCGCTGACGACGCCTCCAAATGCGTCAAGGGCGCTAAGCAGATGATTGTGTGGCATCGTGTGTCCCCCCCTTCCCCCTTCCTCTCCCCATCCCTCATCTTTTCGTTCTCGGCTTGGTGGTCTACAATCAGTGGTGATGTTTGCGCTGACGGCTCGGGGGCGGTGAACAGAAGCGCAAGGCGAAGACAACATCGTCGTCCCCGACGGGAAATCCCCAGCTTATAGCGAGAAGTGCGGGTGGTCTCCAGGGGCGCAGGATGATATCTTTAAAGCGCAGGCTAGGAAGGTGCGACGGTATGTAAGGGATGTTAGCGAATGAGCGCCCCGTTACGCCTCGGGAGAGGGTTAGGGGGGTGGTGAGTTTGGTGCGTGAGTGGGAGTTTGTGGGTAGGGTAGTTTGCATGGCTACGTGATTGATTTTGCTGAGAGACTAGGAACAATAAATTGAGGAGGGATGGGCAAAATTGGGGACATGGTCTGAAAGAGAGAGAATTTGATGGAGCTTGTTCTGTATACATCACTTTCCCTTGGGAGGCTTGAGACCTCTAGACATAGTTCATGCTATTCTTCCCACCCCTCTTTACGGTGCACGACTGACGACCTTTATAAGCGCCGATTTGGTGGAAATATGGAGAATTGAACGCAAGGTATTTGAGCTCCTCTCTACCCTCGTCGTCGAGATTGCTGCGTATGATAGATATGATGAACAGTAGTAGTATTGAAGTGAACAGAAGCTCCGTGATTTAATGACTAGCTAATACCCCGCTGGTTGGTCATTGATGTCAAACAACATCACCGGTGTGCCACATCAACAATGTATTCTATATATATGGAAGTTGGTGAATATACCCAGTAGCTCAGAATTGTGCCTTTGGCAGACTTGAGCTCAGTACTGAGCCCATTGCGCTGGTTCCTCAGTATTGTATTGTCAGCCTCTGTATTCGGCACGGTCTTCTGCTTGACTGGTAAGATGACGCGGTTTCTGACCGCCGCCACGGCCGCTTCAATTTTGCCCTGAACCTGGTCCTCCAGGAGACGATACCTCGTTTTGAGGTGATCCTTTTGCTCCTTGTGGCCCTTTTCAAGCTTGCTGACTTCCTCTTTTGTCTCCGAGAAGCTTTGCTCGCAGGTACTGTGGTCGCATTTGTGGGCGATGTATTCACCAATGTCAGAGTAATAATATATATAGAGAGGTATGGCCGAGGATTGTGGTGAGTGCCCTGCGTTTTGTACGCCCTTGGGACGGGATGGAAAGACGGTTATTGTCGTTCTCGTTATCTCAAGACG